AAGAACAATCAAATTTAGTGAAATCATTGATTTAAATATGAGGAAATGGTTCAATCTTTCAAGGCCTCTTTGGCTGTGTACTTGACAAGACGATAGGATACCTTGTTTGTGTTCATGTATTAGAAATTGCGCAAAAGTTTTTTCTCGCAAAATAATATACTACACCAGGATATCGTCTTGTCCTTTCTCAAATAACCTTCCTTTTTCAAATCGACTTCGCTTGTCTATTTAAAGTTGCAAAATGAATAATTTATATCGGTTACTCGTTCCTTACAAGCTCCAAATTGAAGTTGAGTCATCGTCTATTCTCTCCTTAGATTCAGCGTTAAAAGTACTTATCTTAAATCAAGTGCGAAAAAAAATGACAAACTTGTGCTCGCGAAGAATTACAATGCTATAGTTATTCAGTTATAAGAGTATTTTCTTGTAACGATGCTAGTAGTGCCGGTGCGATTAGTACTGTCTTAAATTTATTTAGATATCTTACGTAAGATAACCAACGAAAATTCATTTCTAAATGAAATAATGTACTATTAGTATTCTATTTAGTCTGTGTTAAAGTTTCATGGTGTATTGAAAAGAATTTATGATTGTAATAATAACAAAGTATAAACTAGTTGAAAGTAGAAATTGGACAATATCATAGATTATGGAGAAAGTATAATAGTGATTTAGCCATATACAGATCCATTATAATATAAAATCAAGGTATTTGGTCGACATAGTCTACTGTTTATTAGAGGCCATTAGAATGAAACCTTATACACTGAAATGCCTTAGGATTATAGTTATTTTTAGTTGAGATTGAATTCTGGTATTTAGTGTCGTATTATTGTTATGTTACCACGATAAAAAATCAATATCTATTTTCATGTTTCGTATAAAATATTGACTGTCATTTTCTCCGATCAATCGTGGACTATATTTATTGTGTGCACATTCCGGTATTAGTCACATTTATTATTTTGGCTGTTAGATTATGCTACACTCATTCTTCATTGTGAGTCTATCCATATCATTATGTGAAACTAATGATGAATTGTCAGCCGATGAAAATGTGTATAGCAATATTGTTTTGCCAGTATACAAATTTGCGAAAATGGGAATTTATTTTTATTTGAATATAGTGAATTATTTACAATATTTCAATAATGTATATGTTGAAAATTTACCACAATATTTCCAGATATATCCGAATTTTGTTTGAAATTAAGTCAAATAAAATATTTAAGATAGAATTTTCATCAGTTTATTTTAATTTTAGATACTAAAGAATAGTTATGATGAAGTAATTCCCTTACGATAGTCAAGTTGTCTGCTTCCTTTTGACGTCATGTAAATATTTTTATAAATGTGGATTTGTGTTTCACAACAATTTCTATTATATAGGAGGCCTACATGTAGACCTCACATGGCTATTACCACACAATATATTTTTTTCAATCAGTATCTCGAAACCTATATAGGTAATTAAGAGTAGTGTATATACCTAACTACTGCTCTTTTCTCTTTGCCTATGTGTTATTGCATCCATTTATATTGACAAGATACTGTATCTAGAATAAAAACAGCTTTTTGAGTCACACTTACGCAAATTTAGAGTAGCGTATTCGTATCATTCCTTTATATGTCAGTCAGTGGATTCATATGCACTGACTGCAAGGATACTGTAGTAAAAATCGAAACGCCTTGAATATTCTGTGAAGGTTTGATGCAGAATTCTTGAACCACTGAATATTCTGAGTACTGTTACTTGTAACGTCATCTGTAGTCCAAAGTTCTGCTGTTCTTGTAATACGCCTAAATATCCCTTATTTGGGGATTCTACTATTAATGGAACAAGTATCGTTCACCAGGGGAGGCGCTAACTATATGATAATCAAACTTTGTACCAGATTCATGCTGTAGTCATCACATTATTAATTACTCTGTCATAAGAGTTGATATCTCTGACTAATCCAAAAAGTCAACTATCTGAATTTATAAACCGCTCACAGAGAATAAAACTATGAATATATGGTAGAGTGTCATCGTATGAACAGCTTCATTCAGAAAAATATCTGTTTCAATATTTTTAAGTTTTTTAATAAGATAGCAACTAGTTAATCTGGGTGGCATCACTTTGTTTATAATATTTTAGCATGGAGAATGGCGCTTTGTTTTTGCTAATAAGTATATTGCCACACAATGCTTAAATTAGACTCAAACGCTAACGAATGTCTGCCTGTATTTCAGACGAATTTTGTTAAATTCATTGATCAGAAAATGAGTAACACTCTGGTTTGGCTGTAGAGGTGTCTGATATTTATAGGTCTGATATCATGTGGTCTACCACAGCAAATTTTCCGTCACATTTTTCAAATGTTAAATCATTGTCTAGTTATATAAAGTAACTCAAATAATAATTAGTAACAGCCTTCGTTATATTTTCATAAAATATTTTGTTTATTTTTATACTCGCTATGATGTTTTTCTTCCAGCCCACATATGACTTCGTTTCCTTATTTTGATTGATGGCTGCAGGCCACCATATCTTGCGAAATTATTTTCTCGTAATTTTAGTCAGTCAACCATGGATTTCAGACAGTCAGATCAGACTACTACCATGAGCTGTCAAGATTTTTTAAAATCTCGTTTCTACTAGATATGGATTTGAAACACGGAACAGTGCGTCATTCTATGTATTAGGAAGTCTTTACAGCTGTATTTCTTCCTGATAGTTGTATATGGAGTTTTTTTTAAATATATGAACAATTTCAAAAACTTGTTAAAATCTTGTAAAATGTAAAGCTTCCCACGTTAATTGTTGTATAGCACAGATACATTCTTTGTAGTATGGTATCATTCATACATTTACTCTAGAGATTTGAGTCTGACTGAGGGCTTTGCATTGATATTGTCTATTTACTAATTAGGTTGATGATGTAAACTCATCTACTGCCAATAACTTTCAAGAATATACGTGAGGCAGGCAAGCATTAGTGTATATACCTAGTTATTTATGTAGTTTATTATATTAACTAAATGGTGAGGTGATGGTCTTTTTTGCCAGTAGTGGTTCTGTGCTTGATTATGTGTATTTGTAGATCACCTATGATGCATAAACTTACTTCAACGAGTTCTAGAGAAAATATGTAAATAGTTTTCAGAAAAAAAGTTTCAGATTTATAATATTTTGTGAACTTTTGAAGAGAAATATTATTTTTGTAAGTTATTGACTTATATCTTAGTTTTTCATATTACCTCTATTCCAAGTTCTAAAATAATTTTTATAACTGTAGCTATCATAGTAGTAAATCGCGTGAAAATATATTTTTTCGACCTGGAATTTGTTATTAAAGTGCCGATGCTTTTTCACACTCTCTTTATTAATGTCTCACTTTTATTAATTAGTCTTATGATACTGATGATGCATCAATACTGCTTAGAATCATCATAAAACAGTCACATTTGACTTATTGTTTTTATATTAATAAGTGTAGTCATTCCAAAGGGACAGAAAGAACAAAGGAAGCGCAGTACAGATGATTTGAGGCAGTGGTTCCCAATCTTTTTTGTTGAACTCCCCCTTTGGCGTATTTTGAACTCGTTTTCTCCCTCACTATGCATAGAAACTATATTATTTTTTTGAAATCTTTAGTGGATCTTTAGCTAGTGTTATGCACAAATCGCATTCCCGTTTTTAAACAGTTTGAGTAGTTTATAATGTGTGTATAAATAAGGAAGTATTCGTACCAAGATGACGCACAACCTGAACAACCTTAACCTGGTACACATACCATCTTTGTACGAATACTGCGGGAGCACTTAAATAAGTAATATAGCAACAAAATAAACTAGAGAATACTACATCAAATACATAGTATAAGCCTCCCCAAGAACGACAAAATTTTTGAGGATTTCATCCCCAGTCGGAGAACATAGATTTAAGGGATTGTAGTTAATGTGTACATCAATAAAGTTTAAAGATCTTGAGATAATTATCTTTATATCAGAGAGCATATTGCTATACTGAGCAATGAATTATGATTCAGAATCTATGAAATTGAATTGAGTGTTAGAAAGTTAACTATAGGTCAAGATACGTACTGAGAAAATCTTCACACTCGCGATACTTGGAAGTAATTCACTGCGGAAATTGGTCATCGTGTGTGTGTGTGAGTGAGCTACTAGGATTGTTGCAGCAGACCGGAGCTTAATATTCACTAGTTGCGCTTAGTGCATTGAAACGAATCCTTCATTGTTTCTAGGGAGAATCAAGTTGCTGTGAATAGGATGAATGGAGAGAAAGGGAAGTGATTCAGTTTCAGATAGAAACTCTTTTCGAGTAATAGTTCAGAATCTGTTTGTTGTGATGTTTTTATTCACCAGCCGTCATTTATGACCTCAGTACTATTCAACTTAGCAATAGGTATAAATAAAGAGAATAACTGTTGCGTCTATCACTACATTGAGAACAGAATGATGATTACTTGCCGTAAATGTTTTCAATAAGGATCGAATTTGATATTCTAATTGTGGTTTGCAATTCTGTCTTTGGGCTTTCACTATTTTTGACCGCAACACTATCTACATGACTTCACAAACCAGTTTAAAAATTGAGTATTGACTGTATTTTGAATTAGAGTAGTAATAATATATTATTTACCATTATTAAAAAGGTTATCTATCCTGGAAAATATTTTTCGAATAATTTTGAAAATCATATTTTGTACCATGATTTTGTCCACATATTTAGTTTATCCATTGCAGATGACTTTGAAAACAATTTTTGACTATATATGTATAATTTTTATGACATTTACAGAGATTTCTTGTACCCTAATTCTATATTGTAATCGTATCTTAGTGTTGTCATAGTAACTGTTGTCTTACTCTAAGCCTGCTGATTTTTTCCTGTCGTTGCTATGCAATACTCACTACAATCAAAGCTGAATTCTCACGGGAGTTTCCACCAAGCAAGTGCAATGCAAATGTTGATAAATTTCATGATATTACAGGAAAAGGACCAACAAAAACGATTAAAAGAAAAAGCTCCGAAAAACGGAATCCACGGTAAACAAACTATCGGAGCTATTGCTATCGGCAATAATCACACAGTTTCCGAATATTTTAATCATGGACTTGACGATATTATACAAGGATTGGATCACATGACACCACTTTTCGTGGAAAAATGCGTACGATACATTGAGCAGTTTGGTATGTTAGATTTAATTGTTTAATTATCACTGGTAAAACAGATATACGTTCCAACAAAATTAAAAAAATATATTTTTAAGGTTCAATTGGCAAATTTTTTCTAATTATTAATCAAACTTCCCTTTCCGAACATCATTTAGTATCAGTAGCTACATTTGCAGGCCTTATCTGGAGCGAAAAGTGTGAATAGGCTTCCTTCATGCGAAAAAAGATATTCCTCAAATTTGGGAACGTGATAGAAAATTTACTCATCTTTTGTATAAGACAAATGCATCATCAAAATTAATTTCGTTCTTTCTGATGCACTTGCTTACGTGACAGGTATTTGCGTCATTCTGTCTGTCATATGAGAATTGACTCAATAAATTTGACAGAATACACTTGCATTACGTAGAGTTGGCTTCGATCGATTATGTTATTCATGGAATGTCTCATTGGTGTTTTCTTCTTTGTTTTTATTGGTTTCTGGTTATTAATTTTTTTATGTATTTGTAGGAATCTCAACTGAAGGTCTTTACAGAATTCCAGCGAATGCGAAAGAAAGAGAAAACATTTTGCGGAAATTTGACGAAGGTGATTTTTTATCCTTGTCTCTGAATATTCTTATTTAAACCGATTACCATAATAGATTTCAATTATTATATTACAATTAAGCCTTTTATCATTTTGGTAAAGCAAACTAGAATGTCACATTTTACTCCTTTTTCAGTAAAATTGAGATATAGAAAATCCATTATGACACATCATAACATATTTTGAAGAAATGGAATTTTTTCATTGTGTAATATACGAAATATGACATCACAATTTTTGGTACTCAGAAAGTATGCGCACCTAGATGTCGCACAACCTGGTACGCAACCTGAGTTCAGGTTGTGCGCCATCTTGGTGCGCATTCTTCAGGAGGTGCCAATTTTTAATATCCATTAGATTAGATCATGAATACATCGAAGATCACGAGAAAATACTTTATTTTATTTGTTTCAGATAATACCATTGAGCTTTCTTCTATGTCAGTCACTGTGCAAACAATAGCTGGATGTCTGACCTGGTTTTTCAGTCACAAAAATCTTCCAGAACCTCTCATTCCGCACAATCTTCATGAAGAATTGGAGGAAGCCATAAGTAAGTTGAGGATAAGGGCGTCGAAACAAATTCGTGAATCGTGAATTATTCAAATCACTTCGCGGCTAATTTTGGAATATTTGAATCATGTTGTAATGTAAAACAGTGCTTTCCAACAAATACTAAATCGATCAAATATACATTTTTTGTATTGATCATATGCATATATATTGGTATATTTTCACATATTTATTTGTGAAGTTTCCATTTTGATGCAGCAAAACTTTCATCAGATGGACGATTCGAAATGCGGTTTCACTTAAATTCTGATAAAAGTTGATAATTCAGATCAATAATAATTATATATTGTGTGGATTTCTGAAGAACTCTATGTAATTTGAAAATTTTGGGAAAGTCAGTTTAAAAAATAATTCTTAACAACAACAGAAATGGTTAATTGTATGGATGTAGGCTATAAATAAATATGTATAAAAATTCATCTCAATTACTTACATTTTAGGGTAATCAATTTAGGTCTGATTATCTTATGTAGACAGAATGTCTCAAATTTATTCTTATTTGCATAATACATGCAGTGAGCGTGCTGTTTTTGGCCCTTTTTTAATCTTTGTTGAATGTGTTTTTTTTAGTCTGGTTATTTCATTGCGGTAAACAAAATAATCAATCGCTAAATGAAATAGGTTATTTTGGGAACTCTGTTTTGCATACATTTAACCTCACAAAAGGATGAAAAACGTGCAAATTTTCTTGAAATTACTATTCTTTTGGTAGAGTTGTACATAGGTATTTGCAAATAGTAAATTTTGGTGTTTCCCTTTGCCTATAATTTAAATGCAGCAACCAAATAAAAAAGTGTAGGATTAACAAAAATATTCTGCATTTACCATTTAAAAATTTTTTTTTATATTTTTGATTTAAATATGGGATTACCTCTAACTATTGGATGGTGTGTTACTGTGTTCATGAAATTGCAAAATGTTCTATTATGCTTCTTCATTAATTAGACTTCTTCGTAATTTTAATCACACTAATCTAACATTTCTCCTTTTACAGACATGCCTGATCCATCACTCCGAAATTTATCTGTTCGAGGAGTCATAAGAAAATTACCTAAATCTCACTATGCTACTTTTAAATATATCTGCAAACATTTGAACACGTAAGTCTGATTTTTTATGACATCTTGCTCTACTAAGAAGCTGTGTTTATGACATCTTGCTCTACTAACAAGGGAAAGGATTTTCTAGGAAAAATAGCAGCTAGGCCTAAGAATATAGATGTTCCTGACCATTGGCATTCTATTTGTAATTTGAATAAGGCAATTACCAAGTTTTGTTTTCTAACTTCTATAATAATAAACAATTTCTTGTTTATTACCACTCTCAATCATTTTTCATTCGTTATACCCAAACTGTGTGGTCATACCTAATTACTATCACACTATAAAACTTGGAATACCATTCGTCAATAAAAACCATCAGAAAATAAAGACGTTCAGACTGAGTGAGGTGGTTGAAATAAGCTATTGCACTCTTGATTTGATATTACTTTATGGGCTTTTAACAAAGCTTAATATAACCAGTCACTGCTGGGTGAGGGTTATTATATTTCGAATGATCGGAAACTTTCCAATTTGCCGCTCAATTTATTACACCCACGGTTGGGTGGCAGGTGTGGGATTTGAATCTGAGATTTTTTTCTTGCGATGATAACATAGTGTCAAGTGGCGAAAAGCTTAGGGTCGTCTTTTCATAGATTAGAGCAAAAATATCTGTGATAATAAAAATTGTTTGTAGATTGTAATTATATGTATATCTGGAAACTAGTGTTTTCCAAGATGACTGAGTCAGTGATGTCATCAGTTGACTGATCATGATATCACTACATGTGAAAGAGAAGTGACCACCTGCTCCCTAGAGTTTGTTACTCAGTTCTGTTGGTTTTTTACTGAATTAACCTTGGGTATTTATATATTTCTACTAAGTTATTAACAAGTAATAATTCTTATCTGTTTCAGTGTCTGTCAGCATGAGAGTGAGAATAAAATGAACAGTGAAAACATCTCGATATGTTGGTGGCCAACTTTATTCAGACCAGAATTAGACGATATGAAATCGGTTTCATTCGGACGACCTTGTTTGAAGGACGTTTTACTTACTTGCATTGTCCAGTGTGGTTTTATTTTTTACAACAAACCCGAAGTTTGAATTCGAAAACTTTATTTCAAGTAACAATAATAACTGTTGCTTTTTAGTTGACTTGAACGTCAACCTTGTATTGTCGAACGCAAGAAATCATCTTCAGAGATGATTGTCTCTCGATGATGTCTAACCCATTATCCGAATTATAACGTTCCGAGATTCGAAAGTAAATTCGATTTTGAACTAAGATCGAGCGTTGAGAAGAGCAAAATAGAAAAACTATTTGTTCTTTGTAGTTCAAAGCATGATATTTCCATATTATGATGTCATAAAGCTGCTTCGCATACATAATTCTTTCGACTGCTTTTATTTTGTTTTAATTATTGTCCAGTAGCAACAGCATATTTGTTATTGTTGTGCTGTAGGTTGATAGCGAAACACTGTCTAATTAATATTCTTATTTTATTTTTTGTTCAAATCATTCAATTATTGATATATTGTATTTGTTTGGATCCTTTATGAAGTATGATTTGAAGAATTAATCAGAACATCAAGCAGGGATGTCTACAGCTCAAATTTTGTCCATTTCAGTTTTAAAAAAGTCATCCTTGTAAGAAAATGCTATTTTTTGAAGAATTTATTAGTTTTCTAATTCGCAAGAAACTTTGATTTTTAAGTAATGTTTAGTATTCAAAATAAAGTCTTCTCAATGGTAAAAATTCAGTACATTCTCCAAAATCCTACACTTTGTTGAGCGCAATTCATAATACAATGATTTTTGTTTCAAATTCGCACATATCATACTTTTTTCGCTCAAAATTGATGAAATATGTACACAAATCATATTATGTGTCTTGTTAATATAACTATTGACAAATCAATTTTGTTGTTTGTTCAAATTGTTTTGCATCCCTGCTTGCAACATGCTCGAATTGGCGCTTAAAGTTTTCCAATAATTATGCCGTGTGTACTATTGTCGTTAATTAATTGACAATAATCTTTTTGCTTTCTTCACAGAATTTTTTTCTGCTTGTTGAAACATTTTTTTTTTTATTACCTTTGTCAATGTTCGAAAAACAATGTGTAAAACGTTGAAAAAATATGGAAATGTTATTATGTGAGATGTAACAATTCGCTTAATTTATTTATAGTTTGCCATATGTGTTGAAACTGAATTTCATAGGACATACTGTTATGTCTGAACTTCGATCAGGCTAATTAACTTCTAATTGGGATCAGCTAGATTCTGAGAACGCCAAAATTATGAAACACATTTAATTTGTGTATGAAATTTTTGCAGTTTGTTTTCTTAAGCATGTCAATCAATTGGCATTTATGATCTTTATTGGAATCGAAATGGCTTATACCAGGCATGTTTTTGCATTATATGATTTCTGAATATCTTTTTCATTTTAGATTTATGGGAGAAAATTCAATTTGAAACTTTCGCAATATTTGAATTTGATTCTGTGCTCAAATTTTTGTATCGAACTTGATTGTCAATTAATCATAACCCAAAATCTATTTGTAAATTTGATGCCCCACTTTATTAGGGAGACAATATCTACCGTGCCCATATGCACCATACTGACTGATAATGATCTCTTTATAATGCATTTGTCAGAGCAATAGAACTAGGTATAGTAGTATATATCGTTCCCAAACTGTCTGATGAAGTCTTTAGAAAATTTACTATTTTTGATGCAGAGAAATTCCTAATAATGTGACATTCCTGCTAAGTCGTCTCATTGTATCAAATATGGTGATCGCAATCTGGAAGTTGTTTTCTCATAATGTCTATTCTGCAAATATGACAATGCTAATGATTGTGCTTTTTGATTTACAGTGGTCCGTTTATTTTACTATTCCAATTAAATGAATTAAAATCCGAAATTAATTGCTACAGTTGCAGTTGGATTCGTAAAATTGCGGAGACGATAACTGAGACGTGAGAGCAATACATTTACAGTATTAGCGGGGTGGAATTCCGCATTCAGGCAATGTAGAAAATACGCATGACCTTCCTGTGCTATCGCGTTATGGTCCGGTCATAGCATGACTTATTGATTTATAAAGGCTTGGAATAGTGAGTTTGAGTGTAGAGAGACTGATGGGATTGGTTGAATTAAAGTCTGTTAATCACTGTCTTTCGTGGTGGCCGTTTGCGAAATCTTGGGCGTATTTTCCATATTAAAGGGTTGTCAATTTATGATATCAAATCATTGTCGACTTAGGTCTTTGACTGGCTTATAAATTAGATAAAATGCTTTGGGAGATCATTGGTCATCGTCTCTTCATTATCATCGTTGCTGTCAGCAATTTATCATCACTTTTATCGCTCTCTGGCGACTGTCAGCTGCGGCTTCGAAAGCCTTTTCCGATTCTTGAAGAGTAAAACGATGGGTAATGAGTTTACTAACGTCAATTGCTCCTGACGAGACGAGTGAAATTGATTGCGGGTAACTGTAACGAGAAATCACAAATTTGAAAGTCTAAGCATGTTGAATGATCTTAGGCGAGGGTGCGCAACCTGTGGCCCTTGGGCCAACAAGGGAAACTGTGGGGCCCGCGGAAAAGTGTCAATTTTAATAGTTAATTTAGTGCAATCTGGTGCGTGCGGGTAATTCCAATCCCTTCGCGATTCAAAGCCTATACCTGAGTCCGTTTCATTATCTATGCATATGACGTTACGATGTCCCGACAACTAGCTTGTGGGAAGCGAACAACGCACGTCACAAGATCAATAATCAAAATTTTTGTGCCTGCGCATAATATAAAGCCTATGTTAAATAAAGGTGCGTCCCGCGGTTTTACCCATCTTTTTGTATGGTCCCCCTGTATTAAAGGCTACAAACCCCACACTCTAAGACAGGGGTTGGGAACCTACGGATCCGGCCCGCGCCGCTTCACTGAAAGATAGTAACAAAACAGCTGCTTTGACGATTATATATTTTTCACGTTACACAATTCATTGTGAGACGCGTGTGGACTAAATTATATTATAATCTAACAAGTATAAAATTCACAATTACTCGTTTATTGAGGTTATAATTTAATTATAATTAGACAAATAGCAACAAAATGCAGAAAAGTTGATGCTAAGTGCAAAAGGTTCAATGGCGCCAAAAATGCAATGCAATGAGGAAATAAGTCTATATTCTATTTGAGAGATGTATCACTGCTTCATTTTTATTATAAAATGTATCATCCGTTCGGTTTTAAACTTTCTAAAAATATGTGCGGCCCGCCAATGACTTGCAACCCTTATTTAGGCCCGCGAGCGACAAAAGGTTGCCGACCCCTGCTCTAAGAGAATGTATTAACTTACTTATTGGCGTATCTGAAAACGCCTTTAATGTCCACTTCCTTAGTAGCTGCGAGAACGATAGGAATTGAAGGACTGAGAGATCCCCGACCGACGAGAATTACAGAACCTCCAGGTCTTGTAACCTGTGAATAAAATGTAGCTGAAAGAGCTTTGCTTTAGCGAGAGAATTCAGATCAAAGTAGGCAGATTGAAGAATAGGTTAGGCGCTTAGAAATCATGCATATAACAATCTTTACCGCCATCTGCGTTTACCGTAGAAATTTATTTTGAGCACATAATCATGTTTCGAAAATTAATATAATCCATATGAAATAAAATTACGACGTGTTCTCATCAGTAACTCGCAAGTAGGCAACACTATATTTGCGAAATTGAAAGTAGTTAAAGCCTCCGATCAGTGTACTGCGACGTTAGCTGTAAAATTAGCTGCATCATCGATAATTACTAATTGTTAATTGAGAATTTTTTTTCTCCCCAATCATGATAATTTTTTCGAGCAACCGCAAGCTCCAATTTTGACCCGCATAACAGTTGTAAGTACAAACCTATATTAATTTAGGCCCTATTCTTATCATAGTTGAAATGGTTTGGAATTGAAAACATGCTTTGAGTAAACTTGCTCGAACAAAATGCTGCCGGAAGCTAAGCAAGCTTTTATTTTACTTTTATTTATCGAGAATACGTTTTTATCCAATATTCATAGATCCCAGGATCACATTCAACCAGTAATTCTCTCTTTTCCCGGTTTATAATTGTGGTTATTATGGCAAAATGGTTACAAGCTTGGGCGAAAAGAATTTAATCCGATGAAACATTACAACTCATTTTACTAACGTGAATTCCGGTAGCTAAACTGCTATCGGCACCACTGCATTCTAAGCTTGAGTGCGCTCCCAAATCGGATCCTAAAATTTCCAAAATGTCATCCGCCACTTTCGACGGATCTTTTGAGGCTTCCAATGTAGCGAGATAAGTTTTGTTGGCTGCTCCAAGGCTTTTCGCAAATGCCAGCCGTCCTTCGTCGATATCTGTTGGAAAGTATTGAGAAATGAAAAAAAATCTAAGTCAGAATTTGGAAATTCCGCCATAGCAAAGCAAATCAGCTTAATAAACGTAGGCGTATGATTGTAGCAAATCCTAGAAAGAAAAGTATTACCAGAATTTATTTTTTACAAAAATCTATTTTGTATTAGTTCGGATTCTTATAAATGTATAACAGTTCCAACGGAACGAAAGTATCCGACCTACAATACATATATTTGAAGCTCCAGAGTTTTTAGCGACAAGTCCACATAGAATCCCAATCGGCCCTGCGCCAAATATAACAATAGATTGCCCTAATCCAATATTTGCTCGTTCACATGCATAAACAGCGACACTCAACGGTTCCAACATTGCGGCTTCCTCAGTCGTTATGTTGTCGGGAATTCTTTAATAAAACAAACAAAATATATGATAAGAAAAAGCTTCCAATTTGAAAACTGTATTCATATATTTCAGATAATATTATTTTGCCGACTTTGTTCAAATCTTGATTAATTATCATAATCAGATGGGGTTCTTTTAAAATTATGCCTGTTCGGTCTACATAAAACGATCCAGAAATATGGTTGTGATACTTAATGGTGGTGTTGACCATTCATCACTAGGGATGGCGGAATCGAGTCCGGATTCGATTACAGAATCGATTCTTCGCGGAATCGACTAGAATCGATTCCGATGCACCGGAATCGATTCTCGAGTTTGAAACTTAGATTGCAAACAATGTAATTTATAATATATATATATATATTATAAATATCGCCAGTAGGCTAACGTTTATTTATTTTAAAAATCTCTGTGGGTTTTGAGGGATTCGTTTTTTTTTGTGCGGTTTTGTCTCATGTGGCAGATTGGATACCCATACTACTTAGTTTCGGCCTTCTTGTCCGTCAAGAATTTGAACATCGCTGTCTTGCTTGATTTCATATGGTATTGCTTGGGTGGGTATATTTCTTCGGTAATATGTCGAGGAATCGAGATTCGGAATCGGAAATTTAGGAATCGGATAAGAATCGAATACTTGTAAGTACTCATACTTGGCATCCTTATTCATCACTAAACTGAACCAAAATATTGTCATTTTACTTGAGGAAAAGCGTATGAGATGGATTATGTTCGCGCTGGCAGTCTGTTACGTCTTCCAGTGATGAATCAAAGTAATATCGTAATAAACACACGAGCTTTAGATTAAGATATCACATCCTTGCCATTATTTCAGTCCAACGCCAATAACTAATATCACTATTAAATAGCTTACTTGTAACAAAAGTCAGCGTCGTGGACGTAATAAGTGCAGAGATTTCCGTCAACCGGCGGAGTTGCACAAAATCTCATCTTCTTGCATAAATTATATCTTCCACCCTGGCATATTTCACACGATTTACATGGAACGCCTGGTTCAATAGTTACTCTATCTCCAATTTTTAAATGTTTCACACCACTACCAACAGAAGTAACAACACCAGCTGCTTCATGACCGATAACCATCGACTTGCCGTTCAAGCTGAATCTACCACATTTTCCATATGCCCAATATTTTAGATCTGATCCGCAGATTCCAACGGAAGATATAGAGATTAACACATCTGTAAATGGAATATATAATGTAACATATTTTGACTACATGAGCAAAGCCTTTGAGATCTACAACCTATACACAATAGCCAATAGTAATGATGGTTTTGGGTGGCGAAAAGAAACAAGATGCGGTTCGATGATCATCACAACATTTTAAGAATGGGTTCGCCACTGGTTTTATCCGTATTTTGTCTTTATTGTTTCAACAATGAAATCAGGCTAAAATTATGTGCTCCTATTTATAACTTTCTACTGTTAAGAATTTGGATATATTTGATTGGTCAAAATAGGAAATAATATCAACTTTGAGTGCTAAATTTATATGCCTTCCTATTATTTAAATGAAAAATTCGCAATGCGTCAAATTGAAAAATATTGTCCACTCACCGTTTGTCCCCAAAGTAGGAATATCTCTGTGTTCCTGTAATAAAAAAAATTACTGGGCACGAAATGAATATGAATGAATAAAATGAATACATATGCATCGTTTTGAGAAAATATTGTTGTAAAAATTGCTTTACTTCGCAAATAATGAGTCAATGGAATTCAAAGTTTTTGAAAGCTATTGCTTTTATTTTTCCATAGTATCTCTTTGTCATATTGGGATCGATAATTCACCTACAATTTTCCAGCGAATACTACGTCGCCACGTGACCTCATGTCAGATTAGTCCGCCATATTTTCGACAACTCAGACACTCAACCGATGTGATGCTACGAAGGGGACTCTTGACTTTCGATTTGGATAATCGAATAACAGATTTTCAGTGCATGTCCAATGGGCTGCAGGTACGACGGTTACATTGGGACATAACATTTCAAGAATTCAATGCTAACGTTAGATACAAGCAGGTAACTTCAATATAACCAATGCAATGAAATACGATACTGGGCATGGTTGATTCGCGAAAGAGTAATAAGTGGTTAACGAGAAAGCCTGTGGCAAGTATAGGCTACTCCTCCATTTCATTTTAACAGATTAGGATTTGCACATTTCGTGGACAGTATTTATAGCTGGATTCCCAACAAAGCAATAACCGGCTCTAGTTGTTTGTAAAAGAATACGAAGAATACTATTCCGACCAACACAGCACATTGGACTGGTAAACATGGAACGACAATATATCTAAAATAATAGTCAATTCAAATCATGACCACTTACCAGTCTTATTTTCCTGTTGCCCTCAACAATTGCTGCAAGATTGGTTCTTTCTTCAGAAGACATCGCGACGTATTGATAGATTAGAAAATGCTGGCAAACTACAGTCCGTGAAGCAAATACATATTAGTCGATGCGATAGGTTTGTTTGACTTTCTAGAATATGTCAGAGTTATAGCAAACATCGGGAAAAAGCTGACGAGGGATGGCGACCTTTAGTCGAATCACCAACAGACTTGTATGCTTTGCAAGTCATTTTACCACATCAGCTAATAAAAACTAAAACTTTTTATATATAACACTTTACTACAGGGGTGTGCAACATTTAATACATGGTGGACAGATACAAATAACAGAGTGAAACCTCTATTTAACGTAGGCTTTCGAGTAGTTTCAGCGTAAATATATACTTCTACGTTTCCGGCATAAAAATTTGGATTATTGATCTATACATAATCAACCTTTTTTAAGTGACAGACCAGTATATCCTGATCGAATTTTTGGCGGACCGCCTTTATACAAATGGACTAAGCCTATGTAATAAAGTACGTGTTTCTTATATCCAGCATTCTTCGATATTTTGTTTTTGTAGTTGTCAATATTGAAAACCCGGCCTCAAATGGATATGATGCTGTGGAAGGTAACAGCTTCTAAATCTATAGCTGGGCATTGCTTGATGTTAGTTTAGCACAGGGGTTCCCAACCTTTTTATCTTAATTTCCCACTTCCGATTTAGGCTGAGTTATTATTTCCCACTAAATATTGACACCCTTAAATAGAATAATAATTGGTAAGACTTTCTGGATTTGGTAAGACTGAATGTCTGAATCTATTTTGAAAATGCGCATAGCTATCGGACAAGGAGACCTGTTCATTTTTGACGCCGCTGACTCACTCGGCAAATTATCAGCACACTCCACCAGACAAAGTTTCATCAATGTCTCACCGATGTTGTGGGATTTTTTGGTCCTTGCTATTCCCATGACAACTGCATAAGACGCAGTCACTTTAAACTTGTCTGAAATTGCCCCATGCTGTCGAATACCATTTTGCTTTTTTTTTCGTTTTTTTAGCAAACTGATAAGGAAATGGATATTGGAAATATGTTGCTTCATTTGATGGGGCTTCATAGAACCATTGGAGATGGTCTTAGTGCAAACAACGCATTGCGTCAGCTGCTCAAAATTTTTCTTTAAAAACGTGAAACGTAGCCGAAATAAATATGATTGTACTTTATTTATACATTAGCCATTATCTTTATTAAAAGTTTACCACAATGACGGGACGGACCAGACATTTGCCCATCAGGGCGTATGCCTACCCAATATCTCCAAGACATTAGAAAATACACTGTGCCCCTTAGCGACTATTCAACAAAAATATTCTTGCATAACAATCAGAGCCTTGGTACTCGTTCGAGACATGTCTGTGAGGTTGTTATCGGTCGACCGAAGATCAAAATTAGTTGCATGAGCACGATCAGAATAACATGGCCAACACCGTGATAGTTTATCCAAGTTTCGAATAATTGAATGGGAACCTTTTTCCGCTCCATGACTTATATTGTGATTTTCATTGTGTAATATTTAATAATTGTGTTATTGTGCGTACATTTTTAGAGGAGCATTCAATTTCCCACCAGGAACCCCTAAATTTCCCACTAGTGGGAAATTTCCCACCGGTTGGGAACCACTGGTTTAGCAAAAACTAATGCGTTGTGTTTGTCTGGTTTGTTGTTTGGTGCTGTTTTTAGCCATGGGGTTTTGGTTGAATTGTAGAGGTGTTATAGGCCCCTGTCTGTTTTTGTGTCACCTTTCTGCGGACCGGTAGTGACCCTTCCACGGACCGGTGATGCGCTGCGGCCCGGTTGTTGCCGACCACTGAGTTCTATATGACATGCGTCGTTCGCTTCGCACAAGCTAGCTGTTAGGGCATTGTAACGACATAGACATAAATAATAAATTTGACTCTAGTATAGACTGAAACGGGATTAGAATTACTAGCACGTACCAGATTTAAATCAAAAACTCGTTTTGCGGGTCGCGTAATTTTATCTTGTTGACGGCATTTGGACCACGAGCGCAGGTTGCACACCCTTGCTTCACTCCATACACGGCCACTGGTTTTAAAATGGGAGGTAAAATAACCCCTTACAAAACCATAAAGCATACTGGCATTTCAGTGACAGTAAATTGGTGATTAGGCCTGGCTCAATTCAATCTAATAACAATCTAAAAATTGTCCACGTCGTACCCAACAGCGTCTACATCTATTGGTATCTGGTATCTGTTTATTCTGGTTTTTGGAAAAAATCTGAAAAAAAAGTGAGGCTGAGCCGAAAATAGTTTATTTAGAGTGGAATTACCCCTCAAACTTTTTAAAACCATGAACATATGTACCCAAGCTTTTTAGGTTCGACATATTTATGCTACTGCATGTTTTTCACAAAAGAATTTAATAATATCGAGTGGGCCCACCAGAAATCGCCACTGGCCTGGCCTGCGAATTCTCAAGGCTTGGATGCCGTCCTGATTTTTACGAAATATTCTTTGTATTTGAGGTGTATCCTTGCTTTGGCTTATTTTATCCAGAGGATAAACATAATAATAAAAAACTAAGTATACAATTAACGGTGGCTCTTTAGTTGGGCTTTCCTATCTCCTTACTTTATTATTTATTTAGCTATAATCACTCTTGGTCTCTTGCAAACAAAAGTAAATCTGGATTTTGAGTAGCATCAAAATAATATATCGTACAATGAAAAATTTATTCGGTGAATAGTTGGCGGCAGTGAATATACTTGAAAGGGTGCTCCCGAAGTATGTGAACCAAGATGGCGGACACCGGAATGTAGTATGTTCACCAGTTTAGGGTTAGGCCTTAATTTTATTCCATTTTAGTGCTATTGCAGGTTTGGGGACTGGCCAAGTGACTTCCCTAGTAATTGTTCCTGTAATTATGGCCTAACGTAAACCTGGTACACATACTACGTTCCGGTGTCCGCCATCTTGGTTCACATACTTCGGGAGTACCCTCAAACGTACTTGGAGCAATTAAGTTTTTGCTATATTTATTCTGATTACCGACTTACATAAGCCCTGCCTAAGATACGCGTGTAATGCTCGAAAAATACAAAATGTCAACCCAATTTACTGGACAAACGAGCTTAGTGCAATTATGGAGGTACATTTTCGGCCGAGGGGAATCCAAGACTTCTGTTTCCCACGTTTTTATAAATGAAAAATTTGAATTGGTGATTCTGAATGGCACTTAGGATACAGCGGTTCAGAAGTATGTGTGCCAATATGGAGGCAACTAATTTTTGTTCGCCTATTTTCATCAAGTTGTGCAAAGGGACCGAAACCTACGGGAAAGGGGGATATTGACCTGGCTAACACAGACAGTTTCCGAACTCGTAATAGAACTGAAATAAGGCAAAAAAAAATAGGAATAAAATTATGTTCTAACCTGGTACGCATACTACGGGAGTACCTAGCCTAGGATGCAGTATTTTAGTCAGACGCTCAATGCTCACGATACCGTGCTGTAAATACTACAGCTTAGAACTCCAAAAAAAAAAGGTCCAGTGCATTTTATTCATTCTTGATTATATGGGGTAGGCCTAATATATACTGAAAGTTTATAGCTTTATATTCATCAGTTGAGGTTTCACAAATCAAATTTTACCAAGAAAAATCATGTGGAGCAAAAATATAAAAAATGATAAAAAAAAATTTTGACGAAATCGAAAAATGGGGTTCCTGAGAATAGCAAAATACACGAAGATTCGGTTCGTTTCTTTAACATTTCAAAGCAAAGTGGAATATTTCTAATTTTATCTACCCTATTCTCATTTTAGTAATTTCACTATTTCTTTTTGTAACAGATCATAAAGAAATAAATTATGTACAACAAGTGGAAAAATATGTTTACTTTCGGACCCAAATTTGGTGGATATGAAGCTTTTGCTTTTTACAAAGAACTCCGGTGATTATTTATCGGGAATTTAGGATTGTTTCAAATTATAGAATCATTACAAAAGCACCAACTAAGACAAGCAAAAGTATCGAAACAACCAATACAACCACACCAATCGAAATACTGGCTCTATTTTCCGTTGTTTGTGACGTCACTGTTGGTAGAATTTGTTCTTCATTCTCGCATATATCATCCCAATTGCACGTATCGTAACCGTGAAAATATTGAACCGATTCCTCTAAGTCCCAAAGGCCGTCAGGGTCATTAGTTGGATGATCAAGAGGCATCCGTATGAGTTTTTCGTTGAGAAAGATTTGAATTTTCCTTTCGTTCTCTGTAAGAAAAATTCAAGCCAAATCGATTAGAATTGTAAACATTATTTTACATGGAACTAATTTCAATAATTTATTTGTACTAGTGAACAATTAACGGTAAAATTCGAGTTTCGAAAGTGAGAAAATGCTAGCCTACTGCAGTTCATAAAACAAATACTCGATGCGATAGGTTTGTTTCCAGAATATGTCAAATTTAGGCTATTGCGAACACCATCTAAAACAGGGGCGGGCAAGGTTTTTTACCCAAGGGCCAAAGAATTCGCCCATTTAGTTAGGCGGGCCATGTAATTGAGACGTAAAAAGTACATTTTAGGAACAATATTTACAGTATTATAAAGCGAAGGTGGAAAACAATATGCCTCGTGCAAAAACTAAATTTAACCGCAATTTCAACAAATTCCTTGAGCTATTTTAGCTAAAACATCAAAATTTGGTTGAGACAGCATCAGGCGGGCCAAATTGAATTAACCTACGGGCCAGATTTGTCCCGCGGGTCGTACTTTGCCCATGTCTGGTCTAAAAGCTGACGAATGACGGCAAACTTGGACCGTAACACAACAGACCTTCTGCGTAATTTAACCACATTAGCTAGTGAAAACTAAAACATTTTACATGGCTTTACTCCACACGTGACCACTGGCTTCAGATATGCAATATAAAATAACAACTAACTAAACCAAAAACGCATACTAACATTATTTTACATTTAGAGTTGAGAAACTTAAAAGTGAGAACTTGATCTATAAAAGGATGGGATCAAGGCACCCGCTAAAAAAAACCACCAACGCTTAAAATAAGAAAATTAATAATTTCCCAATTAGGGTTAGAAATGCAAATTTCGCTGGCCTAACCTCAACTGGATAATAACTAATTTGTTATTTTTCCTCAAATCACACATTTTTGCATTAGTGGCGTTTTTTTTTGTAAAAAGATCCTAATTGTGTTGTTCTGCGACACAAACAGAATCGCAAGATGACTCACCACAGATCACTGTTTAAGAATGCGGAGCATATCGGTCTTTATTAAATCATTCATATTTAACTTACAAACAAATTTGAATCACACGACCTACCAGCACATTTATATACTACGAAAGCTATGTTAGCTGCTCCAGGAGTGTAAATAGAAGCTCGAAAAGTTCGGGTTCGTTTCTCCGGATATTCATCACTACCAAGTCGACCTTCGTCCTGTAATCACAATTGCTAGGTCTCACTCAGTATTATTTTGAAAACATTGTCATCAAGTACAATATTATTACTTTGAGGGCGATCGGATACAACTATGATAATAGGAAAATAGTGAATTACCGTACTTAATATATCATGCAGCCTTTTTACGCTGTGACATTGAGATCAAAATTACAAATATTTATTCAGAATTTTAAAAGCTTTTACTGCCTTTCAGATTTGAAGTGTCTTAATAATGAAGATTGTTGTGTTTCCGATTTCATTGTGATACAGTAGGAAAATTACAACTTCTCTTCTTGGCACTTGGCATTTGTAAAAAACAATCACAATGATTAGTGTGTGCTTCAGGACAGTCATACTTAAAACAAACAAATTTTACTTACCCGTATAAGTCGCATTTCTGTAAGTAACGACATCATCGTGGTTGAGTGCCCAAATCCGAACAGCCCAATATTATCTTTATTATTTTCGTCAGGTAATGATTCCTTTAAGAATGATACAATCAGATCTTTCAATTTGCAACTCTGTCTATGATTGATTTTGTGTCCAAAACTTTTTTCCAAATAATCGTCCATATCTTCGCCGTATTCAAATGCTGGAGAAAAGGATTGAAAAAGTCAATACTTTTACAATGAGATACACACTTAGCCTAACTTCACCAGTAATGTTTGTGATATTTCCACTTAGTTTAAAAACTGCATCTTTTGATTGTTAATAGCTTGAACTATGTAATATTATATAAAGTGATTGAATTCGATTAAATATTAATGTTAATAATGTCGCCTATTCGCGCTTGACTGCAGAGTGCGAGTATATTCTTGTATCAAGAACCATAATTTGGACGCAATCTAACATTGTTTCTCAAATTTGTTATATAGGCTACACATATTATTCAATTGTTTTGGTGTCTCGTTTTTTAGGTTTTATAAATAATAATTAGAAGCATTTGCGTTAACTAAATTTATTCATTAAGGTGAACCAGCATCGTAGGTGTCGCGACTCCCTTGCGACCTCTGTCACACAAAGTTCGTCTTTTTTTTCTTTATATCTTACCATATTTCCGTGATATATTTATATTGCTTGTGTTGACGAAAAAATGATGATTGATTGATATATATAGACATCTAAGAATAACAAACATCTAACGGTATATTTCCATATAAAATTGTACCCTGGAGATCTTCTTTGGTAAATGCTTTGCACCAGACACTGTCTTGACCCGTCACCCATTCTTCTTCCGCGCACCCTTCTTTTCTGATTTCATCTACCAACTCATTTGTGATATCGTTCCGCGGAATTCCAAGTCTTTGTGCAACCATATCAGCAATACGAGTTATGATTGGACCTAGGCAAAGAGATGACACATTAGTGTTATAAAACACAGTGTGGCACCACAGGAGTTGCGAGTTGACTCGTAGATTGTCTTGACGGGCCGCACATATTTTTAAAAAGGTAAAAACCGAACGGATGGCCGATGAATCCTAATTGTTTCACACAGATCAAAAGTGGAAATTTTGATTTATAAGCAGCGCCCGGCAACAACTCTCGAACTCAACTTAGCCGTCTTACTTGAATAAGAATAATCTAAAATGGGACTAATAGGGACACTGGATGAAGCCAAGTTTAAACATTTTATAAATGGTAATCAATATCCTCATTGCATTGCATCTCGGAGATTCCATTTGAATATATATTTCTGCCCCGTTAAACCTTTTGCTCTCAGCATCAAGTAAAAAATAATTGAAAACCTTCCATAAATGTATCGACGTCTTCCGTCACGGTGTCATTGTTGTCTATTTCTCTGAGATACTTTTTGCAATAATCATAAAATTTGATCAACTCGTCATTGATTTCGACTGTGGGTCGAGTTTTTGTCGAATTTAAGTAAAGTCTATTGATGAAAGCATCAGCCGATTGTGTTGTTCTTCTTGTATTTGACGAAATGAATCTGAAATTAAATAAGAAGAATTTCTAGATGCAATAGCAAAGCTTGAACATCACTTAAAACATGTTCTCTTTTTTGTTCACAGTGCGAGTTCATTTCTGATGATTTGAGCAAACGCATCAATGATTGTTCAGATAATTGTGCATCAAATAAAAAATATGATTAAAATTGAATTATTGTTATCTATATAATGAATATTAGTTGTTCAATTTTTTACAATTCTCAGAATATATATCATATTCTCATACTAATTAATGCCGCTTTGAAATGTAGGCTGCAGTCAGTTACGCGATTAGTCCCATTATCCCATTTTCGATCATTTCGACAAATTTAGGTCGAGTTATTCGTGATATATTCTTAGACTGTACCTATGTTTTGTTGAGTCGAGGTTTTCTCCGGAAAAAATTTCTGGAAAAGTCTTAGAAAACCTTTGAGCCAATCCTTGTAGTTCCTGTACTCCTGTTACGGCAAGGTCTTTATGAAGACTCGGTACATGCCAATTCTTCCACTTCTGGATTTTCTGAATGTTACATATAAATATTTTCAAGATAATATTTGTTACTATAATGGAAAGACTGTTCGGCCGGATACTTATGTTACATGCTGGTTGATAAACTTGACCCGGTTGTGATTAATGCGCAATTAAAAAATGATTATTATAGGGATTAGGCCAATGGTTCTCAACGTTTTTTTTTCAAGCAACCCAAATTTAAAAAAAATAATTTTGTAAAATCTCGCGACCAAAGAATATGCTCAGATGCTGAACAGCGTGTATTGCTCTTATGGCGTCAAAATTAAATGATCATCATGAAACAATCATTTTTACAGATTTAATTTCTCAAAAATTACTGAATGCGTACTTTGAATCCTCTTTTTTCTCGAAAATCTATTGCACGCCTTATAAGCTGGCTCGTCTAATGTATGAATGAGGTCGTGCTTTATTGCCTACCTACACTCTAAACCAGTACCGGTTGCGCCTGAAAGTCCGATGCGCTTATGTAAGAACAAAAATCCGATCTATAGCAATTTTTTGACAGACAGGGTGGTCCGTGGTCCATGGTTCATGAAATACAGAAATGAAGACGTATGTTGTTGCGTTGAATTAAATTTTCAAAAGTTTATTCATAGCATTGCAACTATTGACTGAAAACACGCTTTACTTTCGGATTTATATAAAGCGGTAATAAATAAACTTATGCCAAACTTTTCTCGATTCGGCATTGCATGCCCAACTTATTGCACCCTGGATTAGACAGATCAAGTCCATCGTTTTAACCACTACGCCCTCACATCATCATGAACCATCACGTCACGTCCATGAAACATTCTGATTGTATAATATGACAAGTTCACGAGACGGTTAAAATACCAATTTATTGACATGAAGCTTAGTAATTATTTCTCCACCTGTAAATCTTTTTGGCACATTTCAGCATTTCCAGTACTGTTTACTTTCTTTGCGAGTTCTACAAATGACTCGAAAATATCCGCTTCATCTTCTCCTGGGTGCCTTGATCCATGTCGAAACAAAATTGCGATACGCTCAGGGGTGCAATCTGAAATAAGAGCATTGATGTGTGTTGAATGGGAGCCCTACGCTCTAAATAAGAAAATTAGTAATTATCCAATTAGAAATGCAGATTGCTTGGTAATTCGAATTAATAAATCATTCCTAACCCCAACTTGTTAATTACTAATTTGTTATTTTAAAACGTGGCTTAGGGTGTTGTTCTCAAACCTCACATTTCTGCATTAGTGGCGGGAGTTTGTGCAGAAGATTCCATATCATACGTTTACAGAAAACTTGCAATGGGATACATCGCAAACAGCACAATATATATGTGTACAAGTTACTCGCGATGGAAAGTACAAGAACTACATAAATAACATTTGGAAATTATGATATATAAACTTACTCTTAGGCCTATCTGTATGAGATATATCTCCTCTCGTTGTTGTGTACAAAGTCTTTGTTTGATAATATTTGTAAGGATATTCATCGTCGTTGTCAAAATCACTAGAGCAAAATCCATTGGCATGATTGCTGAAGTAACACATAGCAAGTACAACAAAAATTGAACATTCTACTACACGCGCTTTACAAACCATTTCTATGGCTGAAAGATAAGGAACTACAGTTTATCGTGCCCACGGTAAAATATAGGCTAACTAAACTCAATCGAACATCATCGCCGAATCTACTTAGTGGCGTATCTAGGCCGATGTATACCAGTCATGGCTCGTGCCATGTGTGCCGTTTGGACAGGGATGCCAAAAAAACAGAAATTTGAATGGTAAAATAATTTCGAATTGGAATTAATTAATATTCATATTTTTACTTAAATAGTGTCGACAAGTATCTTAATTCAACAAAAGTCGTTAAAATTATCAGCTAGCGATGAAGAGGGCGCATTTAAAGGATTCAATAGGGCGCAACTTTGCCATTTGATGTAGATGAGCCACTGAATCCACTTATAAAATTAATTTCATATCCTAACGACATAAAGCGGTGTCGGCCGTTGGCTGAGACAGCACGAAGATTATTAATTTCTGAAGCTTATATATATCCATTAGTATTGGACCACTTTTTTCACCTCCACCCACTTTATTCAAGAAAAAAAATTCTCACATATCGTATGACCAGTCGTGTATGTCAGCGACCCTCTTCAAATTCCTAAGTAGGTCAAGAAACTATTGTCCGGTATATCGCTGAAACTGACTAGTTACGTATTCTATCCACCTCGCATTATCAAAAAAATGGATAAATTCTACGGTTCTCTTGTTTAGAAACACATACAAAATGTGCGATATACGTGAATGGAAAACTAAGCTTGCTTGCATCTGCTATCAAGTGGCGTTTTTGAGAATGTTGTCTAATCGTGCAATATGATACAGTAATTGGGTTGTAATGACCAACCATTTTCGATTATTTTGTGAATAGACAGACCTACATCATGCCGGTTCATGACTTCACCAAATAATTTAATATTTGTTAAAAACATATATCATATCATAATAATCATAATTGTGGAATATGATACAGTAATTGGGTTGTTATGACCATCCATTTTCTATTACTTTGCGAATAGAACAACATCATTCCGGACTCTAGGTTCATGACTTCACCAAATAATCCAAGATATGTTATGCTTTCTTTTCTCCAAACAATCAGCAAATAAATGCAAGTCTGTAACGATTGTCGAACCATCAATTCCAATTTACTTGAACCCATGACCTTGAATGGATAAAAAAGTCTTTTAAAAACATAAATTCATATAGTTTTTCGAGGTGTAGACATGGGCATTTAAACTATTTAAATGGAGAATAGATGGAAAAAGATACAACGCACAACGGTTCGGCGGCGTGGTGCATCGTGCTAACTAACCGCTAGGAATGCTCTCGCCGCCGCACCTATGATTACCCTGCGTGGGTTCGCAGGTTCGAATCCAATTGCTGGACTCGCCGCCATAGGTTGGTTCACGTAACGGATGATCCGTCACGACTTCCTCCAACATCAAGTTCATGCATCGGAAAACAATTAACTAACTAATCTCCATAACGAACATGGGCTGGTAAACAAACGAGGCCGTGGAACAAGGGTTGGGATTCCGGGAAATCTCGATCCCGAATTCCCGGGATTTGAACTGTTTTTTTCAATCTCGATCCCGCAATTATTTCCTAAAAATCCAGGGATTTTAAGGCTTTGTTATCAAGATTAGAAATCAAGATTAGATATTCTAACGAATGGTAGGTTTGAGTGGAAGTGGAATTATTGTGCGAAATTTTTCTCAAATTGTACCAAGGAATTATTACTTGACTAGTAGAATTGCCATTATTGACGACTTATTTAATCCTAATTCGAGCTCAAAATAGCATTTAGGATTAACGGTATGACTTTGCAGGGTTTTTATTCACTATTTAATACGAAAATAAAACAGCCACACTTTTGAGAAGTAAAATCAAGAAGATCAACTATCGTCTTCATAAATATCCGCATTCCGGCGTCAGAAATGATAGTATTTTGCAGCTTCAAAATTGGGAAAGTTAATTTACAAACGATGGCAAGAAAGATCCAAAGCCGACCCAGAAGTGAAAAATTGGAATAAAATCCCGAATTTAACCCGATATTCGACAATTCGTTAAAATTATTCAATTCGATGAAAATATACTATTTTGCCTACCCTTGCGATCAGTAAACACGCCAGTAATCTGGCGAAACGCGCTGTAGTCCAAACACTGATGCAATGAAACTTAATAAAACCTTCATGAATTTAGTAAATTGCACTAGCCTACTTCACGAAAGCGTGGGGAAATTGACGATCATTCCATATCTCGAACACAAAAACGGTTATCTTTCTTATGTGGTCTGAAGAGTCGAATAAGCGTTTCGACTTAGTAAATGCTATGATCTTTGCCATCAAATTATGCTCGGGTCTTGCGCGAACTTCATAACGTGAAAAGATACGTCCAGCTGTGAAAATTGTTTATAACTACTTTGAACCTATTTAGAGTTTTTAGCGATAATAATTAATTGCTGTAATGAAATACAGTTTGTTTGCCACTTTCATTTCTATCGCAACTGCCGACAGTAACACTATTGAATGATTTTGGCAATGGGAAAAACATATTGAATTGTAACAAAAATGACTTAGGTTGTGAAAAAGTAAGGATACATGCGATAATAATGAGTGCGTAACGTGGAACGGGGAAGGGCGAGCAAAACCGAAGCACGTGATCAGCGGTTACTTTGAAGACCACGTATTATTCGTGCGGCCGCGCAACTTTTACAATAATGTGAGGTGTTCCGAAGACCTCTCGTTTACAATGTAAGAAAACTGTTCTAATATCGTTAACTATTAACCATTTGTTCGCGTTCGACTATAGCATTCTTTATGGGTAGAAAATGTTCTTTTTTTGTGATGAATGTGCCGCGAATACTTAAATAGCTAAATAGTGTACCGCGATATTAAATACGGGTTGGGGTTTAAAAACTGGTCCCGAAATCCCAACCCTACGTGGAACGTCATATGATTAAGCCGTCTTATCGACTTTCCTGTCTACGGGATAAATACGTAAATCCTATCTTACAAAGCATGTGCTCACTCAATAATAAGGGGGAGATTTGTAAACCTGTATCGGTTCATAATCCAAATGATTCGCCAAGATGTTCAACATATTTTTAAAGAACTGTTATAATAATGGTGTCCCATTTTTGTTCTCCAGATCAACGGTTATTTAGCAGAATTAAATAATGCATATTTCATTTCTTTTCATTGCCTTGATAAAAAGTAGAAAGGAAAACAGAATTTGAGATCTCTGGAAATATATTCTAGAATTAGTTAAGGTGGTAGAGTATCGACAAAGAATTCATCCACGTCACCACGTGCCTCTTGCAGATAGCTCATTTTAGTCTCGTCTATTGCAGCTTATTCGGGACTAATTTTTGATAATTGCAACTAATGATAATTTAAGTATTTGATTTACGACTAATTTTTTGAAACACAATTGAAAACTGACAAATTGCACACAAAATCGCGAACACGGGTCGATTGTTTGCAACCATGTTTATTTGGATATCTGTCTTAGTGAAAGAGGTGACTGAGCGACTGCGTGAATTTCCATTGTTGCGTCATCGTAGACTAGGGTTGCCATACGTCATATTTTTCCTTGACATGTCCGGGATTTTAGTGGTCAAACTTGCGTAAGGGAGAAATTTCAAAAAATTCGTAAGTGTCAAGGGGTTTACAGTGAATCCCTGCTACAAATCCTCAAATTTTCAGATATTTCGTCGCATTCAGATAATTGTAATAATGTCACATATAACCTGAATTTCCATCTGTAGGCTAATCGGTATTTTGGTTGAACCATTTTATAGCCTTTTTGCTGATTATGGAGTCGAAATAAACTTATTTATTTTATTTATTTATAACTACCTTCACCTGTAGGCCTACTTTATTCCATGCTAGGGTTTAGTTTTAGTCACTAGTGCTAAAGATAGCAACAATTTTGATCCTTTCGGTTTGTTCCCTATTTATTCTATTCTCACGAGAAAGCGGAGACAGCTTGTGCCTTTGGATACATCGTGAATTTATACCGTAATATAAGTGTTTTGGTTGCAAAATCGGTCAATGTGGCTCATTAATATTTTGTCAGGGATTTTGTCTTTCCAGATATGGTAACCCTATCGTAGACTTATTGCTGATTAGACATTTTTGCAGAAATAAACGGAGAAATTGATGTTGCGGCAAACCTTTTCGAGGCCTTTGAGAAAATTGAGGCCTTCTTCTGCCTGATGTAATTTAGTAGTTTGTGGACGCGTAGGACGTCTTAACTTGCGCCTAACATTGTCAGAATGCCGGATCACATCACAGCATCACATCACACTCGTGTGACGCCACACTCGCCATCCAAGTGATAATAATAATAATAATAATAATAATCTTTATTTTGATTTCCCCAAAAAAACATACACATAACAAATAATGAACACATAAAACAAACACACAGAATAATGGGAAATCGGGAAAACAGGCAAAACCTCGAGTAGGGTTTAAAACACGTATAAATACATGTGCCTGTTCACCCATGATATTACACTCACAAACATATTACAAAAAAAAAGATAAAAACACGAACGTGTTATCGTTCCAACGTTCGGGCGTCTAACTTGTGTTACAAACAAAATGCGGGTGCGTAGGTTCTAATTTAAAACTGTTTACGTCGAAACGGACATGATTCGGGCTGTGTTTATTAAATTGGCGTAAACAAGTGCGAACTAGTGAGTTAGATAAAAGCAGTGTCAGAATGAGTAATAAATAAATCGAAATGTCTTTTGGTTGATTTCCTCTTTGTAAATAAAATCCGACGTTGTGATGTGCTGTAGTGTGCTAGGTGCAATGTTTCATAGAAAATGCCTGTCCATCTTTTTTTCCTTAGTTCTTTGCGAAGCAAATATGTAAAATTGGAATCTTGGGTAGCCCGTACAGCAATGCCAAAGTAGTCTATTATTTCGTTATCCATCATTTAGAATGTTGATTGTTTCTAATTTTTGTATTCCATTTGTTTCCACTAACCAAGTTGTTATCTTCGGCGCTATTACTTTTTGTTTAATTTCAATTCTAGTATTTCACCTGTTTACCCTTCCATGCCTCTAGCTGAGACTTAAAACGAAGTCCACGACTAGATTCATAAAAGGATCGAAACCTCGCAATATACTCGTAACAGATCGTCCACCATTTAACTTTAAATCCAATCTTTTATCCATAAACTTCTTTAATTCCAGTGGATGGGCTTTGCTGATGTTGATATTACGCGATACAGATTACAGATACCGAAACATACAACGCGTAGTCTTTTCCAACACTGATCCAACACTGTTTTTGTTAGGCCATCGATAGTTGTTAGGCCATATTGAGGTAACTGAGCTGAGCTTGCTGTTGCATTTGCGTGGGATTATCAGCTATTATAGGGTATATATATTATCAGAGCAACCAAGTTTTTATGGAATAGCGTTTATGAAGTGAATATAATAGTTGGTTGACCGGTTCACCGCAGCTTGAGTGTGGGCTTGGGTAATACATTTAAAATCGATATTATTTTACATTTCGCTTGTTGTAGGAGTTGATGTGGCACATTCAGTAGAGACATTCCGTTCCTGTCGAAATTTTGGAATAATTTATCAGAATATTGTGCGTGCTTCTTACTTTTTATATTTGCGCCGATTTGTTTGTTTAATTCTTGTGTGTAATGCTGCAATCGGTGAAAGGTAAAACTAGGTACGGTAAATTACCAGATTCTGAGATTACTGAATTGTTTATATGGTCTACCGGTACTCTAATTCATCAATTTTATTTTAGTGGACTACTGCTGTACTAAATTGCATTTCTACGGAAACAAGGTTCTTGAAAAGCAGCCATCGATGTATGTCAGTACAGCAGTATGTAGAGACTAACGTCTGAACGTACAGACGTATGTTTTACTAGGACTGAATATTTTTTATTGTCATAACACAGACACTGATTGCATTCAGGTGAAAGACCTGAAGACGGAGTTTGAAACTCCGCCAAACCTTTTACTGTTTTAGTTTGGCGCGGCGGTGTGGCTCAACGGGCTAAGCGTTAGGAATACGCTCGCCACCGCACCTCTAATTACTCTGCGTGGGTTCGCAGGTTCGAATCCCATGCAGGGATGGTTATGTGCGAGAGGATTGCTGGACTACTCGCCGTCGTTGGGTGGTTCACGTAACCGCTGGTCGGTTACGGCTTCCTCCACCACCAAGTCCATGCTTCTGAAAACAAACAATATAACTAATCCCATACCCGACTTGGAATGGTAACCGGACGAGAGGCTGTGGGTTCGCCATAAGGATAAGCCGTCTTATCGGCTTTCCTCTCCCCCAGGATAAATATGTAAATCCTATCTTATTCTTAACTACTACAGTACTAGGCTATTATATTATTGTGCAAAAAAATGAAGAAAAATATTGGATTTGTATCAACTCCTAGCATATACGGTATGTCCCAAGTTTTTGTCATCGAATACCACCAGTAGTAATTTTTAATATTTAATATTTGGAAACTAAATGAGACAAAAACAAGTCAAGTCTCATTTAGTTTCCAAATATTAAATATTAAAAATTACTACTGGTGGTATTCGATGACAAAAACTTGGGACACTCCACACTTGCACATTATTGTTTTAATGAAAATGTTGAACAGCTATAATAATATTGTGCCACGACTATAATAATATCTTGCCACGACTTGGCCAGAACTAGTCCAGCACCAAAGAAATGGTATTGTGACATGCATGAGTATATATATATTTTTTTAAATATATAGGTAGCTAACGTACTCGGATGATATTTTCTTTAAATAACTGCACACATTCTATCACTTCACGCTCGTGTTTTTATCTTTTTCTAGCTGTGATGTCCCTATCATACACACTTGGTCTTATGTTTGAGTGGTGGTATAAGGGTTGTAGATAGTACAATATTGTTCCTGCAAGGTTACTAATTATTGCAACTAGGCGAGCAGTAGAGCTATGTTGGATTCCCCCCTTCAGATTTTAATTTGCTGTGGGTCATTGTAATTGGATGTGGTTTTTATATCATTTATGTATGCGTGCGTTTTATGTTAAGGCATGGTGTTTGAGTTGACTTGTTGGCCAAGGTATAGATAGTAAAATTTTGTGTGTTTTTTGCATGGTGTGATAAATTTTTCTCTGTCCCAAGCAGAATGTCATCATAGATCATCTATCCATCGCTATATAATGACAATACATCCCATTTAATTAAACAATTATTTTTTGCCTGTAATAAATAGTTCAGAGCGTTCCCCTTCACCCAATCATTGAAACATCTACTCGCAATTTTATTTTTTGTTTTTCAGGTTACTTCAAAGTGATTAAATGAAGTAAAACACATACGGAAAAAAACAAAAAAAGACTCCCGATATCCAGTGAAATAACAACCTCATTCCCATATCCTTGTCTGAAATCAATACCCAAGAATGAAAAACCTCACTTAGACCCTTTGTAACCAATTTATTTCCACATCCTACTTTACTTAATTATAGTAATTTTACTGTTACCGGTAACTTAATTACTTATTACAATCTGGACTATAATTTGGCAATAATAGGCTCTAATTTGGGGAATGAAATGGTCTCGCCCACCTCTTCATGCACCCAATTCTGGCAACTTTGGTTGGGCAACTTGGCATTTGACTCCAACTATAATCAGCTTGGCAATATGTTTTCAATAGAATCTTCCTTTTATATACCTAATTAACGATTAGAAGATCGATCAATTTGGCAATGGCAACCATTACAAAAATATCAATATGGTGTGGCAGATAATTTTCTTTTCTAGTATTTATTTATTTTTTTGTTTACTGTATAGTATACCCTAAATTTATCGCGTTTCATTCTTACTTAAATAACTTCTCAGTGGTTGTGTGTGTGTGTGGCTGGTGGGTGCATGTGAGCGTGTGTGAAATAACTTGATAATTTTAGGTGAGTAAACACGTACCACTTCCTCTTGGCAAAACCTTTCATCTTATATTTTGTACGTTATAAACCTTATCTAAGGTTTTGTTTGCTCCCCTGTTTCATAATCAGATTTTTTTATTTGTTTTTATCTGTCAAATGTATTGTTATGCTGATTATGGAGTCGAAATAAACTTATACTTAAACTTATAAACTTATTATGCGGTTATGTAAAACTGCATATGTAGTGTCCGATGTCACACATAGGGTGATAATATATGGCAGTCATTACGATATTTCACTCTTCAGCTATTTGTTCTAATTTAAGCCAGTACTGCATTAATAACCTTGAAACTAATTGTTCTATTTTCGTGACTATTCATTGTCTAATTAACTGTTACTCAACTATTTGGTTCCAAGGTAAATTGAAATTTATAGGTAAAATACTGAAAATGTGAAATTAACATAGTGTTTCTGTGATTGATGAACTTCATCGAACAAGAATAGACTGACAGATAATATCTTCCCCTGCCATTACATTTGTAAATGTTATTTTTTTAGTTTTAAAATATGAAGCTTGTAACTTGGAATATTAATGGCCTCAGATCAATGAAAGGACCAATTAAACCATTTCTTGATGGACTTGACGCTGACATTATATGCTTTCAAGAAACTAAAATAACAAAAGATCAAATTGAGAGCGATTTAGCATTAGTTGATGGATATTCTTCATACTTCAGCTTTTCACAAACACGCCAAGGTTATTCAGGCGTGGCCACATATTGTAAAACGAATACTACACCATTTCTAGCACAAGAAGGATTATTTGATTTTGCAGAAAAGTCTGCAGGAAATGGAGCCATTATGCATTATGGGGATTTAAGTTCAAAATTCTCGCAGGAGAGATTGTATGAAGTTGATAAGGAAGGGAGAACAATAATTACTCAGCATGAATTCTATGATTCAGCGAAGAAGAGAAATGAAAAGTTAACTGTTATAAATGTCTATTGTCCGAGGGCAGATCCAGAAAAACCAGAGCGACAAGTTTTCAAAATGGATTTTTACAACATGTTAGAAACTCGAGCAAACGCAATATTGAATTCGGGAAGGCATGTTATTATTTGTGGGGATATCAATACATCACATAGAAGGATTGATCATTGTGATCCTAATGATCCAGAATTGTTTTACGATAATCCATGCCGAGAATGGATGGATGGGATACTATATAACAAAGGTGACTACTCTGCTCTAATACATTTAAATTTAAACTCTATCCAGACAGAATTCTGCGAAGGATTTGAAAATATAAAAAATGTTTTATGCGAAAAAGATTCTAGTACTGATGGAACTGAATCAAATACGGAGGAATTTACACAACAAAATTTAAAACAGGATTCGGAAAATATAGATATTTGTAACAACAATAGAGCAAAATTCATCGATACCTTCAGATACTTTTTCCCACATCGAAAAAATGCATTCACTTGTTGGAACACAATGAAATCTTGTCGAGAAACTAACTACGGCACGAGAATTGATTATATTTTAGCGAATTCTGAGTTTCATATAAATTATGTTAAAAATTGTGACATTTTACCGGAGATTTATGGATCTGATCATTGTCCAGTCAAAGCAGATATCAATGTAACTATGATACCTGCATCCAAATGTCCGCCATGTTGTACTAAATATATGACAGAATTTGGAGGCCGACAGCAGACTTTGTCATCCTTTTTTTCTCAAAAAGCAAAATCAAAATTTGATGATGAGCAGCTTTGTCAAAGCCCTGTAAAGACAGTAGTATCTTCTTCACTAAAGACCTCTACGCAGAAACTTTCTAAATCATCTGTTTCAAATTCCAAAAAGCGGAAACATGAAAACAGCAGTAATACTGTAAGCAAACAGACGAAACTCCATTTTTTTACCCAAAATAAATCTTCAAAATCTAAAGTAAATATGGAAATAAACACTAAAAAATCAGCCAATACTTTGTCTCTTTCTCAAGAAAAACTCGAATTCATGCCAAAAATTGATAAATCTTTCACGACAAAAAGCTCAACTGAAGTTTCAAACTTTTGGAAATCAGTACTGAAAGGCCCTGAACCTCCTCCATTATGTAAAGGTCACAACGAACCTTGTTTTCTTAGAACAGTTAAAAAAGAAGGTCCAAACTTAGGGAAGCAATTTTATTGTTGTCGACGTCCTGATGGACATAAAACTAATCCTGAAGCAAGATGTTCATTCTTTCAATGGAAGACCTGACTGAAAATTTTCATAGGTTATCTTGTACCAGACCTTGATAAATGTTCATTTTTCAGACATATCCATTTTCAAGTTGAATATTTCTTATTAAGGAATAAACTTTTTTTAGGCCTTTTTAAATATTAGCATTCTTTACTGAGAGAAATAGTAAATTTTAAATGCAAACTTGATTTATGGTAGTTATTGAGTAGGCTATTTAACCGCTGCTGCCCTCACAGTATTGGTTTCAAAGTAATGTTTATACCCAAATTTTTCAGCTCACAATAAATTCGACTTTTTAAAATTCGATGGAAATATACTAACTACTTTAATTTTATGCAAGACTTATCATGTTAACATGTTTTTTGGTATAATAGTTGTTTTTAAACAGCGCAACGACGTATTCTTGTAATAAACTATGTCATTCCTGCTTTATTATTAATAGTTGTGTTTAGCTGGTCATGATTATGAAAAATTTTCATTTTACTAGGCCTACTAAATTGCCGATTTATGCTTATGGATATAATTTGATGCAATTTAACAGTAGTTAAGCTCTCGTATTTCTATTTCAGCCAATTTAATAATATATTTTCATACTTCAATTTGCAGTGGTTACTATATTTATAATCAATTTGTTGTATTGATTTTTGGACTAACGGACGAACTATCATTATAAACTTCGAATGTGTTTGCTAAAGGTGCTTTAAAACAAATCTATGAAACACTGGATAATATTGCAAGCGTATTAATATAAATACAAACAATATGATGCCGATGGGGTGGAACCAAATACGACAAGCAAAAGTTGCTGATGTCCAAGGGCAAATGAGGCACAATCATATGGGTCAGAATCAGCATCAACAGTATAGTCACCATCAACAAATGAATCCCCATCCAATGATGATGCACAATCAACAAGCTCCATCCTTTGATTGGAATCAACAGCATATGATGCATCAACAACAAATGTATTCTCATCCTATGATGGGACATTTTGGAATGCAAAATCCACAAGTAAGTTGATTATGATTCATTTGTTTTGAATGAAATACAAAACTAATGATATTGTAAAATGAAACTTTGTTTTTATACGAAATTTGTCTATATTGTAGCAGGTTTTTTATGTCAAAATTTGCAATGAGAATTTTGACATACCGGTATATAGAAATTTTGATGCTTTGCTGATCGATCTATCGTCATGTTTTTGCATTTCTTGTTAATAAAAAGCTTGCCCGTATTGGCAGCTCATCTCACCGCTCATGGAAAATTCATTGTATACATCAGTGTTCACTATTAGCGCACTTTTTTGCGAAAATTGCGAAGCACTTTCGCAACTTTTTTTAGGGACTGCGAAATAGCACTTTTTTTTCGATTTTGAAGAGAAATAGCACTTTTTTCCGATTTTGAATGGAATAAAAATTCGAAGTTGACAAATATTTTTGTGTGAGTATTAAGTTGACAAGTAAGTAACATACTAGTACTTTTGTAACTCAATCCTGCATATCATAACGATATTTACCGGAATTCTAACCTATGAGATGCAGACATAGGAGATAAAGCTTTTGCACTAACGGCGAAATTCTTGTTTATAATATGATTATTATACAAGCACACCGATTCCGCTTCTCCCGCAAAAACGCTTCCGGCGTCTTTGAAACCAGATGTTGGAATACTACACAGTGCGTTTCTTTGAACGAGAGTGGTCATGTGACTATCAATGATATCGATGAATTCAAAATGACTATGAAAGTGTTAGTAAAGTGTTATAGTCACTTTGGATGAATTGTGACCAAAGTGCACGATTTTCAAACGAAACTTTTAGCAGCATGTCACAGATTTGCAAAATCACCAAATTCACAAAATACCATTAAGTGCCATTTTATGATAATCACAATGTTGAAAGCACGTGGCATTTTCCGGAATTTTGCGATATTTACACAACTATTTCTCATTGATATGCGAGTACGGGTGGGCAAATACCGTGATGCAGATATTTCTATGGTGATAAACTTCGCAAATCTGAAATTGTGCCAATCCTGAATGTTGATTTAAAATAGTGATTGAATAATTCGGCAATAAAGGCATTTCTGTGTGGTCATAAGACGAGATGACGTTAATGAACAGCACTTCTTTTACAGGATATTTTACGTATGCGACTTAATGCTAGAAAGATTGGGCTCGAGTGTTTTTGTGCCTAATAGAGGTCAGGCGCTAATTGTAACTAATTCCCTCAAGTTTCAACGTTTTTTCAACAAAACAATACCCCGACGATAATTATAGCTAACATGTTACCGAGCAATTCACAATTTTATTTATGGAATTTGCAAATTCACCAGTTTCTTGACGATTTTGATAATGTCACGCTCTAACTATTAGTGCAAAAAAGACTCCCCTTCTTCAGCAGCGGCGGTTTGACGGGTTTCCTTGTTCTATTCTTCAGAAAGTTCTAACACGGAGGGATATAGAATACTGAATCCGGAGGGGTGAATCCCTGTCGACTTACTGGCGATTGCTCGATTGCAATAATCTTAAATTTTTGGAATGCGTGGAACATTCTCTATTTTAAATTAAATGACGTTTCGCGGGCTAGAGTTCTTCCCGAAAATGATGTGTACCAGACGTTAGTTAGACAATAGATAAAACATTAGATTAATACTTTTCATGACGCCCCGTTTTCGAAAATACAAAGTTATAACGTAAAAAATGCGTTTTGATACATTTGGAATGAAACATTATTTACGGTTAATTCAGATCATCTTTTACTTTTCATGACACCCGGTATCCGAAAATACAAAGTTGTATCGCGAAAAATGTGTTTTGTTACATTTAAAATAAAACATTTTTGCGATTAATTTAGATCATAATTTACTTTTCACGACACCCGTTTCCGAAAATACAAGGTTATGTCGCGAAAATGTGTTTTGTTACATTTAAAATAAAACATTTTTGCCATTAATTTAGATCATGTTTTACTGTTCAGGACACCGGTTTTCGAAAATACAAGGTTATATCGCAAAATGTGTTTTGTTACATTTAAAATAAAACATTTTTGCGATTAATTTAGATCAAATTTTACCTTTCACGGCAACCCGTTTCCGAAAATACAAAGTTATAACACAAAAAAATGCGTTTTGTTACATTTATTTTGCATTCCCAATAAAATACATATTTTCCCTAATTAAAGTCGTGGATGAATCTGTTCCTGTCGTTCAAGCTCGACACACGTTTGGACAAGTGTGAGGCGGTTTTTTGGTCGACGATGAATTAAAAAGTTGCCACACGTTATTTGTATAACGATAATAACTGAAAATTAAGATTTTGCAATAGAAGTGAATTTGTCTCAAGATGGTATTTTACGATTCTTGCCCACAGAAAATAAACACGCTGACTGGCTTTGTTATAATTGATATTCATTTAATTTATTTTACACTATTAATAAACGCGCCACACCAAGTGCGGCCATATAAATTGCAGTTGCATCGGTATGGACTGTATGTTTTTGGCGCTCTCACATTAATAATAATTTTCAACAAAACAATACCCCGACGGTTATTATAGCTGAATTCGTTACCGAGTAATTCACAATTTTATTTACGGAATTTGCAATTTCAAGACCTCACTTAACGATTTTGATGATGTCATGCCCTAATTATTACTGCTTAAATGCCTCAAAATACAACAAATGTAATCATTTTCGACGATAACAGGCGCAACAATTCGTAAACGAACCGTTATAACGAAATTCGCGATTGGTTTACCTCTCTCTTGTTTACAATTTTAACATCCCGCCGGCCATGTATGGTCGAATAAAATGTTCACATAATCGAAACATGGCTTGGCCAAAGATGGAAGGGATCACTAAAGAGCTAATAGAAAGTACATACGCGAGAGTATGATATTGATATCGAGAATATTTGTGAGCATATCACAGGACGGAAATATTTTGCACCCGGCTGTTTGTTGGCAGAACAACGATACGCTAAAGTTAATTGATCGAATACAGGGAAGTATTCATTTATCATCTCACTTGCGAACATCGAGGTTTTGGCGGAATTGTACGATCATGTTGTCTTTCTTAAATAATAACTTTCAATAAATGTTCATTTTACTTTTGCGTCTTTATTATATGTCGGGTTTTCATTTATTTTAAATTCGAAATTGTCCGAAATACTCCAACAGGTGTATAAGTACAATAATAATAATAATAGTACTTACCAAAGTACTTACCAGGGAAGTGTTACACACGATATGCGTCGTAACTCCCGTTTTTTTAATTTGATTGTTTTACATTCTGCTTAAAAAACAACGTTGTTTTGCAGTCATCTAACGTAACTCTCGCGACCAAATCTTTTTTGTTTTGTATGGCATCATCTTTCGACATTAATTTTCAGGATATCAGCTTTCATGTGGTCGAATAAAAATTATTTATCAAATGGATTGTTATTTCCAGACACTCTCAAAATTATTTTGGTTCCACTATCATATCATTCGTTTATTTTTTATATTCATATTTTTTTCAAGAATCACCCTCGTTATATTTCGTGTACCTTCGCAAATAAAATTTCTCTGGTGTCATCGTTCCTATTAGTGTAATTGAAATATATGGAAACCTCGCCACCTCGAAAGTGGCGTTGTGATGCGAATATTTGATACTAGGTCAGCAGCATTACAAAGAGTGCTATTTATGAATGCTGAAAGTACATGGTATCACTAAACATTTTGCCAATATATGATGTTTTCTGCCCGATTTAAACTAACTCGCACGCAAACCAAGGCATGTCGACATTTAAAAATTACTTGTCTTTGGGTAAGCTCTGAAATAGTATAATATAAATGTAAATGAGAAATTAGGTCACGATAGCTTACGAAACGGGGCGGATTTTCAAAGTGATCTTGTGTAATATTTCGGAGTAAAAAATTGGAAAGGAAAGTAGGTCAACCTATCTCCTAAAACAGGGAAGTATCCTGCGTAATATTTCGGAGGGAACATAGGTTAACCTATCTTTTAAAACAGCGGGTGGCGACTTTCAAAGTGGTTCAAAATCACAAATTAATAATTATCAGATTAGGTTTAGGGATAAATCAAAAAGTTGAATTTCCAGCGCACCTAACCCTAATTAGTTGATTGCTATTTATATTTGGGGGGGGGGGGGGGAATTATTTTGCACGGGATTTGTACAAATGATCCACCCTGTAACTAATATGGTTTCCAGCCTGCATTTATCAATCGTTGTCTGTTAGATGGAAGGAGTAACAAATGTGAAAGGCTTTGCTGTTCACGCGAGTGCGCAACTGACATGGTGATACATTGCATGAAAGTTTTGTCCGCGGCAGGTGTTAGCAGATGTCCTTTCGTTGCCGATGAATTCGCTTGTTTTGATTAAACATGAATTCGCTTGAAGGGAACTCGGTTAACGTAAAGGCTTCTCTTTAATTCATAATATTAACCCGAGGAGCGCTTTTTCGAGTATCTATGCCGTTTTAAATGGGTTATATGAAAGGCTAGGGCACCTAACTTGTTAAAATCGGCAAAAGCACTTTCGCACTTTTTTTTTCGACTGCGAAGCACTTTCGCACTCATAATTCGCTTAGAGTTAACACTGGTATACATAAATCAGTGCCATTTTATGTATATTTTGTGCTTATGTTTTTGTTTCACATTTTGAGAGAATTACCAGCTGTATTTTTTTTCTGTATTTTCGTACTCATCAGGCAAGAGACAATCCATCTAGTCATTGGCATACAAGTATTAATTAATAATACAATATGCCATTGTAGTGACTAGTAATTAATCTAATTACCTAATCAACTTGTATTTTTAGATGATGATGGGAATTGCAGACAAACCACCAGAGCCATCAGAACCTCCTCCTCCATCACCACCTGCTCCATTACCCAATGACGAACCCCCTCCAGCTCCCCCTGCTGCTGAGCAGAAGGTAAGGCTTTCTTTGTATCACCTAGAATAGATCACTGCCAGTTGAATTAATAGTTAACTAGAAAATGGCCCATTCAAACACATTATGCTTTTTTCTTTGCAATATTTGCCAAATATATTGCTGCACAGGCAATAAGTTTGGACTAGAATTAGGAATACAAATAGAGTTATATAGAATAATTGTGATATAGATAAGATAATTTTATTGCTTTGACACTGTATAAAAAAAAATAACAACATATCCGACTAAAATTTAGGAAGTTGTCAAACCTCCAAGTGCATTTTGAAACATGGTATATAAGAGTACTACATGGGCAATCTTACATGTGACATTGCGGCCCATGGTTTTAGTTTAATCTGGTATGTGCAAGTAATTCCATGCCTATACCCGAGTCCAATTTTGTTATCTGTGCCTATGGCGTTACAACGCCCTAACAGCTAGCTTGGGCGAAACTAGCAACGCATGTCATGAGATTTATAACTAAGATTTTTGAGCCTGCAACTACCAGAGAACCTCTCTTAAATAGATGGTTCGACCCACGGTTTCACCCAGTTATTTGTATCTGGCTTTCCTGTATTAAAGGTTGCAGCACACCCTTGACATAGGGTATATAAAAAATAAATCATGCTTTGAGGATATTATTATAAAAGTTGGTGAATTTTAATTTTAGTGGTGGGAATCTGAAATGCGGAATTTGCAAAATATGCATCATAGAAATGAATTGGAACGATTATCTGGTGAAAAATGGTTTCAAAGTATGAATACAAGTCAGCAGATTGAATGTTGGCAACACAAACTGCAACTTATTAATAAGGAGAAAAAAGGTGATTTATTTTATATCTATCCCATTTCTCAATAGTCCAAATCTGAGTTGAAGACTGGTTTAACATTTCACTCCAAACAAATGTTATGTATGGACTGTCAGTTTTACGAGGGCTTGTTTGGAAAAGCTGAATTATTTATAAATAAGGTTACTAAACTTAATTTGCATTTCAACTTTTTCACAAGGCAAACAATGTTAATAATAGTTGTTAGAAGATAAATTTCATTGTATGTTACCCCAAAAATTGACTTCTCTGTTAAATTAGAAGAAGCTGAGATAGACTGGCTTAAATATAGCTATCAGTACTTTTGTGTGGCAAAGCTGTTTAACTATTTCAAACAAAATTGGATTTTTGTAGACGCATACCCTCTTACATGATCTAACTAGCCTAACCACTCTCGAAATAAGAATGAAAATCATGCCTCTTAAAGGAACAACTGGTTTACTTATCCCTGTACATAACTTGGACAGAAAACTGATCTTATTAATAGTTTTTTTCTCCCTAAGATATACTATTATTAGAAATCGACACCATCAATTTTTTTAATTTTCATATCCAAGTGTGTATTACACCATACGTGTTTGTTTTAGTGCAAAACAATAATGCAATTCACAATGAACAAGTGATATCGACTTCATCACAAAGCATTCCTCAATCATCTAGAACAGCTATTGTTCCTGCACCTTCAGTCTCCGCTCCTTCACCTATTAGACCCCAACCTCCTATGCAACAGGTAACACTAGTAGCCATCACTAACAGTAATTCATTCTGCATTTCCTATCTGTGAGAGAGAGATTTATTTTTTGTCAACGAGGAAAAACAAGCATTGCCACAATAAAAAATCATACAACAAATCAACAATGTACGCAAAGTGTTTCGATAAAGGCAGGGGACCGATACGACCATATGGTCATCAGAGTCAGCTCCCTCCATATTCACTATTTTAATTATGTATCTAAGACCGACGGTTAGTAAATGGTGTAAAAAAGGGCTAACTGTTGTAGAGTTGTCTAGAATTCTCTAGGAAATTTTTAGGTTTGGCAATATAATTGTTTAAGCTTTGTACCCAATTCAGTATAGTATCATAGGATATATTTCTGGGGTTCGAACCTCCACAGGGTAATTTCGCTTGATAATAATAAAATCAATGTTTCTACGACACAAATATACTGTTTATTTCGTGGAAAGGCATCTCGTTTCACTTATTGAGCCTTCTCTTTCAGTCTTGTTCAAGCATCCTTGTGACTATTGCTCTGTATGCATCCAAACCAGAAAGCGCTTGCTCTCCAATAGGGCTACCTAATAATTTAATATCCTAGTACCGTCTGAATGACTTGATTCTTGACCTCCTTATCCCTGAAGTCTACAACTCCAACTGGCTGCATATAGGAAGCACAACTTGTAGTAATGTTGTCATTGCTTCAAATTTGAATCTATACGTTCACTTCTTGTTTTAGGCAAAGGTCATTATTGTTCAAAATGTTCTGTGCATATTCATTATATTTGACTGTTGTATTTTTGCATGATTTTTCTAGACTGGTGATGTTGAACAAGACCTGATGAAAGCTAGACAAGAAGAGGAAAATATTAAACAACAAGTTCTGGTAAATAAAATAAAAAAATGGTATTTTCTGTTGGCTTACTAGAAATAAGGCATACTGTAAGAAAATTTATTATACTACTTCGGAGTCATTGTTCTTGTTTCTGAGGTTATCCGATTTTACTTCACACTTAATCCTAATGAATGCTGGTATTAAATACTATCTTTTTTACTTTTGACTCATTTAGTGGCAATTTTATATTGTTTTTTGAGTACTGGCATCAAGTTATGTTGTCAGTTGGTTTGTGATGTATATTCCACATGGCCAATGGAATATAGGAATGGTCTGTTCCTGCTTACTACCAGTATTTTGCTCTTTGTATCACTGTCTTAAAAATTTTCTGCTTACGCTGGTGACATATTGCGCATTTACATTTACTATAAAACATATGGTATTAGGCTACATAGGAGTTTAGTAGGAATTGAAATGCAGATCTGTGCACTAGGAGAATTTTAATCACTATACTGGGTCAAGTGCTGTGCTTGTGATATTGAAATGGGGAATCTTCATTCTGAGTTTTTCTGACATTGAGTAGATCTTTCTGGAGCTCTAAAAAATATGCAATCTTGGAATAAGACTGTTAATTATAATGACTTAACAAGTATATTGCCATTGCATGAATTTTCTTCGTAGAATCTCGTACTTTGCAATGTGCTGAAAAACCTACTGAAAAAATGCAATGAATGTAAAACTACTTAGGTACTTGAAAATTACTTTAAATAGGGCAATAAGGTATCTTGAACATGTATAATTTTATAGCATTTTAGTGTGTCAAATCAATACTGGAAATACAATTGATTATTGATAGCACTAAACATAATGTCTACTCCATAGTTTCTGTAATAATGGTAGAAAAAAACTCAATGTGAGCTCATGGTAAACTCAACATGGTTTCCCATCTTTACTTCCTAGCTTTGTAGGCCTGTTTTTTTTTGGCTGCTGCGGCACGATAGTATCTAAGAAATACCCTATAGATGCATCGTTTGCACAACCTAGTTACGCCGCGAATTGACGCTCATTGTACCGCATAGCCTACCTATTATGGCTTCTTTTTAAATTTATATTTAGTCGTTACTGCTGTCGTGGCACACTTTAATACGCTATTGCACTGCACTGTTGAACATATATGTTATGTATTTTCTGTATTCATATTTTTTTCAACATAAGTATTCCACCTCATAGCAAAAACTTCAATGGCTTGTCGGTTTTGTTAGTTAGTGTTTCTTTCCGAATAGTAGCGTTAGAAAGATGATAAAATTTTGTATCAAAACATGCCAATATGGTATGTGACAAATTAATGTAACCATGTTTGCGACATCCGTGAGAAATATTCTTTAGACATTTGAAAGGCAATATGGAGAATGGAGAAAGCAGTTTGAGGATTGGAAAGATAAACATAAAGCTCATCCTAATAAAGAACAATTTGCACAGTACGAAAACCAGGTAATTCTAAACTTTTTTGTCGCTGAATTTTTGTAATTTAAATAACCTATCTCATTGTTTTTGTATTTCAGTGGATGACCTGGCAGAAGCAAATGTCTGATCAGAAAAAACAATTCGACGATAATTTAGCATCGATAAGAGCTCAAATTAATAGTTTGGAGCAGCAGAAAAACTTATCAGCACAACCGAAGTCTGTACCTAATATACCAGGACAACAAATTTCTGAGCAAAATCCCAGATATCCATTTCAACAACAGCAAGTCCCAAGACAATGGATGGATCAGAATCAACAAAAATTCAACCGATCTTTTGGTGCAATGGAGCAGAGACCACGACTTGACTTTAATCAGAGTGGAAATCAAGATTTTGGTTATGATAATAACCAACAATTTGGCAATAACCAGCGGTTTGAAGGACAACGCTTCGAAAATAATCAAACCAATATGGCCACTAAACAAGGGCCTAGGTTTTCAGCACCTGGTGCTATGGACAATAGTTCATTTCAAAATCCTACTCCCAGATTTGATACTCCTGGGGCATATAATGAAAATCGTGGGCAAAGACCCCGGTTTGGAAGTGATATGGGTCGCAAAGGTCAGTTCTCAGCTAATTCAGGTGCTCCAAGATTTCGAAACCGCGCCCCTCCACCACCCCCATCTGAAGAAGAATATTTTGAAGAGGAAAATAATGAATTTGAACCTCCATTGCATCAAAACCAGGTAAAATAGATGAAGGTAGTCAATAATCATCGCTTTATTTTCCGAACTGCTTACAAGTTTTTTACAAGCAATCTGGTTCAGTAGTTCTCAAACTTTTAAGCCATGCCCCTTTTTAGAATTTGCCAAGTTACGCATCCCACCTCTAAAATAACTAGTTAACAATAGGCTACAAATAACAAATAGTAAGGCGATAAGGTGATGTAAGCAATAAAGAAATGTAAATATTCAATAAGGCAGGCAAGATGAAATCAAACAAAATTTTCAATTATCTCCATTCCTCCTTGTCTACGATCCCATCGTGTGGCGCGTGCCACTGGTAGAGAACCACTGAACTAGTTAGTACACCCTGATTGAAATGAAGAAGTTGAAATTCTGTATCTGTATTCTAACTTACAATATTTAAGTTATACTAATCATTTTGTCTTAGCATTTGGATTTTCTCTTATTTTGAATGGAACAGCTTATTAATCACATGGCTGACCAAAGCCATATTTTATTCCAAAGTTCATTTGCCAAAGTTTATTCTTCAATTGGTCTTGGACTCCTGCTTGGTTATTACATGAACAACGCTCACAACAGCGAGACGTCCAACGACTTTAACCTATCATTGTACTCTATAGCCACAGGTATTAATTGACCCTGTGATGATAAGTGGTGTGATGGCAAGATGTTTAGTTTAGCGAGATATGCTGACTAGCGAGCTGATTTGTCAAATTATAGCATTATTTTTCCGGTGTGTGGGGTTATGATGCGACACATATTTTTTTAGTAATTAACTATCGAATATATTTTCTTTAGGGAATGAGAGGTCCTCGACCTGGTTTCAGGCCTGGGTTTGGTCAGAGAGGCCGTGGGATGGGAGGAAATCGATTTGATGGACCAAGACAATTACGGCCTGGTTTTTCACATGATGCAAGATTCAGAGGACCAAGACCCAGATTCTCAGGTATTTTATTTTGTTGAAGATTTGGTATTAGTAACAACTGTGTTTTGACAGTTGATGTGCTAACATTGAAGATTCACATTCACAGGACTAGAAATTTTTTTCGTTGTTCTTAATTAATAAACAAAACAGAGGCGTAGACAAGAAATTTCACAGGGTGGTTCTGAAATTTCTAATTGCCAAGTTAGACTGTAACATCTTGCGTGTCTGGCCGAAGCTGGAAACATGGGTTTCCAAGAGTCTTACTCTTGAGTGTCTTAAAAGCGTTTCAAGCAACGAAAATTGCTATTTTTAATACAGAGAAATGCTTTTTTTACATATTGAATGGTGGTCCCGACCCTCTACCCCCCCCTTCCATGGCTACGCTCCTGGTCCGATACCTTGTAAAACTATCATAATTTGAATGCAAAAAGTGCTCGAACCACGAAAACCGGCTTCGCTGGGATAGGAACCTGAACCTAAGGATTAGAAGTCCAAGGGCTATCCATTGTATTATGTTGACTCATAAAACTTCAGTCAAATAAGTTTTTTAGCTATCTCAAATAAATTCTATTTCGATGTCCCAGCAAATGGGGGTATTATCAACTTGTATTGGCCGGGAATCGACTTATCTCACATGGCAAATGAGACTCGAATAAATACAATACAAAATACAAACGAATAAAAGTCTTGGAATCTTATTGTTTCGCAAAAAAATTTGTCAGACTTTCGATTTAGGCTTTGAGTCTTTCATTTTATAATAGTTTCTTTACGTTTAGGTCACCAATCACGTTTACCTGGACCAAGAGGACCGAGGCCGCCCAGATATGGTCGTCCAGACATGACATCGTATAATGAAGAAGATATTGGAAATGAAGAACAGTATTATGACAATGAGGGATTCAATAGTCAGAACAGAAATAATACAGCCAACTCTGGTTTCGATGAAGACACTTTCGATTCAAATAACTTTTTTCAAGGCGATGAAAATTATAATGAACAAGTAGAGGATGGAACGCCTGGACCTTCAAGATTGCAAAATAAAGATAATAACAAGAGAGGCAGAGGTAAAGTAAGACCGCAGTTAAACCAAACTACTTTAGGTCACGCTTTTTACAAATAAATCTTCTTTGATTATGGACCAGGGGTCATGTTATGGTCTAGTTTTCATAGCTATACTATTTTAGTTTAGATAGTGCCTTATGTCCATTTTTAGGTTCGACAGTTTTCATAGAGAATCTTTAAAATTCAACTTGTCAAATTTTGTTTCAACTTCAGGGAGAGGGCGTGGCACAGAGACAGCAGATTATAAAGTCACAAGAAATATGGTACCAATGAGCTTTGGAGCCAGCAAACGTAATAAGACAACGAATCGTTTAGATACATTTACAATGCATGATGCTAAAACCAATCAAGAAGGTGCACCATCTTTCACAACTGACATTAATACATCAAAGGTAGTATTACAAAAAGTTTTTACAAGAAAGCTTGATTGTATTTATGTACTTAATCAATGAAAAGCTTAAGTAACTGGAAAATTTGATACTCCTGTAGTATGTGTACCAGGTTAGGGTTAAGCCATAATTTTATTCTGATTATTACGAGTTCTGGGACTGCTTGTGTTAGTCAAGTGAATATCCCCCTGCCTATAGGTTTCTGTCCCTTCACACAACTTCACAACTTGATGTAAAGTAGGCAAACAAAATTAGTTACTTCTATATTGGTACACATACTCCTGAAGCGCCAAATTTCAAGGAATTCACGGCTTGTGTCTTTTTCTACCACCAATGTCCATGCATATAGCGTTCTAAGCTATTTATGTTTTCATAGAATGGTGCAATTCCATGTAATGTTTTTTTTTTATTTAATACAGTGATCATTCATGTTTGTCACTTGGAACAAGGCTCTGTACAGCCACTGATATTTTTTTAAGGAATAAAAATTTTTTCAGTTTGGATTGCCATTCATTACACCCTGGAACTGGGAATCGTCCCTAGATATTGACTTTTCTGTCTTAATTATTTTATGAATTTATTTCAAAATCTTTGCTCATCTGTTCATTTTTTTTATGTTTGTGAAGATTAATCCTGAAGATGATTATTCACATTATATGGAAGAATATGAAAGTTCTCCTGCTCCTGAAAATCAAGCTAGATCTGGCAGAGGTTAAGTGTTTTTTTTGGGTACTCCTGAAAAATGTAAACCAAGATGGCAGACACCGGAACGTAGTATGTGTACCAGGTTATGGTTAGGCCATAATTTATTCCAATTTTCCTTATTTTAGTTCTATTACGACTTACGAGTCCGGGGACTAGCCAAGTGACTTTCGTAGTATTTGTACAGAAATTATGGCCTGAACTTAACCTGGTACACATACTACGTTCAGGTGTCCGCCATCTTGGTTCACATACCTTGTGAGTACCTTTTTTACGATGATATGATAGGCAGAATAAAGTGTAAACAGTTGCTATGCGGAATTAATGAGTGTATATTTTTTGCGTAGTAAAAATATTCAAATTCTGTGTTCAGGTTTGGCTCACTTGCTCAGAGGCAGGGGATCACTTCTGGGTAGAGGATCTGCCCGTGGCAGGGGTCGTGACGATTATGGACCGAATCGGGGCAGGAGTAGAGGTTTCGCTGGTCGAGGTAGGAGCATGGGGGAATCAATTGGTGATGAAATTACGCCAGCTAATAAGTTGATAAATGAAAAAGGACAATTTAATGAGGGATTGATGAAAAGATTATCTGCAAGTAAGTTATCCAGATTTTAGTTCTAAAGTTGCGCAGAGTGCCCAAAAAAAAATCAGAACTCATAAATTTCTTGAAAACTTCTACGAAAATGAAGAAAACGTTGTAACGCTTGAACTTCTGTATGTTTGTACCCGAAAGTTTCAGCAATCTAAGAGTCACGCTTTGCACAAAAGTTATGTTTTTTCTAGAATATGTTCCCAATGATTGAGGTCTTGTGTTGAGCCACCTTGTATCTATGTTTTCTATTTTTTTTTTATTTGAAGCTGCTGCTACAATATAACTGTTTCAAATTTGGTGAATTGAATTATTATATCAGAGTACAAATTATTAGGATTTAGGGCAATCTCTCTTATTCTAAATATATAAAGTGTCATAAAGTAATAGATTGGGTAAAAGAACTTTGATGTGCCTCATGCAACTACCGTAATTGTTGGCATAAAAAGACTTAATAAATGAAGTGAAAACTTAGAACAAAGTAAAACAAACCTGATTAGAACTGATCCCATAATAGAAATTGTATCAAGTTCCATGAACTCACTCTCTTTCTTCATTATTTGTATTTATAATTTGATATTTTCAGTGGCTGGTATTCCGAGTGCTAACACTGACACGTCCAGCATCAAACACGAAATGCCTACCAAGCCACAAGACGGTACTGATAATGATGCACAACCAACTACTTCTACATCTGGACCAATTAACTCTGAAACAATCATGCAAAAAGCGAAAGAATTGAGTACTTTAGATATAAAAAATTTATTGTCTGCTGTTAAGACTTTCAAGAATCCATCAGATACTGTCAAAACTGAGTAAGTGAAGATTATGATTTTCTTGTGTAATACACGCAGCATAATATGTTGGGTGCTATGGATTTTTCAAGTAATATTTAGATTAAAACAATACATGGTATATTCGCTTCGACCAGTAAGAAAAGGAAATTTATCACTGTGTGGTAACACATAAAAAAGGTAATTTGATAATTTTGAAACCATTTACAACTTTATGATGGAATGGTTAACATTGTCTTTATTGTTTAGGACTACATAATTTTGAACTTTCAAAGGCCCAAAATACACATTTAGTACACATTTTTTTTGTAAGTGCGCTGTAAATTTTTATCATGATAAGTGATAACTTGGCGCCGCACAAGCAAAAAGTTTGGGAACTGCTTGTGTAACCAGTTCCTAGTATAGTAGTGTAGAAATAATTAACATTGGAAATTACATTTTTCTCCATATTTTTGTATACTAATTATAATCTGTTAAAAATAGCAATTAATAATAAAAACCAACAGCTACCTATCTTTAAGTTTTGATTGTTTTTATTTTCTCTGTAGGTCTCCAGATATGGAGGGTTTGAAGATACCAGAATTAGCTCCGACAGCCAGGAGAAACGAAGAATACAGCGACTCACAAATGAATTTTGACGAAGCTGCTTACACTGCCTATGAGGAACATTATAACAGACTTGCAAGAGGTTTGTGAAGCTAGGAATAATTGCAGCTATTATTTCTGTAATAAAACTTCTTGCTGAGTAATGTTCCAAGCTTGTACTCGACAATGACAAAGTTGTATAAAATGTTATATTAGGCTTTAAAAAGACCTGATTGTTGTTATGTGACAAAGTTGAAGAAGTATTATAGGTTCTGTTGAGTTATCCTGTTAGCATTGTTCAACGCTTAAACACTCAATACTGTGTTCATTGAAATGAATCTTTGTAAATGTGAAATTGTATTTTAGTAAGTAAAGTATAACAAAATGTTGATGAAAGAATTTTTTACACAACATTTTATGCGTCTTCACCTTAAAAGGCGCTGTACGCTAGTAACAATTAACAAAGTTTGTATCTGCAGTTTTTCCAGTTATCTGAACACTCAATTAGCTTTGTGTATGTCAATTATTTTTTAGAATTATACCGTAACAAATGATTTGATTAATTGAAACTGAGGCGAGCATATATATTATGTTCTATTTGTCTATCACTCGAAAAAATCACTGTTCACTAGGGATTGATACGTTATATAGAGTGGACATAAGCCCTAAAAACTTTAAAATTACAAAGGGAATTTATCGATCCCATATATTGTTTTTGAGAACTGACTTCATAACAAAATAGAAATTGTAAAGGGACTTTATTGACTCAACTATGATGGAATCGCAGGTGAATATCGTGGATTCTAATCCCATGCCCACCAACTCACCCTGGGAGTAAATTAGGTGGGCAATGATGAATCGAATAGATTCTTGTTCATCCAAAAACTGTAGTAGCTCTTTACTTAGCAATGGCTTCTTGTGTAGAGCCTTATTCAGAGTGTAAAGCTTATAAATATGCTGTATAAAAAAATTAAATCTGCACTTTTTGTTCATTTCAAACATTCTTGTTTCAGAGATTGATTCTGCAGGTTCTTCTGCTGCTGCTAAATCACTATCCACTGATGCTCCTCTCACTGAAGCTGAATTGGTTGCTGCTGGCCTCGATCCTGTGTCCCTGGGTTTACGCGATGAGGACTTACTATTGCAAGAATATGTAGGTTTACTCTGAATATGTAGGACCACTCTATGTCGTCTCTCAATTCTCTCAATGATCAATTGAATAGTTTTTGTAAAAGCGGTTTCGCGCAAACTAGAGACTTGCTTCGATGTAACAATTTCTGTACGGCTATTTTTTCTAAAAACGACCTTGTCTGCTATGCTGATTTGGTACTATCATATTCGTAGTGTATGTACCAGGTTAGGGTTATTTCAATTTTCTTTATTTTAGTTCTATTATAAGTTCGGGGACTGTATGTGTTAGCCAAGTGAATTTATCCCCTGCTCATAGTTTCCGCCCCTTTACACAACTCGACGAGAAGTAGGCGAATAAAATTAGTTACCTACATATTGTTACACATATTTCTGCCGCTGATTTTGTGTACTGCCTCATATGTCTCATGAGTGAACAACTGAAGTTCATTATAATTAAATCATTCATTTCAATTATTCATATTTTATATTTCAGTTATATGATCCAATGTTACAACGTGGAGGAATTAGAGATCCTTTGCTTGATCCGTACCTTGAGCAAGAACTACTTCTACGTGAACTTCGAGATAGAGAAGCTCTTAGAAGAAAAGCTGAGTTAGCTCGACGGGAAGCTGAATTTCGTAAAAATATTGCTGTGAGTATTTTCCTCATTTTTTCATGAATGCAACCTGTTTGTGTATTAACTTGTGTACTCGAAGCAGCGATGTGGGGTCTTAGATAATCACAACCAAAACTGCGGAAAAAAAGACATCAATATTTTAGATTTTAATCCTGTGAAAACCCAATAACTGTTTTTTGTCAGAAAGTTATATATAGCAGCATAAATTTTCATTATAATATAATCTCGTGTTATAATGTTTTTCGTATTCCAGAGATGTATTCTTTGTATTCTATGAGAAATTAATACGAACATATGTTAAATATCTTTTTGACAATTTTTTGTCAATGTTTATCGAATGATACCACCCAATTTTATACTTTGTAACTACTAATATGTTCTTTGTTTACAGAGACCTATTTTACAAGCTCAGAAAATTGTGGAAACAATCGATTATAGTCACGGTGAGTTTTTGTTACACAACTTTAAGATTTCGAGTTTCCAGTACTATAATAATGAAAGAGCAGAAATGCAGGAAAGTTAAAATAAATAGGGATTTGGTCGATTTTCAGTTTTTTACTGTTTTAGAAAAGTAAGCCATGCTGCGTTTATTGTTTGGAATGATAATTTCTCAAATTGTCTAATTCTCACTTATTGCTCCAATCAAAAGAGTTTAAATTTCGATTCAATTAAAATTCCAATTCATATTAGAAATCCCTGAAACTTCATTATACACTTAGTATTTTCCACAATTCTGCTACAAAACTGTATATGATCACAAGAATTGTTTGGTATTGTGCATGATTGTTTTACTTTTAAATTTTTCTTAGGTTTGAAGAACACCGATGGTAATAAGAAGGATGAATTTGACGGTGAAAGAAGATCATCTCCACATAGAGATAATTGGAGACGTTCTCCTACAAGAGACGAATTTAGAAATATCCCTTACGATAGAAGACCACCCGATACATTTGACCACGAACGACGTCGTTTTCCACCAATTAGCATGGACGAACGGATGCGTATGAGAGAACGTGGGTTGCCACCCCCAGGAATGGATCCTGAAATGATGCGGGAGCGAGGATGGCCTCCTGGTCCCCCACCTTTTGATAGAGAACGCCAGCGATCGCCCGTTGATCCTAACAGTTCGTTCGTGGTCGAAGAGGATGTTGTAAGAGAAAGAGAGTCAATGGAAAGACATAGGAAAATGTTGGATCGTGAAAAAGAGTCCATGGAACGAAGGCGTGACACAGCAAATAAAATTGCGGACTCAAGAGAGAGAGAAATTGAGAGAAGTAAGAGAGAAAGAAGTTTAGAGAGATTGCAAAAGATGGAAAGAGAACTCATGGAGAGAGAGAGAATTTTAAATGAAAGGGAACAACGCTTGAAGACTCCTCCAAGGAAGTCGAGGGACAGGGTAAGCTATTTTAAGTTTTATAACTTTATTTGCTAAGACTATTTTCAAATTGTACAATTCATGGTAACGGATGTTTCCCCAATCCTTGGACAAAGAAGAATTGTTCCAACACTTCGCCATTGCGGAATTTTCGAAGCTTATTTTGAGAGTATTTTTGTGGGGAGGCACATGCAAACTGATTTATATCTTCAGATTTTGTCCCAGAGCTGCTTTCATCAAAAAAGACTGACAGTCGATTTTAAAAGATTAGTCTATCACGTTTCTCAGGACTTTTTGGCTACTGCAGCTGAACTAAAACACTATTGGCAGGGTTATCTGATTTACCTTTTTCACAATTATTCTTGAAAATCCGAGTTGATAATTAATTGTCTACGCTTGTGAAAACATCCAATATGATATTTTGAATGTAAAGTAGTTAACATTTTATCCCACTGTATGAGTGTTACACCAAGTCTAGAAAGAAGGTCAAAGAATTTTCATATTTTCTCTGTTTATTGATTAACGATCCTTTGTTTGATTATTGCAGAGAGATCGAAAAGAATGGAGAGCTGAAGGTCGGCCGTCTTCTCGCAGTCCACCAAGAAGACGTTTTGAAGAAGAGAGACCAAGAAGGTGCAGTTGTTTGTTTCTGTATGACTGTTTTCGATTTTTACATAATCCCGTTTACATAATTTCCGTTTGTATTCATAAAATGAAATATAAAATAAAAACTTTTTGATTTTTAAATTTTTTTTTCATTCGATGTGTTTATATGCTTTTTTGCTCTGATCAGTGCTCTTCACCAGCAGACATGGGTATGTAATGAGGTACTTTACCTTGGAAGGACCAGTATATTCTAGAATCAGTATTACCCCCTTACCCTGGGTGGCTGGACAGCATGAGATTATAACTTGGGACGCCATTTCATAAGCACAAATATAATTGTTGTTGCTATTTATTCTGGCTTATTCACTATTTTCAACTCTTTTGTAAATAATAGTGATCGTTTTCAAACACAATAATCTCTTAAAGTAAAATCATTTGCATATTTTTCATCATTTAATTCTTCTAGTGACCGACGTTTTCGCAGTAGAAGCCGAAGTAGAAGTCCAAACACAAATCGCGGGAGAGATCGAGATCCGGGTAGACCAAGAGCACGTAGTCCTCCTAGAAATGATTCTCGACGAAGAGATCCGGATCGTGATCGTGGAGGAAGGAATGAAAGGAGGTCGAAATCACCTGATCGTCGTCCAACGGAATTCAGAGATCGCAGAAGATTTACGAGTCCTTCTGGAGATCCAGTTCGTACAATGTATGTTTATAATTAAGTTGAAAGATGGAGAAATATAGCATTCCGTTAATGATTAAAAAGCCTGATTATTTGGGTAAAAGTTACAACTGGGAGGCATAATACATTGTGTTTTATTCTAGATTTCATTTGTTGGTTGAAAAAGGTTGAATTTTTGTGCCTCGATTTTCACTCTTCTAATCTGTCACATCTTGCACGTAACCTTTTTTGTTTTTTGAATAAAAAGTTGCTCTATATTTTTAAATTATCCACCTACCCCTTTTTGAATCTCTCAATTCTGAATAATGTATATTTTGGTTTTTGACAATACATTTTTTAATTTCACCTCCACGACCAACTGTCAAAAACTGGTTTTCATTATTATCCAGTTTTGTGTGTGCTTATATGGATGTGATGTGTACTATGGAATTTTCACTCATGTTCATAAAACTGCATTTCTTTTCTTACTGACTTTAATAATTCTGATATCAGTGCCAAATTTTCTAAATTCCTTTCTTACTATTTCGTGAAAGTTATACATTACCTTATCAATACTCAGGTCGCCTGCCAGGTTCAAACAAGCATTGCCGAAGCCAATGAAGATTGAACCTGTAATGATTCGTGTTGAAGATTTGTTAAATGATCCTGCGAGACAGCGACGTCCAAAACGAGTATTTTAATTAATCAAATCTGTATTAGTTAAAAATCTATCTAAGACTTTATTTTTTTCAAGTCGTGATTTTATTATTTTCGAGTAGTCATGTTTAAGCGAACTTTCCTTTTAGATTGTCATCATTTTGCGAGGCTTGCCTGGTAGTGGAAAGACACACATTGCAAAGTTAATCAGGGTAATCTGAATATACTTTTCTAGCTGATTGTACCTGCATCATATGACATTCATTCGTGCCTTTTGTTCCAAACAAACCCCTGTACAAATTTCCAGTGATATATAAAATGCTAGTGCTTTTGGAATGACTGGTCAAAAGCTTTCAATATATTGGCCAACTTTTTTAAGATGTCCCTACTAATGCAAAAAAAATAAAGAGACTTCAAATACTAGGATAGAATTTCTAGGATATGCTGTTATTTCATTCGAGAACACTCAAATTGTGGTGGTAAGAGAAAGAACTACATTAGTTCATAAATCAATCGTTTTTCTACTTCAGAATTGAAGTACGTACCTGATAGTATACCAACACAGTAGTTAATTCTAATTGCTGCAATATGTTAACTGCCTGAAATGTTTTGAATAGTTTGAAACTTTATGAAATATAGCTCAATTGAATTTACCTGAACGATGACAATAATATATTATAAATTCAGAAAAAGTTAAGCTACTACTCAATTGTTAATTAATGTGTGTTATTGCTTTGCATTCTACATTATATTATTCACATTGTAATAAATATATTTCGTTGGACAGGATCTTGAAACTACCAAAGGTGTCACTCCAAGAGTGCTTGGTCTCGATGATTATTTCTTAGTCGAGAACGAAAAATTTGAGAAGGATTCTGAAACTGGGAGAATAGTGAAACGAAAGGTAACAGATAATGATATATTAACGTTCTAAAATGAATGATGACTTTCCCCCTAATAATCAAGTGTACAATTAAATGACTTGCTTCCTCAAGTGGTCAGATGTTGGTTCGTGCTTGGGATTGTGGCCGAATAACTTTGAATTATATCTTGACAAAAAGTTTATCAGTTTATTTCCAAATTTGGTATCTCTTCTCGCTCATTAGTTTTCAACCTCCCCATTTGTTGTCTTTATTTTTATTTTCACATCAGAATATCATGCATTTTCTTTTGCAGTTACAGTCATTTTTTATTACTATTTTTGCTATCTTATATTAAATTGTTTGTTAATGGCCAGCATTGGTGTTCAATAATATCTTTAGTCTATACTAAAAGTTATATTGTTTTTATCAGGTTCATGAATATGAATACGAAGCTGCCATGGAACCATCGTACAGAGATAGTTTGTTAAAATCTTTTAAAAAGACCCTTGAAGATGGATATTTCAATTTTGTTATTGTTGATAGTATCAATGATAAAGTTTCACATTTTTCTGAATTCTGGACAGCAGCAAAGAAAGCTGTTTTTGAGGTGATTCCTTCTGGAATTTTATTTCTTCATTCAATATTTGGACTCAGGAGTCTGAGGCTCTGAGCGGAAGTCATATTTTCGAACCCTCAAAGCCAACTCAGCTATTAAATCTTCTCAAGTGGGGGTCCGAATTGTAATTTATTTGTGATAATCGGACTCACAATTTCTGACAGAAACTGAAAAAGAATAAAGTTGTTCAGGGATTTCAAGGAGATATTTGACTTAAGGCTTGCATATTTCCGTTTTTGTTGTTGAAATTTTTTTTCTTGCAATCTGGAGTCAAACAAGTTTTCTATCGAAATTAGAGCCAGACTGTTTTTTAAATGGCTGGCGTGTAGAGTGGTAGTTTGGTGTAAATTTTACCGATTGCGTAGACCAGTGGTGCGTGGAGCTAATTAAAAATAAAAGTATTTGTTAGATTTGATCTTTCCAGCCTTATTTTAGATATTTACATTTTTCCATTCCGGTATTTACGTTCTTTGAACTCGTTTTTTTTTGTATAAAACATACTTTCGCTTAATATCTCTAATTTGTAGCTGATTGTTACTTTTGTTAGCTAGTTATTTTATAAGTGGGGCGTGAGACCTTACAAATTCTATCAAAGGGGGAACGACTTAAAAATTTTGCGAACCACTGCCATAGACTTTTTTGTGATATAGTACATTTACTGCAGAACTGAATAATTTGTTTTCTGAACTAACAAATACTCGTAGTTCTACTACAGAAGTTATACTAAGCTTATGTTTTATTCTAAGGTTTATGTTGCTGAACTGCTTGCTGATGTTCATGTTTGTGCAAAACGAAACATTCACAAACGTCGACTAGATGAAATCCAAAAACTAGCGTTCGACTGGGAAGAAACTCCTTCACATATGATTCGACTCGATGTCAGACAGATGTTACAGGATTCCGAGATACAAGAGGTATAATATCTTAGGGTAAAATTGGATATTGCACTGTGAGATCTGTATAATCTTGGCTGTTTACACTGACAGCAGGATCATAATAAATAATAACATCTATTGCCCAATTGAATCCTTATAATGTTGCAGTCTGCTATTTTGACAAATATTCAATTCATTTTTTCGAAGTTTAAGTGGACCATTTTGTTGAGTTTGGGCGAATTAAATAATCTCAAATATTCAGTACTTAAAGATGGTAGAGAGTAAGCTGTTAGAAAATCTACTGCGGTGTCTGATATTTCTCCCAAATTTTGCTGTTTTATTTTAATTCGTGGGAACACTTATTTATGAAATATGTGAATAAGTACCATCACACATGTCTGCCAACCTTTTTAGTAAACTCAGTGCTCTGGTAGACAGTTAAAGCCTTAAATGTAACAATGTATGACCTTCATGTCATTATTTCAGCATTGCTTCCTTATTTTTGAATAAAGGTTGAGATGGGCGATGTATCTGATGAAGAAAAAAGTGGAGACTTGAAGAAAAACAAACTAACACCGGAACAGCTGGCGGTAAGGTCTATGAGAATGGTTTGTAATTAAGATTTCATGTGAGACCGTACTGTCATCATCATATTTATTATTTTAAACTATGGCTTTAATTAATTTAATATGCTTAAATTAGAGGTTCTCAAACGGTGAGGGTGTGTAGCTGATGAAAAATGGAAATATTTGTTGGATTTGATCTTGCCCGCCTTATTTTGGATATTTACATTCCATCCATGTATTTTCAACAGTATTTTTGAGGTGGGCCTAAGACTTGACAAATTCTAAAAAGGCGGCTTAGAAAGTTTGAGAACCACTGGTTTAAATAGTTGATATACTATGTCGTTTGGATGTTTGAATCTTAATACTGTGAAAAATGTTTGGTAAATTTTATTTTTGTAAATAATTAAGTGAATCATAATTTGTATTTGAATACTTGATAATTGGTAGTAAATGATAGAAAAATTATTTAGTATATTGCTGGACCAATGTTTAAGATATTTATTGATTCTTGCAAAAAATTTGATAAGTTAGGGAGGAGAAGCTTGAACAACATAGCCTGAAATATAGAAGCTTTTAAAGCGAGTTCTCTGTAGATGTTTCTCTGAGCTTGACTTGTTTACATCGGTAACACTGGCTTATCAGTAAAAGTTCAAACATTTTGTTATTTGTGGAGTTTTTATTTTGTTGCAATAAATTTAAGTCCTAAAAAAGCCAAGTTAAGCAAAAATTAGTTAACCGTACATTTAAAAGCCACGCAGTTAAATATTTGGACTCAAAATGTTATTTATAAACATTTAAACCAGTTTCAACCGTGTCCTAAAAATTCGCCGTAGGAAATCTCGCCACATAAGAAAAATCGCAAGAGCATTTTGCTGTAAAACAAGTATTTGTGATTAAAACAGTTAGGTTTATAGTGTTAGGGTATGCTCCTAAATAACGAATCTTTTTTAAATAAGGCAATTTTTCATACAGTGATTTTTCCTATACGGAGAAATTTTCTGTGGCAAATTTTCCTAGAAGCAGTTTTTCACCAGCTTACAAAACACTCCCAAATTGAGCACCAAAAACTACACAATGGTGAAGAAGAGGAAGATAGTTTCTAGAGCCAAAGTCACATTAGGGAATAGATTGTTGTTGTAAATATCAATTCAGATCGTCAGGCAGATAGGGAACTTAGAAGAAGTTTGTAACGGTTAATCTAAAATGATGGAGGTTTTTTATGTTTCACTGAAATCTATTCAAAATTGGGATAGGATTTTTATATATTCAGACAGGGAGCAAGAAAAATCAATGAGACTGCCTATTCGGTGCATATCAGATAATTGTTAAGCTAATTTCAATTAATGTCAATTTCTATATTTTGATATAGAAAGAAGTAATAGGTAAGGCTTGTTTAGATTTGACTAAATGAAAAAAATTAGTAAAACGATATTACCTTGTATAATTGAGAAGAGAGTTTAAGGAAAGAATTAATAGTTTTCATATCCAGTGATGCATCCAGCATCAGTCAATGTTATTTACTGGGTATTTACGTTTTCTGCTGACACAAAATCAGCACACACAGAATGAACATTGAGGTTTAGCATCTGAAATGTGTAATTTCTAACTCCAATAATGTTTCGAATACACGTACTTTGCACTAGGCCAGTGGATCTCTACGTTTTTGCTGCCTTTTTCACTCGAAACAATAAAATGTCTTCCCCGCCGGGAGACGCTACGCTAGGGTACATATTTAACATGTGAGGGGTGCAATATAGGTACCTATTTTTTTTTTATCTCTGGTAGATTTCGTTCAACAAACTGCTCAAACCAAAACTATTCTATTAGATTTAAGTATTCATCAAGATGTTACAACAAGAAAATTATGTTAAGCAATGTTTTAATGGGATTTGTGATATACCGTAAGTCACTATTTCAACTCACAAATTTCACAATATTTTTACTGCTACCATTGCAATAGGCTAGTTTTTTTTTTCTATTTATCCCAAGTTAGAATTATGATAACTCAGCAGTGATTAGAATATCAGGCTTTTAGTAAGAGCATGACAGTCTATTGTTCAGATAAAATCTCTGTAATTTAGATAACATTTACAGTTTGCCTCATTCAAAGGCAAAGTAGCGAGTTAAATTGTTACTGAAATGATCTATTTGTATGTAGATATACAAGATAGGAAATTAATATTTTTATTTGGTAGAAACTTTTGGAAGTACGGTGTCTGTAACTGTTTGTCAAAATATGGTCCAGAAGTCCAAGTGGCACTGAAATATTTTGCAAATTTTAGGCTAGTTCTCAGATTCCCTTTGTCTCAATTATTACTATAAGTATTTAATCCAAGTTTTAATCATTGTGACTGTTCTAACATTGAGTGCTTATTTAGATCAATGATAAAGTATAATGTGCTTGATATTTGCCTGTAATGGAGTGAGACATTTGAGGCAGTTCAATGTTTAACAGCATTATTATTTACCTTCACTTGTATGCCTTGAGACTACTTAGATGAGGTAATAAACAAACAGGACTCAAATAATTATTGTTTTGTAGCAATGCAATTACAACATGTGTTTTTCTATATTACAAGTAAATAAAAAAATAATTAAAAGCAGAAATAGACTACCAAACAACTATATAGGATGCAATAAATAAATCCACATACTGTACAAATTCTCCCAATCTTTTGTTTTGCTCCTTGTTTAAAAAAGCAATTTGTGAAAGACTATAGAGAATTATTATTAAGTTGGTGTGAACAATACATTTTTTCATAGGTGAAAATGTAACGATAAATTTAAGGTTTATGATGCTTTCAATACTTGTACAGTAGATACAGTCATGACTAGAAGTTTTAGTGTCATTGCTGTACTTATTTCAAGGCGCATATAACTTATAGGAAATAGGATTTGGCAGTTGTGAAGTGGATAATCGTTGCAAACTCATTTTATTCACTATCACATAATTATGATGAAAATATCAGCACGAGTATTATAAAACTACTATCAATTAATGTCAATTTAATAAAAGAATAACTTCAGCAGAAGTCTTGCCATCTAAGAGTCTTAAAAAACTGAAATATGTGTGCGAGTGACTAGCAGGAATCATGTCGTCATAGGTGTTTGATAACATTGGGTGTTCGATTTCGTTATTCTATAAATTTGATGCTAGGGTGAGGGACTTACGTTGGAAATTCCAAGGATGAAAACCATTTTGACAACAAAATCAATATGGTGGGTGCAATCATTAAAAACGCACAGGAGATATTCACTGGGCATAAACGGCTGCAGCTCAGCAAAGGGCGCTCCAACGATTGCTGATAGGAGCTTTTATCTTAAACTCTACTTAGGTAAAAAGTATATATTGGGAGCAAGAACAATTTTATAATGACTTCATTGACCAAGGTCTCAGATCCATAATCTCAAACTATTCTTGTACTCTCTGTGTTTGGTATTCACAGATTTTAAACATTACCAACAAGGCAACAACGCTGAATAGTAATGCTTTGTAAAGTTAAGAATTGACAGATCAAAGAGTTGAAACTGTCCTGAATTGATTTATATACCTTTAGAATAAATACAACAGAATAAAATACTTAATTCCGTTTTTTTTAATTGTGCATTTTAGGCATATGTATTCAGGAGATTGCATTAATATTTTCGTTTTTAGCCAAAATTGTGCTTTGTTCTTAATGTACGAGTCCTTATTTTATATTTTGCATCTCGTCATAATTAATATTATTTTCTGAGCTAATTTCCAGTTGATGAAAAAAGAACATTAGTCCAAAGAAAATAATTCTATTTGTGCTGTTCCTATTCACTGCAGGGAGTTCCTCAAAGCAAATGGGAGCTCATGGAAACAAATGAACGCTTAGGTAGGTATTTTATCTAAAATATAAAAACACTTAGTAAGCTTAAGCTGAAATGATAGGGTGCATGCTGCCGATTGAATGAGTCCAAATCAAACCGATGTGCATCATATGGTAAGTAACTAAAATATAGCCTTTGTCTTAAGAATCAATCTGATATAAAAATATATTTTGACATTTGTGAATAAAAGTCTAAGATCTTACACCGTTTTGTTTGAGTATTTGTAAAAGGGCAAGAATTCATATTTTGCGCTCCGTTTGCGTCTTGTAGATAAACTGGATGGTATAAAGAAGAAAAAGCCGACTTCCAGCCAACAGCATATGGCAGACTTCCTCAGCGTCACAGACGATTATGTTCAACGAACTGCAGCTCCTGGGAAGAAAAGGGTAAATTGATTATCATGTGTACCAGTATTATGATAAAATAGGCTACCTATTCTTTTATAAAGGCATCTGTGTTGACGTGAGAATTGATGGAATACTTTTTCTGGACATGCTCCCAGGTTTTTGGACTGGTTTGTAAGACCTGTTTTTTGCTTTTTTTAGATTTTGTTTCATTTAAGCACTGTTTTTTGTTTTGGGCATCTTGCTCTTTATTGAAGCTCGATTTGGGGCGTTTAACCGAATGGTCCCCTTGTTTATTAGTATTTTATTGCAAATCTGATTTTTCATAAACCAGTAACTATGGTGAATGCGCATTGTGATAGAATTGAATAGGGGTGTATTTGTTTCTGTGAATTTTTACTAATAACTGTCACTGTAGAGCTCACATGATAGGTGTGCTAGCTTTGAAACAATAATTTTTGAATTGCCTGTCAGCTAATGTATTTAAATAATTTCTTAGGTTCGTTGGGCAGATATTGAAGAGAAAAGTGCCCAACGCAGGATGAGAGAAGTTGGATTTGTTGTAGGGAACACTGACTGGAGCCGTATGATGGATGGTGATTCCCATGCTAATCAAGCCTTGAATCGAACCAAATTTATATGAAATCATGGTTATTAGTGTTCACATTGATTAGTTTTAAAGCAGTAATATGAGGAAAACAGTAACTTGGCGTTCTTATCAAGTAAACATTGTCATGATGATCTGTAAATTTTTTTCATGTTTTTATTGTAGCTGTGCTTTAAATAAAGTTGAATAGCGTCAGTGTACATTCATTCCTAGATTTAGGATTTTCAAGATTTTGACAATTCGTTCTTGAGGTGTTATTTTCGGAGATAGATTTGTCTGCATCTAGTCCGATTTGTGATCGCCTTGCGCTCGATTGCCTTGTGATTCGTCGCGTCGTGCCAAATTGTTAAATGTGAAAGAATGTTTTTGGTAACTAGAGAACAATGTTAACACCCATGGTCGAGCATGAGCTTTGCCGAAATTACACGTGTTGTCCCACTTTTTAGAGAAGACGAAATTTCCTGAAAAGGGGAAATATAAAAATGCGGTTCCCGTCCTACAAGTAAATATTATTCAGCTGCGGAATGAGATTGGCTTTCAAATAGAATAGCGACTTTCTTAATTTAGGCCCTCTTTGTTCCCAGTAAAATGAATCTACCCTTTCAATGCGAATTCGCGACACGCCAGTATGGCATAAAAAGTGCCTGATAGTCTGCTAAGTGAGTTGATATTTTTTTCATTGATCTTTTACTATCGTTTTAATTTTTCGCAATTCGTCAGGTGGGCAGCACAAAGCTGTTGGCACAAGTTTTATTTTATTCAACCATTTTTCTCGTTATACGTCATCGTAGCGGACTTTTATACTTCGCATCTGCACGAATCTAATCACAAAAGTGGTTTTTCTTTACAACATGACAGAGTGAATCTGGGAAATAGTGTTTAAATAAATCGTAATCTGCCCTGTATAGAAATTTAGCGTAAACCTTTCCGCTTTACTCAGTGTCACGAACGTGTACGTCATCTATTGCGAGTACAAAATAATTTTCTTTATATATATCTCAATTGCGCAATCAGACCGCCGTCAATTGAATATTGCCCAGTCAGCCGGAATACCGATATTACAAGATTTAGAGGTTTCGCGGAACACCGATGGGTTAGTAAGGCCCGCAGGTAGTCAAATTCAGTGTTTACTAAGGAGCGAGAATGGTCTTTTCTTTGACTTCTCACCGAAGAAAATTCCAACATCGCAGTTGTCGCTTCTACAACTACGGATTCTATCAGATGTAGGCTACGTCAAAGAAAAAGATGCAAACTATGCTTTGAACAAAACCTCCAGTCCGTTGTCACGATAGTTGGCCTATTCGAAGTATTTCCAGTTGAAGAAGTTTTTAATAGGAGTGTATCAGGTATGATTGGTTATGCCGCGACATTACCAACTTTAGTATCCAGGCTGAAAATCGCGGTTAAGAACTCGGTACTTCTGTCGCGTGAGGTGCAGCCTCGCATATCTACTTGGCCTCTCCGATGCAACACTAATTAGTGCAGTAGACCTACCTGACATTACCCTAGTTGTACTTGTACTAGCTTGAGGTAGATCTCACGGTAAAGTAACACCTTTACCCTATTCCGGGAAAATATTTTATTTTCGATTCCCTCGAAGGGGGGCGATGTTGTAACTAACGCACGGTTATCGTACAGATTCCGACGTGGCTTATAGCCAGGATCTCTCATTTGCAACATCACGAACTGAAATTCCTAAAGTGTATGTATCTTGGAGTGTAGGATATGATCGCCGAGTATCGGGTTTATTAAGGTTATCGTCACCTGATTATAACAATGCCTGTTTATCCTTCCATCAGTAAAATGCGTTCGACATCGTATTCGAATAAACATAGAACTGTGTGGGCATTGTGCTGAATGATATGCGATGGTGTCGTAATTTTAACTTCGCTGCACTGCAGTTCCTCCTTTATGACAGTTATCAGAATGCTTGTTCATCCAGTCAAGCACTTTGTTAATAAGTAACGATGTAACAGAGACTCATAATCCCATCAGTCAAGCACGTCTCTCCGTTGTCAAAAAGGTTGGGCAGGCATATTCGGATATCTAGATTTGAATAAAAAGTAAATCGGTAACCAAACTTTTGAGATCTTATTATTTGCTTTCAGTTATTCTAGAAGTTATTCAACACGAAACGTCCTGGCCCAAGGTTGTTATCGTTCCTATTTAAAAATAGAATGTATATTTTTTTAAAAAGCGTGATGATATGCGGACGCCGCTTCAAGCAAGAACACATTTCAGGTCGCATATATATGCCAGCACATAGAACTGTTTGACTGTTTATCGTCAATATTAATAACCTCGAGCGTACAATCGTTCAGGCGACTCCGAGTTGGCGATTTGCATCGCAAAGATCGAAGCAACTCATTCCGCATCGTTGGCGTCACACTCCACTCTGTCACTGGAGTGCGAGCTTTGGCAGCAGTGGATATAAACCACCAAAGCTAATGTCGACAAGCCATTTCAATTAAGATCAGCTGAGCTACCCAAAACTCGTATTTGGTATGAAAAAATTTGATGCATGTTATTCGGGAAAATTAGCCGTAGTCATCGAATGAGGGAATAAAATTACTTCGTCATCCGATAGCGGTCTGCAATTATTGTTACCACATTGATGTCTAAATAAACGAACCAGTGAAAATGCCCAGGCATTGTCATTGCGACCATTTCTGTGAAACCTTGAATGACCTCGGAACTCTTCCTTTCGTCCTTAGATGATTATAGACTCCTGTGCGCTTATCAATGAAACATTCTACAATGCTGTCTTATTCTGAGCCAATGCTTTCGCAGCGGTTTTTCATTTCTTTTTCCTATTTCAACGGGGAGTTATAAATAAGGTTGGTTTGCAACAGTATCAAATCGACAAAATATGACTTCGACCAGGTGTGTAACGTATATGCTGTGCCGTAACTGTTCTCCTCTTTTTCTGAAACATATTTGTTTGTTCTGCTGGATCTGCCGTATTGTGCGGAGGCTATCGCTCCTGATTGCCATCTCCGGGGCTACATGAAGTTTCAGGTTTGAGAATTGCGACCTTGCTTCGGACAAAGATGCATAAAAGATTCCAGATTTTATTTTACATCTAGTATGTTCTACATGGTACAGAGTGCGTGCGATTTCTTTGGAAATTGGAAAGTGTCTCTGCTAGCAGGTCTTCATTTCGTTTTGGGAAAAATTATGTTTATAATTAAAGTTATATTCCACGATTTGATGACAAATCCTTTTATTATCGAGGATGTCAACGTGGTAGTCAAGCCAGCGAAGTTGTGTAGTAGACATCTTTTGTGTTGTCCTGATATAGCGTGAGTATGGTGCAAGCGCTGGAAAGTTAATCAATATATATGTTTTAGGATGAAGATTATCCCAGGGCTGGACTAATCATTAAGCAAAGTAAGCACGTGCTTGGGGCACCAAAGGGAAAGGAGATAACGCAGAAATTTCCATAGTCGAATTTTCAATGGCGCCTCGGTTTTAATGAAATAGTTCGTTTTGTTCTGAAGACTCGGAAACTCAATATTGGCCCGGTTAAAATTGAATTCTGCTTGTTTTTCGTTGTTCTCAGGTTTCATCTTGATTAAACCTAAATGAATGTTTGTAGGCACGAGAAATTGTGCAATTTGATCATAATTTGGCCTTAGTCAGTTGTCGAATACTGTTAAAAAGCGTCAATCGTTGAACGTTTACGGCATTTCACCAAGTTTAATACTGTTATATGGCGTCAGTCGTTGAACGTTTAAATAGCATTTCACCGTAACTTCATTACTGTTAAAAAAACGTCAGTCCCAGTCTAATGGGGGGCTAAGTCGCAGATACCACTTAAAATTACTGACGGGAAACAACTCGAAGGGATAGGGCAACGCACAAAAAAATGTAGGCTAAATGTTTACGGAAAAAAACTTTTTTTTGCAACAATCACGCAAACACGAATGTAGTAGGACGATCCACAGTTCCATTTTGCCGGTGGCATTTAACTAGCTTTATATCGCTAAAAAATTCACATCCCCAGAGGTAAGGCCACATATTCGCTCATCGTGTCTTTTGGCAGCGTGAGACATAGTCTTGTAGCATTTAAAGTATCTGGCTTCCGAACTTCGTGACCCCAAAACGTTTATCATCAAATCGACGCAAGTACGATTTCCCACACGTTTTTAACAAAATATTTATATAATATATAGAAATTTATTTCGGCTCCCAAAGCGATGAAATAGCATATAATAACTCACCGAGTTGACCATTTTAGTTAGGCCACTTCTTTAATATCATAATATTCTTGTTTACGACCACCCGAGTTGTAGCTTGGTGAAACCATCTGCTTTCCTAAAGCTTCTGCTGGAAAGTTAAAATCCGTTGAAATACGAAGCTCGAGGTATGTGGCAATGTGCTTTGTCTCCCTTTTTAATTAATTCCAATGGGTTCACTCTGCTTAAAAATAATCGATAAATTTATTTCCTTAGTGGTGAATATAATTTCATATTTACATTTCGACCTCACTTGTTGGACATGTCCGGCGTTATTTGCGCAACGACACTTGCAATTATATTACAACTTTCTGACGTAGCCCTCCACTTACTACCTAGTCCTTTTTCATTTCCCGATTGGTTATTACAGAGCACTCCCAGACTGAATGGCGATATCGTGAATAAATTGCTATATTTTTCTCTATTGCTCTATCTCTTTACAGATTTAATTATAGATTACTTATATGCTAATAATACTATATACGTGTGCTATCGAAGAAAACGTATGCATTGAGGCACCCAGCACCTCTCCTTTTTGAAGAAGAAGAAACTTCACAAGCAATGTTCATCAAGACAACTCGGGTAAATTGTAACAAGTTATATTATTAAATTGTTATGTTGGTTCCATTCTTTTTGTTTGTATATAAACATTTTTATCCGCAAATCGATATGAATATTATTTTCAAATAAAAGCAAGCTGTTGGGTGTGCATATTCTTATTCCTATTGCGCCGCATAACTAAAGAATACTTTGCAAAATCAAATGCGAGTGAGAAAATTTTGTTGAGAATATTATTCATTCCCTAGTCGTCCTGTAGATTAACAGTCAAGCGCGGTATGCGACAAGCTAACCATTTAGTGTTTACATGTGCATGGGATTGGGTAGTGAAAAAGCGTAGCTAACCAGTGGTTTGGTACTTCAAGCTACAAGGCGAGCGCCGTATTGTAGCGATCAGCAGTGACTGTCGGGGACAAACCAATCATCGACTTATGGTTCAGAGACGCGGCGAGATCGGATAAAATTTCTCAATCTCGCATTTCCTATTGGGGTTTTAGAAATTATCCCAGGCGAGCGGAAGCTTATAACATGCGCGGTCATATAATATGTAACCTTTTCATCTGTATTATGGTACAGCATTTCAATACGCAAGACACAGACAGGCGTGAATTCAGAAAATATGCCTAAACAGTAAACTTCAATTGAGGTTTAAAGCGGGATATCTGGATGCACTATCTCACATTCTATATTATATACCGCGTAAAGCGTAGCGTAGTCGTTCCAGATACATGTTTTTGATGTAGACTAATCGTGGAAATGGGTCCCCTTAGTGTATGTGTATTAAGTAGCTGCAGCATTTTTATAACTTTTCTCTTTCCCGAGATAAAAATGATAGTATATCCCCATGTAGGGAATGGATGTAAATTGTAACGCCAATGTTCGTATATTGTGAAGTTGCACGATCTAATTGAATCCAACCAGATATATTGATAAATACACTTAAATCTTAATTCCAGTTATACGGTTGAAATTCAAATCAGTAATTTTGCAAATCATAAAAAACACTAAATTTTCAACTCTTGAATGTAGGCTGGAAATACGTCACAGATCGGTCGATACAAAAAATCTCTGCATAAGAAGTAAAGCCTTTACTACAATAAATAATCATCAGGGTAATTGCTAAAATGACCTATTTTCGCAGAATTCAACATGCTATTAAAATAAATGTGTTAAATGACATTAAATCCATAGTCATATTCCACATTCGCTACACCCATAACCAGTAGTGGGATTCAGCCGGTTCTATATGAGATCAGCGAACCGGTTAGCATTACTGGTTTATTATACATAAACATAGTAGGTGAGATATGATTTGCAAATTGTCTCGAAAAAACCTGCACCTTTGTAAGGAACTAACATCTGTAAGATTTCACTCCGTCAACTTTCTAACTAAACCAAGTAATCGTTATTACATGAAAAGCTCCATATAAACTTCAATCACAGCAATGAAAAAATTCTTTAAAACAGATTAGGCCCAGCCCACATGCTTATATACTACCAATAATTCATTCAGAGAAAAATATATGAATACGCCTGAAACCAAATGGGAAGAATTCAGGCAGAAAGAAATGTAATGGCGGGCGTTGACGAATCCTCGCGCAACCAGCGACCGCTTCGAGTAATTAATTGAAAAAATAAAACTCGTTACTTTTTTCAATTAAGTTAATTTCAACTTGTAAGCTTTCGTGAGAATCTCAGCGAGCAATATGACTTGAGGTTTTAAAAAAGAATTGTAGAATTGCATCTCCGGACCTCCAGAAATATGCGCACAACCTGAACATAGTATGAGCGTAACGGTTAGGATTCAGGTTGTGCGACATCTTGGTACGCATACTTCTGGAGCACCGCATCTCCTCCATTTATATATTTTTGAATATGCTCGCAATCCAGGTTGAACAAAACGGCGCTCTAGAGGTACGTGTACCAATATGGAGCTAACTAATTTTGTTTGCCTACTTCACGTCAAGTTGTGTAGAGCAGGGGTGTCAAACTCGTTGGTTTCTGAGGGCCGCATTGCATTTTGGGAGTTGTGCAAAGGGCCGCAAACAGTTTTTGATATATTTTGATAATGTATACTTGAAGCATATTTTCAGATAGGTGTAGTTCGTAAATGTCATTTACATATAAATTTTCACATTTTACTATTATTTTAATTTACAGTTATTATCATTTTATACAAAAAATCATAAATTTTCATGTACAACTATCCATAAAATTTTTGAACAAAGTTTCAATAAGCATAAGGAAACAATAATACATATACGGAAAATGACTTAATCTACGGTAAATATATAGACCTAAAATTTACAAGAATACTACAGATAAACTCAATGTTTGTTTTTTAATTTTATATGTAATGACGTTCGGCATCTTTTTTGTGCCCCCAGCTTTCTAATATCAGGCTGAAATGATTTTACAGTACCAACTCTAATTAATGAGGTCACATGATCATCCGTTAATCTGAATCGTTGAGAATGTTTTATTTAATTTAAGTAATGCAAAATATTACTTTTATCATTTCATGTATAGATCCGTAAATCAAACAAATGACTGAGTTCCAGACCAGACATTTCTTACCTTTACGTGGCATAGAACCGTTTGAGTTATGATTAATATTGATTTTTAGTACCTAGGTAGTTGTATAATTATAATAATATGTTACAAACACATAAAAATTTTCAGTTGCCATATCGACTTCTGTGCTTATTCTGATAATGTCATTGTACTGATGGAAATGTGACAAATTAAACAATGTGCTGTAGAATTTTGAGAAATGCAGAAATATTGCAACTCCCAATTTTCTTCAAAAATGCCATCTTCTCCATGTACTTTGCGTTTTATTTAGCTTGAGGTGTATCCATAATTGGGTCAAATTGAAAACCAAAAAATTTCAATTTTCCAAATCTACTTTCAGTAAATTGTCGTTTTTTGTGTGACTAATCAATTTCACTTTAAAAGGTTAGAAAAATGTATTACATTTAGATAATAAAAAAAAAACGTACAAAATACTACAATTATTGTTAAGCGTTCGAGGGCCGCATTGGAAGCTCTCTGGGGCCGCACGCGCACGCGGGTGTAGTGTAGTGTACACCCCTGGTGTAGAGGGACTGTAACCTACTATATTCACTTGGCTACACAGACAGTCCCCGAACTCGTAATAGAACTAAAATATGGAAAGTCTGAATGAAATTATGGCGTAAACCCTAACCTGGTACATATACTACTGGAGTACCAATTTCTGTACCCACTTCCGAAGTTTCATAGCTCGCTTTAAATTGTATAGACTCGCACTGCAACCCCCAGAGCGTAAGTAAGCGGTCAAATCTGGTTATTCTCAAACGGGTAATAAAAATCACAATTGAACGACGCTATTTATTGTATCAGAAATAGTTTTAATAATTATTGCACAAAATTAAAAGATGAATATTTAAACCCAAAAGTCGTACATGCACGGAAAAAACAATATCTATTCATCATGATTGCTGTTATTCAATCCATTCATTCATAGACTCATTTACGCGAGGTAAACCTATTTTTGATTTCTTGAAATCTCAACAATTCTTTCTTTGAAACGGAAGGGTTTATGTTCCTCACAGCTTTCATAAAATCTAAATGTTCTACTGTTAAAGGCTCGATTGTCTTTCCCGTCTCCTCTGTTTCATATGATTCTTCCAACTTGATACGTCTTCTAATAGCGTTCATTAGTGCCTCAGACGTCAATGCATAGAAATCAGCACCGGTCATATTGTCAGGACAAGCTTCAATTACTTCATCCAAACGAACCTATTGTACAAAAAATATCACCAAATGAAATATTTGAAGATATGATTAATGCGACAATAGAAGCAACTTGAGCAAGGTATGTAAAGAAAATCAACTATTTCATGCAGGTTGGAAACAAATTGAAATGAGATAATAACCAAGTATTTATATGGATGCATTGTCTGTATACCACAGTTGAAGAGGAATAATCTGTGCTATGTTCGACGCAACAACAAACCATTCAACCTCTTTCTGCATGGTTTTCAAACAATATACAATTAAAGTTAGCAGCGCTGCATATTTCACAAGAAATTTACCTCTGGTGAAAGATTAGCTCTTCTTGTTTGTGCTTCCAGAATTTTTAATTGGTCTGCTTTGTTTGCATTTATTCCGACATAAAGCAGTTTATCGAACCTGAAACATTGAATACATTTCAACTAAGCACATGGCCTGGCCGCTTTATTCAACTTAAATTTAAAGTACACTTAAAATGAATCTAAAGTAAAATACAACACAAGTAAATGTCACTACAGAAGAAAAACAAATATGTATTGAATTGTTGTATCGAAAGTCTAATAAATGCCATGGCTTGAATTTAAGATCGCATCACGTGGAGTAATGATTCATGCAAGTCCAGAGTCGGGGCAATTACTGAATCAGTTCCACTGACGATTAATTGAGTACAAGTCAAAATCTATGTGGTTAAGCCATATTATATTGGCTTTTCTTTTCCCCAAGATAAATTCTATAATATCCAGTTTAAGATGAAGGTGGCAAAAGTTGATGGTACCGGGCATTTACACAAAGCTAAAACTTAACATGTATTCAATACAGTAAAGTCTATTCACCTTCCAGGACGAAGCAGAGCAGGATCAATTAAATCGGGTCTGTTTGATGCTCCGATAACAAATATTTGTTTCTCTGAATCGGCTTCAACTAATCCATCTAATTCCGCTAAAAGTTGAGACACGACTCTGTAAAATGGCAATAAATACAAATGTAAAATGAGTAGTCAATGTTCGAAATTAACGCAATATGGGTAAATACAACTTGAATGATAAACAAGAGGCCATGAGTGATTAAAGAAGCCCGAAGAAGGGCACTACAAGCCATAATAGATTGGGAACCACTACAATATGGCATCTGAAATCATCAAAATGCATATCAAATTGCTCATATTTTTCAGATAAACTATTGATTGAATTCAATGCACTGCCCAGATGCATTGTTGTCTTTTCTTCTACATATAGTTTTGAGATAGATATTTTAAAACAATGAATGTTGAGCTGATACCTGTCCATAACACCGCCTGAATCACCACTTCGACCTCTGTTAGGAGCAAGTGAATCCAATTCATCAAAGAAAACAACACAGGGAGCAGCATCTCGAGCTCTTGAAAACACTTTTCGTACATTTTCTTCACTTTGACCAACGTACATATTTATCAGTTCTGGTCCTGGATTGATACAGAAGAAAAAAAAGTCATTATTTTTTGTTTTATAACACTGAGTTCCTTTATAGGACAAAAAGTGCACCTGTAGAATATATTTCTAAATTCTTGTTGGTTGGTAAAGCGCTCAGACTTAACTGTGTCAGCAGCGCATATTACCCATATCAGGCTCAAATACAACCCCCAAAAGCACTCGTAATACTGCAATGCAAAAAAAAACTCGGTAGGCAATGGGAAAGATTTCTGTCCTTCCGAATATTAGCGGCTCATTACATATCTTTAGATATCAGTAACTGCTGGTATAAGACCACGTTCGGATAAAAAAATAATGGATTGATTGATTTCAAATTTCCAGTAATTAAAGATAAAATAAAATTGCTACAAGGCCATCAATTTCATTTTGTTTTCAAATTTCCTCTCAGATTTTAATTGAAGGGGAACACTTTTTATTCCATATTGATTTTACAGTTAACCCTGTGCTCCCAGGCCTTATCATACTGGTACCGACTTTAGTGTCCATATATTTGAGCATTGCTCTCTTGTCTTCCGCCGCATACCTTTCACACTTAGAAAGCTCAATGAACATTGTGTAGCAACTGCCTTGGCGAGTAATGTCTTCCCCGTACCAGGTGGACCGTATAACAGGATTCCAGATCGTCGTAGACCTGATGCAACTAACTCTGGATGTTGAAGTGGAAGTTGAATCGTATCTTTGATGTTATTTTTCACTTCTTCTAGTCCACCAATGTCCTCCCACTTCACATCTGGGATCTGCAAATCAGATTTACTTGATTGAGAATAAAACTCAATGAAGTATTTCATTTCCAATAAATTTATAGAAGATGAAGAGAAATGGTCAATTAAAAGACTCATACCGGAGAAAAATTACATCATGTAATTCAGAAAATCGCCCTTTCCACAAAAATTTGTATACAAGCCTCTATTTCTATGATTCACAAGTTTTGGCCATCGAATGTTGGCAGTATGAAAATAGGAATCCGACATCAGCATAAAAAGCAAAACTCTGAACACATTTGATGCTTCCAAACAACCACATCAGGAAAATGAGCCCCCAAAAATGGTCAGATTAGCCAAACCACAGGGACCACCATAATGTAAATGATTCTCTATCTCAGTGGTTCCTCCCCAAAGTTGATTGAGCGGGGGCCAAAATTAGAAGCAGAAGGATATTCGCGGGCCAGGAGAAGAGAGCTACCGCGAGGGACCGATAGAGGCACATATAATTAATATACCGATATAATTGAATTGTTACGAATATACACATGCTGCTGAACTATTCAAGTTAAGTTTGGCGGGCCGTAATTGGCTCGCGGGTTGTGGTTTGGGAACTCTATTTGAACAGAATTGATCCAAAATTCCTATAAACAAGGGCTGTAAAATGTTAAAGAATTCTATAAAAGGTACTGCCATATTCTATAAAAAGTAAAAAGTATATTTTTAAAGTTGTAAATGAAGTGGGCCTTAAAATACCTTTGGTACACCAATGATATCTGCACGTTGAGACTGCATTGATTGAAGTGCACAAGTAAAATCACAATGTTGTGTCGTTATTCCTGCAGCACAGATACTCATTTCGTCTATCCAACTCAAACGACTCCCAATTGCACTGAATGAAATCAATATTTTTAGGTTGTGATTTTTTCATTCATATAATGTTCATATAAAGCATAAAGATTACATTAAAAAAACAAATGTAATAATTTTAAAACTTTGCTGCAATAACTAAGACAAATCAATTCCTAAATATAAAATATTCATGCACTCAAAAGTGCTCTGGTATGATATGAGCAAAGGAAATATACACAAAGGAAACAGTTCGGAGAATACAAAATTTAATATGATACCAAAATTCACTCCTTCAATATTCTAAAATAAAACATTACCAAATAAATTTCAAAAATATTGAAAGTATTTGATTTTGATAATTGCCCTCAATATAGCAACCCTAACCCTATTTATTTGGCTACCATACTGTTAATTAACCTACCATTCAGATGTAATTCTCTCTCTTGCGTTTTCATTTGCTTTTCTAAGCAATTCCCATAACTCTGCATAAGTAAATCCCTGTTTGAAAACAAAGTATTATATAAAAACATTGCAGAATACTGTTGTAGGTTAATGAATATGTTTAGAACCATTGGACAAGTCATTCCGAAGTCATTCCAGAGTGTGCCTTCACTGATATATCATTGATGAGCGTACATGGGTTGACCCATAACATTTAAAATCAAGATAGCATGGCTGCAGAGATAAAAATCCACACAACATCAAATTTCTGGCCATTTTACCAGGCCGAATTGCTCCAGGTCGATGGAGATTTTAATTGTTCGAATTTCAATAAAACTAATTAATGAAACCAACAAACCTCGACTTCATAGGCCTGGTTATAGGATACCTATGGCCAGGATATTATATTTATATCCAACAAACCTTTTCCGTATTTATTTGAAAATATTAAAATGAGCAATGCTATGTCAAGGCTAAAAAATGAAAGTAATCCTATAAATTTTATTTATTTATTTCAAAGTATAAAATATATCATACTACTGTATGCTTCGCAATCCATTGAATATCGATGTCTTTTCCAGATGGCGTCATGGTAATAAGTTGCTGTAATGTTGCTCTCCTCTCTTTTTCAGACAATGAATTTATTTCAACCTGTAAATTACAATAATCTTGTAGAGATAAAAAATCTAATAGCTCAAATAAAATTGTTGTTAGTGTAAAGCAGGGGTTCTCAAATCATTGTTCTCTCCTTTTCATCTTGAAATAATCCAAAATTAATAATTAGCCCCTTCAACTGCGTAGATTGTCTATTCCAATTATGTTCTCCAAGTGCACCCCAGGGATCGCCACGAGATATTCGTTCACTTATTAAAATGACTTAGAACTGACTTAGCTAATTTCGTAACTGATTGAAGAAGCAATAACGGCGTTAACAAAATTTGACAACGGAAGTGTTGAAATGTGGTAACAAGGCGGTAATTCAATTACGACATTATTTATGAGTCTCAATATACAACAATGCCCATACAGTGTGTTCATAGCATCGAATAGATTCTAAAACAGGCTTACAAATGCATAATTTAGTAGGGTTGGTTTGCTACAAACAAATTGCTAAATCTTTGAACACGGATTCCAAAACTTATCAAACGTAGTCTTACTTGGTGAAGAAACAAGGATCTAATTTTTGGAACCATTCCTTTCACATTTGATGTTACTGCAACAACAGCAACAGCTAAGTCGTCTGATTTCAAGCTTTCAATTGCATTTTGTAGACCTGAACACACTCTGTGATCAGCTTGACCTGTCTCAGTATCCCTTCCAATACACTCGATAGAATTTAAGACAATTATGCAAGGAGAGTATAAAACAGCTGAAATAAATATATCGAAAAATTTAACAGAAATGTTTAAATTGTCATTTGCCATGGAACGAATAAAATTTTCGAATACATTCAGAACCGGTGCTTTTCGATAAAGTAACAAATATAATGTTTTTGGAAATAATTCATAATATTTTCGTTTAAAAATGTATTGTTGCATTTGAAATTTTAATGAAACAATAAATAGACTCAAATTAAATTTTGACATTATAAAAAAATAGAATATGGCATGTTCCCTACATGTAACATATTAATGGGTCAATGACTATCATTTAGGAATTGTAGACAACCTTGCCGTCCCAACATCATTAGCAAAGAGTGAAGAATAAAGTAAAGACTCTCATCTTTATGGGCATGCTCATGTTCAAAATGCTACTAGTATAAACTTTGTTTGGAATTTGTAACTTCTGAAACAAAAAAAGAATCCACCTCTCTGTATTGCCGTGTTAATTTTTGCGTCTGTAGCTCCACTCGAATCTGACATTAGGTCATGACAACTTATCTTCATCACATGTATATTGAGTAATTGAGCAACAGTGGACACAACACTCCATTTACCACTGCCTGGCCCTCCTGACAAGAGAACAGTGGCAACCGAACTGTCCCTAAAAAGAAAAGCAATTTTAACAATTGCAATAATAAGTGTAAATAGTTAGTTTCACTTTCATTTAGCGGTATTATGCTTTCATACATAATACATGCATAATGTAGAATAAAATATAAAATGATATTTTAGGGTGAAGAGAGAGTCGTAACAGCATTGAAATGCCTGACTGACACTAGATTGGACTATTGTTAAAAACTTACCCTAAGCATCACATAATAATAAAAATGCATTTCAGTAACTCCATATTTCTGTTATGGCTTCGCTCAGTTGAAAAAACAACATCAATCACTGACAAGCAATGTAACCATGGCAACAACAGATATTTCGAATAAATAAATAACCAAGACTCACATTTCTTGCGCGATATACGGTGACAAGATATCTTTCAATGCTTCAACATAGTTTGATAATCCCAATGGATAGTCTGCATTTATTGATTCAGGCAATAATTTAGGAACAAAATTGTTCGTTGTCCCATCCTAAAGGCAATAAGCATACATTATCATTTTGGAAAAAATCTTTTACATTCTCATAAACCAGGTGGGAAATGGTATATCTGGGATTAAGAAATGCATGGCATGTTGTCAAATGGCAACAAAAGGCGGTGTGGCGCATCATGCCAAGCGTTAGGAATGCGCTCGCAATCGTACCTCTTAAAACCCCAAGTAGGTTCGCAGGTTTGAATCCCATGCGAAGATAGTTAAATCCCATTCAATTCTAGCTACTTGTTGAATGTTTAATATGGCTTGGTTCATCCCTAACTTTGGAGTGATGGGGTTAGTACTACTCAAGGTCAGGACTTTTGCATAACCATTGTTCATTATATAATTTAGCCATCTTGTTTTCTTCTATTTCCCCAAAATAATTTCTATTAATTATTATCCTTTCTTGAACATTCTGTCTGCAAAAGATTATTCCTCAAGCAGACACACCAATAAGCTTGCAGAGAGGATGCCATTAAGTTTTTACAATATATATATATAAATAAATTATAATCCATAATGATGATAATTTATTATTCAGAAAAAGACAATATTACATAGCCATAAAATTTTTAAAATTGAAAAGGCAATTTTTCGATACCATACACTGTTTTGACCCTAACTGATGTAGGAAATGAAGTAAAAATACTTACCGTAACAACTACTGATTAAAAAACAACAAACCTGGTCAAGATATATTGAGAACTGACTTCATAACGAACTTGGAATTGTAAAGGGACTTTATGGACACCCCGTATATCTATCTTGTGCCTACCGGTACTTAAACTATCGAGAATTGAAGCCAAATGCAGAGCTAAGTCTATGTTGATAATACCTGATACAGTGCAGTGTTCTTGACATTGACTTGATAATATATTTGTGAATTGTTTTCCTCTTTTCCTTCAAGTTTCATAACTTTGTAATATAGTGCTGAGCACCTGGTAATAAACAATATGAAAGCACTTGTGACCAGGGAGTAATGCGCAAATATATGGGCACGACGCACGAGTCAAAAAGATAGGATAGGATTTACATGTTTATTCCGGGGAGAGGACAGCAGATAAGACAGCTCAATCATATGATGAACCACGGCCTCTCGTTCGATTGAAAATTTTAAACTGTTTGGTTCATCAATTGCAGAAAAAGGCAAACTTCTTCAACAACAACAATCTGTGGGTCAATCTGTTATGAATACTCTAAGTCAGGGGTTCTCAAACTTTTGATGTTGCGGAGCCCTTGAAAAGGTTGACCATTATTCACGGAGCCCCAAAATAAATGTTAAAATTGTTACTTTCCAATTAATATTCCTGAGTAAGTTAAAAGTACTTTACTTAATTTGAATGCAACACCTTTTTAATAGGGTTAATACAAGTCATAAATGAATCTAAATTTCAAAGATAAATTATATATACTAAAGCTATAAATTTGACACTTGACAAACATATTAATAAATTAGGGGTCGAATCTTTTCCCTTTTGACATTTTTGGAAGACTTAAAAGGCGCTAAAAACGCGCGCGATTGCATTTTGTTACAATCGCCGATTGTTTTCGTCAGTATGGCGTGTTTTAAACCTTAAACATCTTTACGCCGATATTTATTCTTCCTAAATCAAAAATTTCCATTGACATATACGTGTATTGTTCCACAATGACAACGATAATTGCTTTTTTGTTCTCGTGGGGAATTATGAGTTCAATGTAAAAAAACATGTTATCATATTATAGTCATCGGCGACGAAATACTAAAAATAATAATTAATAAAGAGGTAAATCCGCAACTCGAATTTCTTGATTGGAAAGCGGCATTCTAAAATATTAAAACTGAAACTTGAATGGGAGATAACACTATAAGTGTTGTTTCAGCAGACTTTTATAGACATTGTGAATCACAAAATTTAGTTTTATGTTTACTTTGGTTATTCATCATAGTAACTGCGAAATCGAAACACAGTCAATTGTGCATGCGTTGTACCTTTTAGCCGCATGCAATAAAATAAATTACAATCGTTCATATTTTGCCCAGACCTTGGGTATTTTATGTTATTGGACACGTTTAGTGGCCATAACGATCGTTTCAATATTATGTTGTTGTTGTTGTTGTTCTTGTTCTTTGACACGTTTTTAAAAAATCGCTTTTCTCTTTGAATACTGGACCAATTGCTTTGAAATTTTCAGTGGTGAAAGATTAATTTCTTCGCTAGAAGGCTATTACTTTTATTTATTTCAAAATTTTGCGTGAATTCTATGAAATTTGATATTTCGTCTAAAATTTTGCTGTATTATTTTTTGTCCATGGGAACACGGATTTTAGTCAGTGTCATGACTGGCTGTACGTTTTGATTCGGCAAAATTCTTGCTACTGGAAATTCAGAACTTTTTTGAGGGTACCGGTAGCGTCAAAGGTACCGGTAAAGACTGATTCGCTCTGGTCTAACGTGTCCATATATTTGTGCGTAGCTCTCTTGTTTTAGAATAGTATTCTTTCATTTTAGTAATCCTAATAGTAATCTCGAATCAAACGTGAGTGACGATGAGCACAATTAGAATTATTACGACAAGACACTTCAAATGCAATTTAAATGAAGAATGTTGCGTAGAAATTTCCAATTCCAATTTTGAACCCCTCCCTCTTAAGAATCCTGGCTGTGCTCCTACTTATAAATAATGTCATTTTTTAATTCCGCCTTTTTGCCATATTTCGAGGCTATATTGTTGTCCAATTTTATCAAAGCTGTTATTGCTTCTTTGAACAGTTACAAAATTAGCCAAGTCAGTATTTTGAAAAGTAACCGAATAGCTCGCGGAGCCCCTGGGTTTCTCTCGCGGAGCCCTGGGGCTCCGTACGGAGCACTTTGAGAACCTATGCTCTAAGTAATGACGATGGGGAACTTCTGTAGTGTGTGTACCAGGTTAGGGTTAGGCCATAATTTTATTCCCATTTTTCCTATTTTAGTTCTATTATGAGTTCCTGTCCATAGGTTTCAGCCCCTTTACACAACTTGAGGTGAAATGGGCAAACAAAATTAGTTACCTCCATATTGGTACACACACCAGTGGAGCGCCGATAATGGTGAGGCAGGGATAATACAATAAGTAAAAAACTCCAAATAGTGCAAGAACAAGGAATAAACTTGATGTACACGAAAATAAAAAATAATCAAACCTTGCATCTTTGGCTGTACATTCACACAAGAAGTCTGAATTACCTGAAAACAATTTTTAATAAAGTAATATCATGATAACATAAATTGAATTGGCGTAAAGACGGTAATGAATAAATGTGTGACAGAATTGTACTCATCATATCAATGAAGGGAAGATGAAAGCCAACAAATAGTCTCGATAATATGGCCGAACACAGCCCCTCTGTCTGATTACATCTGACTATTAGTGAAACATAACAACTTGCAGCAATAATATCTTTAAACGAACCGGAGGTCAAAAAGGGCTTCATCCCCCAATCATGCATAATTGAACTGGATAACTATTCTCACACCTGACCTGCACTAGTAATCAGGCAGAAGGCATGGTTCACCTCATTATAAAGAAACCTTCAAGTTTCCTATTACCATGATTATAATCAAATTTCATCTTATGGCTTTGGGTTAAAAGTAAGGCCGTTCTTCCTTGAGCAACGATATGGCCGCATGGTCACACATATAACTGCTTAACATTACTTAATATAAAAATTCGAAACAATATATTTAACGCCAATGATTTGGTTTCTGCCTAACTATTTATCCGTCTTCTATGCTTCTGTGCCAGTGGATCCGTATGCATATAATGCAAGGATGCTGTAGCAAGAGTAAAGATAACTATCTTAACTAAGTGATTCAAGTGTCTTGCTGCACACTAACACAAATATATTTCTGTAATGTTTCGTCTGACCAAAATCAGACTTCCTCAGACATACATAGTTCAACTATAACAAGAAAAGCAGTTGCATGCATATTTAAACAATCATGGTAGAACCGTGTATGTTGAATATTCAATAAAATCGGCAAATTCATGATTAAATGACAGCAGGTGACTGATAGTAGAACTATGTATGTCTGAGGATTGGAACTCTTGAATCACTTAGAATTACCTTGAGTTTTTATACAAATCACATCATTTAGCTTTAAGATTCTCGTTGATGACAAATGTTTCACCAGAGTGTTGTCAAATTGAGCTCCAGGAGAATATGTTGGCGATAGAATCAATGAAAGATGAATTTCTTTTGCAAATGGAGGATCGTTGACTAAAGGTTTGATCTGTGAAACAGTATACTAATATCGAATCAACCAAATATTTTTTTTTGAATAAGCAGGTCAAGAATAATGTTTGTGTAAAGCTTTGAGATTTCAACTAATTTGTAAATTGAATATAAAATAAAAATGCCATGAAATCATACATTTACTACACTGGGGAAAAGAATGTTTTATTAAGACTGAACAGAATAATTTGGTAATAAAAAATAAATTTTTCAGTTGCGATACTTTTTGTGAAAAAGGGTTATCAACCAATTTATGCAGTTCATTTCTAAATCTGATAATGAATAATATGGCGCATTGTGCTGACAGTTAGGAATACGCTCGCACCTCACTTCTGAATACTCTGCGTGGGTTTGAATCCCATGCTGTGAAAATTATGTTTGAGAGGGTTGCTGGACTCCTCGCCACAGTAGGTTGGTTCATGTAACCGCTGGTCAGTTACGGCTTAGTCCACCATCAAGTCCATGCATCTGAAACAAATAACTGGCTAACTAATCCCATACTCGATATGGACTGGTAACCGGACGAGAGGCCGTGGTTCGCCATATGATTGAGCCGAATCATCGGCTTTCCTCTCCCCCTCCACCCGGAATAAATATGTAAATCCTATTCTATAATTTAACAGAGGAACAATAATTATATCACTCTCACTTTTTATTATAAAAATGACATTCAAAAATACACTGCCCACCTCTACTGTTGCCTTATCCAAATTCTTGCCACGGAAAGATGTCATATTGAACCAAAGCAGGGAACTCAAATATAATGCGTCCTGTTTCAAATCTATCACATCTTTTGAAGAAAATATATTCGCAGGATGGTTCTGACAAACACGTAGACAACAAATGGCATGCTCATTTTGAGTAACCTTCAAAAACAAGAAAATGGCAACAATCAAGCTGTATCTCCTCTTCCTAGGTTCAATCTATTACCACTATTTAGGTATTGTGGTTTAGTAGTTTATCTTAAAACTAATTAAATTTGAAAAAAAGACATGGATATAAACACATAGCTGTAACATTGATCAACACAAAGTCAATTCATGAGAAATGGTTGTAAAGTTCCTCCATAATAAATAACTAGGTATAGCTATTCAGATTTGTAGAAACAGTAAGTTTTGAAGCAAACAACTACCTGTTGTTCTTTATTGCCACGAGGCATATCTATAGAAAAATATTCTCCCTCGTCCTGAAAAAAAGATTCATATCTGATAATGGATATCATGTAACGAATTTGGTAATAAATAACACAATATGTCAACTGTTATTTCTCACACAGTACAAATTGCACGGCATAGCATATCTAGTTAGAAATAAAAATATATCTAAACTTGGGTCGACCATTTTGACAATATTAATATGAAGTGAACAGTACTCAAAGGCCTGGAACATCGATATTTCCTAATGCCATGCATATGAACAAAAAACCTAATCCTGACTAATATTTTCTATTCTGCTATCAATGTGATACTCCGTACTGCAAAATCTTTCAATTTGCTATTTGCAATAACTTTATCAGAAAACTAATCATCAATCTGTCCCTTGTAAATATGAAGATATATCATATAATTTTGTAAGAACATTATTGTTGAAATATGGTACGAAATTACTTTCGAGATGTGAAGGAAAGTGTGAGTTCTCTTCTTTTTTGTTTGTTTATGATTAAGAACATTAGAAATCATAACTTTAACCATGGTGTAATATGTTGCGTTGGCCATATGACTAACTGTAAAGATTCTGTTACTTTCAAAACAAAACCCCCTTTTTCTGGGAGCCTTGTTTGTGGGAGTTGACCTCGATGACCTCATGGTCGTATCGCTCCTTCTCGTCAATACCAAAGCAATTTTATTTGAGTTATGTATTTTTCTCGTATCGATGACTGTTTGTTTTTTGTTTTCGACAAAATAATAAATCTCTTTCCCTCTCTCTGGACAAAACTTAATATATTAAATAAGTAATATAGTAACAGCAAAGAAGTAAGTAAACCTGTGAGTTTTCATCATCAATATTAAGAGTTAAAAAATCATTCTCCACTTCTCTTTTTTGTTGTGGAAACGAAATGTTAAGAACAATAAAATCACCATCTTCTATATTTAAATCTTGTGCAGTTTCTTCCCTGAAATATATTATGATAACAACACATCTATTTATCTAACATATTGAGGTTCTAGAACACACCAGACAAATTTGTTAGAGTTATTTTAAAACATCACCAATCTAATCTATAATACCGTAGTATTCTTGAGATTAATCTTTATTTGACTTACAGTATTTACCGTAGTTTCCATATTGATTCGTTATTTTTGAGTGGCATATAAGGTGGGAAATTGGGAATAAGTCTGTATACTCTAGTTGTCATTTTGCGAGAAACACTGGGGCATCCTGCTATGCGCTAGGAATACATGTGCCATTGCACCTCAAATTACCTTCGGATTTGGATAATTATGTACGAGGGAATTGCTGGCCTCCTCACCACCTCACATAAACCTTGGTCGATAACGGCTTCCTCCACCATCAAGTCTATGCACCCGAAACAAATAATTGCTTAACTAATCCCATACCTGACATGGACTGATAACCAAATGAGAAGCCGTGGTACGACATAAAATTAGGCTGTCTCACCTGTATTCCTCTCTCATGGAATATATACAATAAACTTATATAGACCACAGAGTAATCAATCAAAGGTTTTTTTATTTTCCATTTAGGGGAACAAGCACAATAAAATACAAAAAAAAGAATTCCATACTTTAGCCCGGAATGGGCATATTATATACAAAACTAGACTTATCACATTAATAGGTAAACTTTGGAAACCATGAATAACTTGATGAACCAATGTCGTGCCACTTATTAAGGTCTCATTTAAGCCAGCATAACAATATTACCCATAATAATCAAGTTTTTATCATTGCTTGGATCACAAACCTGCACAGAACCTCACATTGTTGATCGAACTTTTTAGTTGAAGATTTTCCTTGTAAATGTTGTTCTGTTGCCAACATCAATCTCAATCCACCCTTTGATTTTGTAGTGTTGATTTCAATCATTTTATCCTTAAAATAAATAAAATAGCACCATTTGAGTTATTAAAGAAATTAGAGAGAGAGACTTGACAGAGTAAGCACTGCAGATTACACGGCGCTACAGAAGTATATGTACCAATATGGAGGTAACTAATTTTAATCGCCTACTTTACATCATGTTGTGTAAAGAGACTGAAGCCTAACACCAACAACACAGACAGTCCCCGAACTCGTAATAGAACTAAAATAAGGAAAATCTGAATAAAACCATGGCCTAACATGCAATTAACTGGTTCCAATCCCATGTCCCACCTCATCTAGGGTGTAATAAATTTGGAAGGCAATGGTGAATCTTAATCTTCCAGTCCATCAAAATAATAGTAGCTCCCTATATGTAGTTAGATATCATTGACATGTATGAGGCATTATTTGGAGCGAAAGGCGCAATTGAGCGATGTATGAAAAATAAATTTACCTGGTAACCTTCTGAAATGATAACTTCAGTGCCAGCATGAATATATCCTTGTTTGACCGGGTAGCATTCTAGAGTGACCAGGTTTTGAAAATGAAGTAGCGTAATTGATTCATCATCCCCAAATGTTTTCTGGGGTGATGCAAGAAACTGATCTCCACGTCTTGCAAGGAGACTTTTATGATGTGTTCCAGAAATCATCAATCCTGTGAAAAAAATATTAGTCTGACACTATTCCCCCGTTGTGATAGAGTTGCAATTCGTTGCAATAATAAAAATTTTGATGTATTCAAGCCTTGTTTAATGAACTTGAATACTCTTTCAGTTTCTGTACCAATAATTGACTCCTATTATCACCATTGAAAGTATGAGATTCAGACAAATACAATATTCAGATTCTGACGCGAAGCAGTTTGAAATTCGAAAATTTGGAATCCGAATCCAGTTTCTTTCTATGATCTCACTTGATACATGGTCAAGCACACTCACTCAGATACAGAGGAGGTGATCTGTAGGCAACCACTGAAGTGTCAAGAGCTACTGACACAATAAAGAATTACAGAGGAGAATGTTAGTGAATTGACAGATTGAAGAACCTCATTTCAATATTAGCAAGTTTACATATACCAACATAAGAATTGTTGAAACAATGCAATACTATCATGGTGAATAAATGAATGACAGCACCACAGCAGTCAAGTTAAATAAGTTTTATTTAACAGTAACTGTCACGAATAAATGTGAGGGCACCTTCAAATACAACTTACCCCTTTCAAAGCCCTTATCATTTGCCCAGTTGAAAGTATTTTCATTTCTCGCAGAGATTATAACTCGCGACAAAGGAAATACTGGTATTTGTGCAATACATAATTCTGTAGATTCTTTCGAAATTCCATAATGTTGATGAAATTCTCCTGATGATATTAATACTAGAAAAAAAAGATGTTATTAAATATTGACTGTGTAGTATAAAAGTAAGTCGAAAGCAAGGAACTGTAAAAAAGCAAAGTTAATTTTGAAACTATTGCTAATGATTTGGTTTCTGCGAGACTAACTTCTTATCCTTCTTCTATGCTTTTGTGTTGGCGGATCCGTATGCATATAATGCAAGGATGCTGCAGCAAGAGTAAAGATAACTATCCTAAGTGATTCAAGAGTCTTGCTGCACACTAACACAAATGTATTTCTGTAACGTTTCGTCTGACGGGTCAGACTTCTTCAGACAAACATAGTTCAACAGTTGAACTATGTATGTCTGAAGAAGTCGGACCTTGGTCAGACGAAACGTCACAGAAATATATTTGTGTTAGTGAGCAGCAGGACCTTGTTATATCACTTAGGATAATTTTGAAAGATCTAATCTTAGAACAACAACATGACCTATGAGATATTATTGGAAATAGGACGGGGTGAGGATATTCGTAATTATTCACAAAGATAAGACTCTGCGTGGAGTTTGCCAAGAGTTAACCAGTTTATAGAGTTACATGATACATGAAAATAAAGTTAGAACAAAGTTGAAGCTAACCTTACACAAAGTGAAAAGCAATGCAATGTAACTGCTGCAACAATACCAAACATTGTTTGCTTGTTAACTGTGAAGGCCTTATTTTCTCTCCTATCAAGATAAATGCTTGAGGTGTTTATAAAATTAGTTTCCTTGTATATCGATAACAAAATGCTTCCAGAAGTTTGAGTGAAAAGATTGCAGACACTGTGTAATAAACTTACCAATCTCTTCTTGTTTTCTCACATTCTCATCAATTTCAACAGATGGACTTGGGTATATTCCCGGGTGGTGATCCAGGTGTAAAACAACAAATAACTTGTCTTGATAAGAATGATGAGCATTTCGCTTCGGGCACAATGACACAATTAAGCTGGAGGAATCGGACCTTTGAATGTGTTGAAAAACAGTTGGTATAAGATATGGTAACTACTCCCTAATGACTAGTAATACATATGAAAGAAAATTTCTGATACTTCCCAGAAATTGAGAGATTATGCTCTGTCATGTTCAAAGTTCCTAAACCGACATTCAGTGAACATAATTGATTAAGCAGACAGCAGAATGAACTCTTAGAAGTAAATCATGAAACAACAGAGGTGTGTGAAAGGCTTGGATTAGTAAACTTTCTTCCAAATTGAAAAAGATTCTTGAATTTCGTATTAAATCATTATATTAAAAATTGCAAATCTCAACCCATTTTTCTTATAATAATTATTATCTGTAGCAAATTGTTCTAACTATGTTGGCATTAATAAACATCTTTGCTCTTTGTTAGTATAGTGGTGTGTGGTGATTTCAATCAGTGTTACTACCACAATGTGGACCAGAAAATTTCCAGTCCCAAAAAAATGGTATCCGCGATTGTTTATGGGTTCGGGCGGCTGTTTTTTCTGAGAGAAACTATGGGAATGTTAAACAAAAATGCATGGTGAAAATTTAGAAATCTTTTTAAACCTTGATCACTCCCTACAGTTTTGACTCCTTGACTCCTTTTGACACTTGATTATTAAACAAGTCAATCGATACAGACATCTTTATATTTATCTTATTTTGACTCGAATACTGAAGTTATTTAAAAAGGTGATACCTCCCAAATGCAGTCATCCATTTTACTTTGTCTGAATGTAGATGCAAAGGATGGAAGTTTGACCTGCTGTAAAGCGAATCTTTCTCGACAAAACAACACGATATATAATCCATACCGTCTCAAACACTTAGGTGCCCTTAAGTTGAATGCTAAATTTTATATCCCCACATCTGAAAAGTACAATTCATAATCAGATAGATTTTATTTCAAAGGAAGAGGTCATATATGCAGACAACATACCAAACAATAGTTCAGCAAAAGGCACACATGTAATGGTAGCTGCGAAGTGGAAAATTTTAATATATTATGGTACCTAACTAAAATGCAACAACTACTGGCATTTGATTGGATATAATTAGTCACATGATTCAAATACATAATTGGCTCACTTAATTAGCAGCGAAGGCATGGAAGCAAAGTAAATAAATAGAAAGTTTAGGATGTAATTCAAATAGTTGGAGCATATTATTATTACTGTGGAAGTCTCAGGTGTCGAAACTGTTCCACAAACTTTGTTTTTGATACGAAGTTTAGATTCCACGCTGGGTAAGTACGAATAAATGAGATCAACGAAAAACAATAAATTCAATTTTTATAACACCATAACCATAGTTGTGAATGTATATCACTCATTCTTCATATTGAACAAATACATCCTTGCAGTGATATTTTATTTTAAATTAGAAGCTCAAATATGCAGTTGTAATACAAGGGGTCACAATATAAGAGTGGCATCGCATCACATAAGAAATAATTTGTCATTTAATATTCATTTGAACACAATACCATAATTTGTCTACTCTAATTGAAATAAATAGTACAGCATAAGTTTAAACCAATACATAATCGCAATGATACATCCATAGCTTTACAAAACAAGAAAGCATACAAATCCTCTGTAGATACAGAACAGAATGTACTATGTAGGTTCAAACATGTATTGCAAATAACAGCAATCCAGACTGATATATAGAATTATTGAAAAACATTCCAAATTGGTTCAAATTCAAGTATTTTTATTGTCAAAAAAAGCCAAGCAGCAAAACTTTGCATTTGAATTACATAGCGATTAGTGCACCACAATTACAGATACTTTTATAATGGAGGATGACAAGACTGGGTTTCTATGACAAGGTTGCCATAGCATTTTATGTAATAATATACAAATCAATAATTTGGCAAATAATATCAAACAGAGAAGTAGCATTTCAGAAATTTGCTACGGTAAATGCATTGCCAGAAGACCCAAAAATGGACCTATACAAAATATTACTATGCTTGAAAAACTCATAATAGTTGACACAATCATGTTTTTGGGAACATTGAATACATTTTTCATTTGCGTTACACACCCTACACCATATTTACATTATTTTCAGGTGGTAGATTTCTGCTGCATGTCCTTATAGCACATTTTAATCTGTTAGCATTGATCTAATATGACCTGTGGTTAGTTCAAATATCACAGCTCATCAAAACTATGATCTGGAAATTGCACAAATAATATTTTTATGTGATGATATTTCCTACTATGGTGTATGCCTCTTTACGTGTATCACATTATTGCTTGATTCCTAATCTTTTAAACTCTTTTTCAAGCATTTCTTTATATTCTTCAAAGCCACCTTTTATACAAGTGACACGTTTATCACCGCATAACCATAATTCTTTACAAACTATACTAATCAATCGTTCATCGTGAGATACGAGAATTACACCGCCTTTAAATTTATTAAGTGCTTTTCCAAGTGCCTCAATAGTTTCCATGTCTAAATGATTTGTTGGTTCGTCAAGAATGAAAAAGTTTGGTCTTGTCATTGTCATAATCGCAAAAGCAAGTCTGCTCTTCTGTCCTCCTGATAAACTTTGTACAGAACGTAAGGCAAGATCTCCAGTGATGCCGTACCGTCCGAGTTGTCCTCTGTATTCTTCAATATTCTTACCAGGAAATCTAGATTCCATCAGTTCGACGGAATTAAGATCCATTTCAAGCATATCCACATGGTGCTGACTAAAATACCCCAATCGTAAACTTCTGTGTGAATGCCTCAATCCCTTTTTTGGTTCATTTTCTTCGATAAGCAGTTTTAAGAGTGTTGATTTACCAGAGCCATTCTCTCCTACAATACAAATTCTGCTGTCAATACTTGCAGAAATATCAACACCAGAAAACACTTCCTTCTCAGGTACATAATGAAAAGAAACTTCGTCCAATCGAATCATAGTTCCATTTACTCGTTCATCTAATTCATGGAATCGCATAACTGCGTCAGTTTCTTTTTCGATTGGCTCAAGTTTCGGTAGTTTTTCAAGAAGTTTCAATTTACTTTGGACTTGAGAAGCACGATTTGCATTGTAACGGAATCTATCAATGAATATTTGAATATGATCACGATATTGTTTTTGTGCATCATATTCTTTTTGTAGATTTTTCATTTTTTCGTCTTTGGTTACAATAAACTGTTCGAAATTGCCACGAAAAACTGTTAATTTTTTATTGTACATGTGCAAAATATCAGTAGCGACACTATTTAGGAAACTTCTGTCGTGAGAAACAACAATAACAGTTGATTGCCAAGTTTGTAAGTAATCTTCAAGCCACATAATGGCTCTAATGTCCAACATGTTCGTAGGTTCATCAAGAAGTAACAAGTCGGGTTTAGCAAAAAGTGCACGAGCAAGGGCGAGTCTCATTCTCCACCCCCCAGAAAACTCCTTAGTTGTCATTTTTTGCATATCGGTTGTGAAACCCAAACCAGTTAAAATTACAGCTGCTCGCATTGGTGCTTTGTCCGCCTCGATTTCAGATAATTTTGCCCATATTTCAGATAATCTTGTGTTCAATTGAGCAGCATCACTTGGATGTGAATCAAGTTTTGAATGAATTTCCTTTTCTTCTTTAAGTAAACTTTCACGAACCGTATCAGATTCTAATACGCTTTGAATAGCATTGGTATCATCGCCAACCACTTCTTGTTCAACATGAAGAACAGAGAAATGAGATGGGAAATGTAAATTTCTTGTGGACATCATTTTCAAAAGAGTAGTTTTGCCAACTCCGTTTCTGCCAACCAGTCCATACCTCCTTCCAGCGGCAACATGAAGATCCGCATTTTCCAGTAAAACTTTTGCTCCGAATGCAATATCAAAATTCTCAATGTGTAAATCGACAACTTTATTTGTCCCTGCAACCTCGCTTTTATTTTCCCTTCGACTTCTTAATTGACTCGTAGTTGCTTCATTCAATTGATTACTTGAAGAGGACTTTTCGATTGATGCTTTTTTCAGATTTCTTGTCTTGCTTTTGCTTAATTTTAGATTCAGCTTTCTCTAATTTTTTCAAGTCTACAAATGATTTATTGTCAGGTCTGGCCAACCAAATACTAGCAGAATTTTGATCTTCTAAGTTTGCTTCTGCCATCGATGCCAAATGCACGGGGGCATCGAGACGAATGACTCCATTTGTAACTTCATCATCATTAATAGAAAGTGTTGAGTAAATCTGCTCACACACATTTAAAACTTTCTGGTCGATATCACCATTAGCACCGATACACGATTCTCTCAAAATTTCACCTACAGCTTCGAAGACGTCGTCACTTGAATCGAAATCTGATGCACCATTTTCTAAGACACTTTCAATATAATCCAGAATATCTTTATCATCAATTTGGAATGCCTTGTTTATTATTTTCATTTGTGCTGCCATGGTCAATATGGCAATTATTACAAAACTGAGAAAAATAACAAATCAAGGATTATAGGATTAAATAGCTGTATAGTCTATATTACTTCATTATATTATATCAGTATGGTATATACCGTTAAGTGTAGGTTAGCATCATAGAAATATATCTTTCAGTCTTTAGTTTTATATGATGAAAGCACTGACTGACCCTAATGGACTGATGAATCTGGTTTGATCTTTGATGAACATTGCAAAAAAACGGTATAGGATAAGATCTCAAGTTGACCCTTAAGAGAGGGAGAAAGCCCATTATATGATCCAAACATTAATCTTGAGGGGGGGGGGGGGGGGGGGGGGAGGAAAGTCCAAAAGACAGCTTAATACAGTAATAATACCATGAACCACAGCCTCTATGAGTTAGCTAGTTAATGTACCTATTTGTTCCAGATGCAGAACCTTGTCTTGGGTGAGGAAACCTAACGGCCGGCCACCAACTTGCCTAATGTTAAACAAGTTCATGGACGCCAGAACTTGTACCATATTTAGGAAACACAAAACGATGGAGTCAAATAGAAAATTTTCACTGTGTTGTTGTAGCGAATCGAATAAGTCAGCTGTTATAAGAGCTAGAATGAAACCGAAGGGTGGGTTTTGAACTTTAAGCTACATGCTACCTGAATATAGCAGCAATATAACAGCAATTAAAAATAAAAAACTTTTTATTGCGTTGAATTTGACCACAAACACGACGTAGAACCATTTTTGATCATTTTTTCAAAGATTTTATAGTGATACGTGAATTTGACGCTTTAAAATGTCTCCGCAACAATCCCACAATGTCATTTGTTCTCCTAGCTAGAGCTGTGCAGTAGGGCATTATGGAGCTTGACAGAAGAAAAATGTTAACCAAAAATAGAAACGGTCATTGAAGCGAAGTTGAGTCTGCCGGTAATTTCGACGAATGAATACAACTTTTCATCTGTGACGCCAAAAGGAACGCCATTGTCAAATGTTTAATTATGATTAGAATGGCCAACTTACAGACTTACTTCGAAAGCAACCCCTGCGGGACTAGTATAGTTTAGTACAAGTACTTCTAGTGGGCGTAGCATAACGATTTTTGCATATGTTATTCCTAACCCTCACCTGACTATGCCATCCAAAAAATTAAGTCACTACGACGTCACCATCACGTCATAGAGTTTGCCTGCCAAAGTATAATTACGATCGCCCGAAATGGCATCTGCGGCACGGATATCGACGACGGATATCTCTCTCATATCGTGATCGTTGCGACGAGAAAGCAAGAGAAATAGCTTGCTCGATTTATGTGCGTTTTGGACGACCATCCACATACTTTGGTGGGTCTTATTACACCACTGTGACGTCACACTGACGTAATTTTTCGGTGACGTAGTCCTGTAGTCAGGTGGGGGTTAGGAATGACATATGCAAAAACTGTTGAGCCAGGCCAACTAGAAGTGCATGTGGCACTAAACTATACCAGACCCCAACTAGCAACCCTGCAACCAGTATACTTGTCTTCAAAGACAATTTAAGTCAATTTGGCAAACACAGAAACATGAAAGGATATCAGCATGTTTGGCTAAGATTCTCCCTTAAAACCCGACCTTTAAAAATTTTTTTACCCAAAATATTAGTGAAAATAATAGGTACAGTATGTTTCAATAATTGTGTACAAACTTTTCATAAGGCACCTGTTAGATGACCGAGAACAATAGGCACAAGATGGCGTCCATTGTCTTAGCGTTGCCTTGCTTGTATTATATATGCGCTTTGAGCAAACCCAGAACGAACATGTAATAATGTATTCAGGTATTACAGCACGTTTTACAGTTTTATTCTATAATCTGTGGGTTTTAAACCTTACTTAGGGTTTTGTTCGCTTTCCAGCTTTCCCGATTCTTGAATTATTTTGTTTTTATAATTTTTTTTATCGTTTTTTTTTTGCCGATTATGAATATTAATAAACTTATGGGCTACTTATGTGTCCTTGCCTTGAGATGTCGACATATGGAAAGGTTCCAATAACAGAATAAGTAGCCTAATTGAAATCCTCATGGCCTACTTTGAATCCAACACATTCTGATTTCAGGAACTACTATCATGAAAACGTAGGGTTTTGTTCGCTTTCCCGCTTCTTTAATTATTTTGTTTTTATAATTATTTTTATCGTCTTTTATGCTGATTATGAATATAAATAAACTTATACTTATGTGTCTTTGTCACCAGTCTTGGTGTCTCACCATATTTCCTATTTCTTGTATTGTGTATTCACATTGTGTGCTTTAGAATGGTGAAAAAATAAATTACTGATTCTTTGCTTTGAGATGTCGACATATGGAAAGATTCCGATAACAGAATAAGTAATTGAAATCCTCATCGCCTACGTTGAATCCAACACATTTGTCAAAACTCATGGATTTCAGAAACTACTATCACTGTATCATGAAAATGTACAAACCAAGATCGAAAAATAAAATCTGAGAATGACAAGTGAAATTGTTGCGCAACTTCGAAGTTACGTAATGACACGGCCGAATGAACATTGATAGAGAGAGAGAGATTTATTTTCGTCAACCAGAACAAAAAAAACAGTGCAATAGTAACAATGAAAAGATATACAATAAAATATGCAAAGTTTTTCGGTATAGACTTTCGATAATACGATCATCAGAGTCAGCTCCCTCATATTCACTATTTTAAATATGTATTTATAATATTTGGTTAGTGTATGGTGTAAAAGGGAATACCTGTTGTAGAATTGTCTGGTTTTCTAAAAGGTATAAGATAGATAGATTTCATTTTAAATTTAAAAAAAAATTGCAAACTTTTGAATAAAAATAAGTTGTTCAATACGTTTATTAAAATTTTTAACATGGAGCGAAAAAAAAAATTCAACCACACAAAGCGGTATGGAGACAGACGTCCACGTTGAGCGTCACACGGCAAACCCTTTCCTTTCAACGCTCCACTCACGAGGTAGGCATCGTTTTTAGTTCCCCTGATGATAGTTACTCTTCAGTTAATTTTTGGTTATCTGTTTTGGAAGAAGCCTGCAAAAAATAAAATGTCAAATACCGAAAGAACATTCATTGCTATTAAGCCCGATGGTGTCCAACGTGGACTTGTGGGTAAAATCATTCAGAGATTTGAAGAAAAAGGCTTCAAATTGGTTGCTATGAAAATGATTCAAGCAAGCCAGGCTCATCTTGAAGAACATTACGCTGATTTAAGCAAGAAACCTTTCTTTCCCGGTCTTGTAAAGTACATGGGTTCGGGGCCCGTTGTTGCTATGGTTTGGGAAGGCTTGGGCGTGGTTAAAACTGGAAGAGTAATGCTTGGAGAGACAGATCCAGCGAAATCTTTGCCAGGAACCATCAGGGGTGACTATTGCATACATGTGGGGCGAAACATTTGTCATGGATCAGATGCGGTTGATTCTGCAAACAAAGAAATCAAGCTTTGGTTTAAGGACGCTGAACTTTCAGACTATAAAAGTTGTGAAAGTGACTGGCTTTACGAATAATTTCTCCATCCATCAGAATTAGTATTATTGTTAGCAAGTGTCTATTATTGTTTTTTGGTTCAATAATCCATGTAGATATTTTCATTTTAGTTACCAGCACAAAGAAAATCATTTTCCCACATTCAGACATTTATTGCAATATCTAAATACAGAAATATAGACAAAACACAGTTATATCTTGTTACTTTTGCCGCTATTTATCTTGAACTAATTACTCAATTTGTTTTGTGTTCAAACGGAGACAATAATTTGAAAATAATTGATTTGGTTCGTTCTGTAGTTTGCAATCTCAGACAAATGCTTATTTATGTTGTTATTGTAGTTTTGTTGCTGCTTATTTTTCCCGAAAGTCACTTTGCACTGCATAAGTAATTTAGTACTTAGTTCTAATTTAATTGTTTCTCAAACAATGGGTAATCATGTTTTTCAAATACTAAACTAATTAATACTGTCGACGCTTGTTTCAATTTATTGAATCACTTGTTATTCTATATCAATACCCAAAGTTCAGTTCACAATTATTTATATTATGTTCACTCTTGAATCATTTAGTTACTGCTAGTAATATGTTTAATTTTGTGTGACTCGAAAAACTAAAATCATGCGCCGTCGTGGCGTAGGAGCTGGAGCCATAACGAAGAAAAAGCTTGCGGATGCAAAATACAAGGAGCGTGGCAATGAGCTCGCTGCACAACAGCTTCAGCAATTAAGCAACCAGCTTGAAGCTTTCCATAACAATTTGGAAGAATTTGCAGCGAAGCACAAAGAAGTAAGAAACTTGTCAATATGATGGTTTTTGTTAATTTTTCTATTTTGTTTCAATATTCTGTTTTTGTTGTAGGAAATCCGAAAGAATCCTACTTTCAGACATCAGTTTCAACAAATGTGTGCAGCAATTGGGGTATGCTTTCTATATTTAACAGTTGATAACTTTTACTCAAATAAGTACATTATTAATCTCTATCCAATTTTACAGGTTGATCCACTTGCTTCCAGTAAAGGCTTTTGGTCTGAAATGCTTGGCGTTGGAGATTTCTATTATGAAATAGGTATTCAAGCCATAGAAGTGTGCATCGCTACAAGACCGAAAAATGGAGGCATTATGACTTTACATGAATTACATCACAGGTCTGTATTTGTAATTATAACGTTTTACTAACCTTGATACCTTCCCAAAAAAGCACCACTGTGTAGTCTACTGCTGACTTTTTAGTCATCGTGGACAATGATATTGTTGGTCGTCGAAAGGAAGGAGAAAAAATCCATGTCATTGTGGGTGAGGGGTGGTCAGACCTCTTTCTTAATGTCTAGTGATCATTACCTCAAGATGTTGTGGAACATAATACATTAATTCAATTCCTTTATTACTCAAGACTGCTGCGGCCCATATATACCATAAGCAAACTATTATTATTCAGACATTGTTTGAAAGGTTTTTAAATATGTTATCTTAACATTCTAGACTTCTGAAGAGTAGAGGAAAGTATGGCCAAGATGTAACTCAAGAGGATATAGTCACTGCAATTAAGAAATTGAAGGTATAATTTGATGGCTTTCTGATCATCAGCTATTTCACACATATCATTTCATTATAAATCATTTTTTTAGGCGTTTGGTAGTGGGTTCGCAATTTTAGGACATGGAACGAAATGTATGGTCCAGTCCGTCCCAGGTGAACTGAATATGGATCACACTGCTGTGCTAGAAGCTGCCCAACAGGTAATAATGGAAAGAAATTTTTATGTTCATTGTTGGCTTCTGAAAAAAGCGCCGCTGTGTAGTTTCAAGTCTGCATACGCATTCTGTTACAATGACACTGACGGTCGTCGAAAGGAAGCAGAATAAAATTCCTGTCATTGTGGGTGAGGAATGATCTGAACCTCTTTCTTATTAATGTTCAATGGTCGTTACCTCAAGATGCTAGGTAACAAATAACTCATCTAAGCAAGTTAGATTCTACCAGACTTGTGTTAATTAAGAAAGTTGCTCAACTTAATTGATATTCTTCTCAGAACCATGGCAAAGTCAACTGTGCCCACATTGAGAAATCGTTATCTTGGAAAGGTGAAAGATCCCAGCATATTCTCGAGCATCTTGTCAGAGAAGGAATGGCCTGGGTGGATGATCAGTCACCTGATAGACAACGATGGTATTGGTTTCCCTCACTCTTCAATGAAGCAGATTGAATTGAATGCATTATATACTTCATCACTGTGCAATATATATTATCAACGTTTTTTGTATCACTGAATATATTTATCGCAACTTGCGAATTTTGTCACGTGCTGTATGGGCCTACGTGTGTCAAAAAATACTCCTTTCGGCACACATAAATATTTTTTGGCTTTTGTACTTTGTCCGAGAGTGCTGAAAGTGTTGTTTTCTTGGCTTGTCATACGCTGTATGTATTTCAGAAAACACTCCTTTCTGCATGCGTTTCTCTCATCTGCCAAGAGATTTTTAAAAAATATTTCCTGTCCCAAGTTTTTTTTCTTGGCAATAAGTTGTTTGTTCAGCAGACTGCATAAGAAACTGATTACTAAATAAGGTAGAGCAAATGATACCACTGGTACAGAATATAAATTGAGGTGTGGTAAAATGTTCACTCTATTAGAATTTAAGTGATAAGCTTTGTCAGTGCACTGGAAATTTGCAGGACTAATACCTCCACAAAAGATTTACTCAGTTAGTCATTGTTTTTTTTTGTAAGTTTCCCGTTGGGTATATATAATTGAAGTAACTGTTATATTGGCGATTTCTCTGTGTTGAAAACGGCAAAAACATGTTCACATAATTGCAAATTAGACGATTGGGAGGAGAAAGTAATAATTAACTGGTGGACTGCTTTCGGAATCCAGACCTTTAATTATTTTATGGCATTATCATGAAACGGTGCTCCCGTAGTATGTGTACCAGGCTAGGGTTAGGCCATAGTTTTATTCCAAATTTCGGTTCTATCACTAGCTAAATGACTCCCGTAGTATTTGTACCTGAAAGTATGGCCTAACCTGGTACGCTCTGGTATCCGCCATCTTGGTGCACATACTACGGGAGTAGCCATTAAGCTGACGAGATATGCGAGGGTTACTACTTCTTGTAAAGCCTCTTCTATCTATAGTTATGTACAATATGAAAAGAACCAGGATATTGATAGCAATGCAAGCAGCGCACCCGGATTAGCGAATATTTCCCAACATGTGCAATCACGAAGAGGTAACAGTGACTTTAGCAAAACCAATGTGCAAGCAGCTTCTGCATTGCCAAGAGCTATTGAAACTACACAGGATGGTGCAAGTTGGTATAGAGGTGAATAATAAGTACTGACGAAGAGCAGTCATTTAACTAAAATATACACAAATTTATGCAGGGGAAAGCATCAACGCTTATCAAACACCAGTAACTAACCCTACACATGTCGATCTCGCGCATATGCGAAATTTTTGAACATCTTCATGTTTAGGGATGGGCAATGTAGAATAATTTACTATTCTAGAATATTCTAGAATAGTTAAATCGAATCCAGAATACCGAATCCTATTCTATTTTCATACTTATTCAAATAGTGGGAATTTCTACATTGCTGGATTTAGATGGTAAAAAATTGCAAATGTATTACTTACTATAAATGTGGTATCTATTTGGAAATGTCCTGAACATTGGATTTCATTTGATACTAAACAGGCAGTTCCCAGGACAATAAAATTTAGGAATTTTACAATATTTTTTGCCTTCAATTGTTCCAAATGTATGTAATCCCTAAATACTGATATGCTAAATTAAGACACGCTTTACACACTTTAATAGTAAGCGGTTAAATACAAAATAGACATGAAACGGCGGTAAATCATTATTAATGTAAGTCTGCCGAGTATACTAAAACATACCCGCTGAGAATTAATTAGATGCTGAACCAGCGTGTGACCACTGCAACCTACGCGCCGTTGTAAAATATTAAATTTAACCACTATCAATTAAAATCAACCTTTGATTCTGTGAGAGCAAGACACGTAAAACCAAGTTCCCGTAAACGCGATTTCGTACTTAGGTATTAGGTAATAACATCTGAAGACGAACTCATTTCAGAACTCACCCAGACTTGGCCCTACTCAAATTCAATACGTCACTATCTTCGCCAGATGCGGCAACTTTTTTCAAAATTCATCGGCGACTAAAATACTACAGACTTCCGATCAAATGTGCGTCTATCTTGAACGATAGAAATGTTATCATTATCTACCCAGACTTAACCCTACTCAAATTCAATACGTCACTATCTTCGCCAGATGCGGCAACTTTTTTCAAAATTTATCGGCGACCAAAATACTACAGACACTCGATCAAACGTGCGTCTATCTTGAACGATAGAAATGTTATCATTAATCATTATCTACCCAGACTTAGCCCTACTCAAATTCAATACGTCACTATCTTCGCCAGATGCGGCAACTTTTTTCAAAATTTATCGGCGACTAAAATACTATAGACACACGATCAAACGTGCGTCTATCTTGAACGATAGAAACGGACCGAAAAATATGTAATCTTTTGGGAGTGAAATTTAAATGTGACAGTTGTTCGCGTTTTGCGATATAACTTTGTATTTCGGGAAATGGTATAATAAAATTATTCGTAAATTATATTTGATCTAAGTTAATGGCGAGTAATGTTATAACATTTAACGCCTGGCTTTTGGTTTACGTGCATCATTTTTTTGGGAAAACTCGTAGGTCGCGAAAAATCATTTTATTTAAAATGAGGCAAGGCACGTCTGTACACAATTAAAGATTGTTGCATTCAGATTATCGGAATATCACCAGTAAGTCGGCACAAATAACGCTAGCTAGATAGCAAAGAGGAAAACGCAAAAATGGTGCAATAACTAGTCCTCGCCGTGAGGTTATATTACCGACTTCTTATCCTGAATATGCCGATTGAAATGAGAGTGTTTGATGTTTACCGATTTACGGAAACCGAATCCTGTTATCGGATCCCGTTGGATTCGAATACTTTGGGATTCGAATCCTCCGGATTCGGTATTCTATATTGCCCATCCCTATTCATGTTAGATTATGTTAACAGATAACAGCTATCTCATTATCGCTTTAGCAAAAAAAACGAACAGACCACGGCTAAGTTTGAACCGCAATGACCAAACCGGTTTCCAATGATACGAGGTAACACCAATATACGAAATGCACAAACTCAATATATTTACAAATATAAACAACATGATTTCTAAGATTGGAACATGACAATTTCCGGCAACAGAGTGGTAGATTCACAAAAACACTTATTTGACTCTAAACATCATTTTTCTCTGCATTCGGTGTTGTATTTCTCCACGTTTTATCATCAGTTGCAATACCTTGTATATTGCACGTTCAGGATATTTCTGAAAATGTAAAACAATGTTTCAGGTCATATGAAGAATAAAATACTATATCAGTTTGTAACGCATAGTGTCAGTCAAATTTAGGGAAATTAGTACTGACAAACTTCGAATCATTCATATTTCAAAACAGTCCCTCAAAAATATTGTACCGCCCTTGTATCAATCAATCAATAGTAATTAATAACCAATAATAGTATAAATCTTACTTCATAAGAAAGCTCTAACCTTCCGGCCAATCAAAGTATTGTTATATCTATACTATCCTTACCCAGAACAAATCACTGAATTACTTTTCATAGGCTTATGTCAACTTATTGCAATTTATATCAACCCTCAAAACAGTGGGGCAGTCCTACAAGTGTAGCAAAGTGGCACTTGCGTAAAGCTTTTCAAAAACACTGCCCCAATGCACGAAAAATAGCTCTTTATGTACGTACACATGCATAATATGGCCTGCAATATGCCTTGTGTTGTTGAATATTAGGTACTCATGTAGTATGTGAACAGTAATGGCGGACACCGAAAAGTAGTATGTGTACCAGTTTAGGGTTAGGATATAATTTCAGGTACAAATACTACGGGAGTGACTTGGCTAGTCCCCGAACTCGTAATAAAACCAAAATGAGGAAAATTTGAATAAAATATTATGTCCCAACCGGGTACATACCTGTTTGGTGAAATCTTGTACAATGGCATATTCTGATACTTGCGATCCAATGACAAATCTTCGTTTTATTTGTTTTTCAATTCTATTCAACATTTCGTGATCCGCATCAGATGTGAAACCTTCCACTCCAGCTAAGTTTCCAGTCGTTGCAGCGTCAAGAGTAGAAACCTGAATGAAAATCAAATTTGTAAATGCCGTAATATTATTCAGCAAGCCTGTGAATTTTCCAAGACTCTTGAAAAAAACTTTTGACTCAAGACTTGACTAAAGTATATTTTGAGTTTCTCTTAGTTGAATTAAATTCCAATTTCAGCTTTTAAATTCCGAGGAAAGTAAATTTTGATAATGAAAACTTCGGTGTATGCGAGCATTTTCTAATAGAATGTTAGAAATGCCCTGTCAACTCATTTTATTTTGAATTTCTGCAGAAAAAGATGGGAGTTAAAAAAAAACACTGGACTCGAATGAAAAATGCCAAGCTATCTTGTGTTAGTGTGCAGCAGAAGACTCGGGACTATCAGGCTCGATTTTAAGTTCTGTATAAACATTGTTTCCATTACCAAACACAAGGCAATAAATTCATCTGCTGAAAAGACGTATATTAGTGTTAGTGTGCAACAAGTGACACTGGGTACGCTGCCCGAGACTAAGTTCTGCGCAACCAATGTTTCCGGTAATTTTTAAGAGAGTCATCACAACGATTACCTGAAACAATCTCAAAGCTTCGTCCACTTCAGCTTCACCAGCAAATGGAGCCAAACGCATCTTTGCGAGAGATTCTGAAATTCGAACAATGGCTTCCAATTGACGAACCTGTTGAAAAGTTGAATTTTTATTCGATGGAATAAAACCGGAAAAGCAGTTTCAATATATAGGGTGTCGCTAAAGTCTTAAAATGTTTTGAAATTGCAACAGGAATTTATTGATACCATATATTGTTTTGACCGTCACAGAAGTATTAAATGAAGTAAAAATACTTGGAACAATTGCTGATTAAAACAACAAACCTGGTTAAGATATATTGAGAAATGACTTCACAACAAAATTGAAATTGTAAAGGGACTTCATGGACAGCCTTATAACAATATTTGCACTTACTGTGATTGGTATAGATGTCTTCTTTTCAGTTTCCATTTCATGTGAATGGGCTCCCGCTCTCATCAGAACATAACGATTTTTTAGTTTTTCACATGCTGAGGCCGACAATCGTGGACCACATTTACTGAAATAAAATAGTGAAAATTTGAATTTCATTTTCTAAATCAATGAACTTAAATACCCAGGAAAATGAAAATGAGGCGCCCCAGAAGTGTGTGTACCAATATGGAGGTAACTAATTTTGGTCGCCTATTTTACATCAAGCTGTGTGAAGGGACTGAAACCTATGGGCAGGGGGTATATAATATATACACTTGGTTTACACAGACAATAGAACTAAAACTGGTAAAATAGGAATAAAATGACAGCCTAACCCTAAACTGGTACACACACTACAGGAGTACCTTAAATAATGACTTGTAACCTAACATCTTGAGGTGACAACCATGGAACATTTAGAAAGAGGTTCAAGTCATCCCTCACCCACAATGTTAGAAATTACTCTTCTTCCCGTTGACGACCATCAATGTCATTGTTCTAGTATGCATGAAGCAAACATAAAACTACACAGTGGCGCTTTTTAAGAAGCAAATGATATTGACAAGTATATTAATCACATAGTAAACAAAATTCAAACAAACACTGAGACAACACTGGTAGCGAAAAGCTGTAGTCCTAATTAAATACAGATGTGCTTTGACCCCCAAAGAGGTCACATGCCTTAGCTATACTGTGCTTAATCACATCAAGCTACAACAACCCATGCTATGTGTCTTTTTTACAGCACCGCTTCTCCCAAATTCTTATATTCTTCATTTGAAAATATAGATGAATTTATTTAGTTATCTTACTTTCTTGCATAAGCAATATATTTCTTCAATGTTTGCAGATTGATTTCACCTTCTGTTGCTGTTTGTTTGGCAGTTTGTGCAGTCATATGAACTCCCATTACATGCTTAGCAAGTGTCTTGAATGAAAATGATTAATATGCCATTACAACTAAAATAAGGTGGGACATTCATACAAAAAACTGAATATCCGAATAAATTTGAAGGTTTTTATATCCTTTTTTAGATTTTGAAAGATATTTCGAACAATCTGTGTGAATCGTGCGCATGTAAAGGTCCTATAAATTTTACAAAAGTATCAGCTTCTCACAAATTTACATCTCAGATAGTTTAGTCATGTCAATTATGTGTTAATTTGCCGCCTTTTGGCAGCGCAATGGCCCGGCATCGCAGCTTACACATCTCAGATTCAAATTCTGTGCCTTCTGTCTCACCCAAGATGTAACCAATGGGCTATGTATGCAAATGGGTAGATTCAGGATTCTCCAAATTTTAAGTTAACTCCTTACAGATCATCACATATCAATGGCTATTTGTAAGGGTCTTGTTTGGAGCAAAAGAGGTGTGTAAAAAAAACTGTATCATATTCAGTCTGTTAGTGTTCGTTCTCTCTCAGAACCATTACAAAATCTCATATAAAACCAATGAATAACTAAGTTTTATAACTAAATAAATAATCTTACAATATCTCTAGCTTGATCATGTTGATCTTTCACAATAAAAATCATGTCAAATCTGGACAAGATTGTCGGCATAAAATCGATGTTTTGTGCTCCTTTTGTATCATCCCATCGTCCATAAACTGAGTTTGCAGCAGCCAGTACAGAGCAACGCGAGTTAAGGGTTGTCGTGATGCCAGCCTGCGTAGATAAGATATGGGTTGAATTATTCATTGGTGGCATTAATATCTAGAACAGTGGTTTTACAATCTTTTTGGTGGAGAGGAACTAAATAAAACAATCCAGAGGTTCGAGAAACACCTGTGCAATACTTGTAAGTTGTAAGACTACAAGAAGAAGAATTGTACAAACTATAAATATATTATAAAAGCAAAACAATATGATCTTCAAAGTATAGCAAGTTTGATAATAGCGGCAAACCTAAAAGGTATTTGATTGTGAACTGTCGTGGGTAGTGGAACACTGGATACAAATATGCTGATCTAGAAATATACCCACTGCCAACCTGAGGGCATAATAATGACAATTTAACTTTACAAATTCGCACTATAGTTCGAATGGAGTAATTATTACCAAATGAGATAGCGATCAGAGATCGCCGATTTATCGATCTAGCGGTGTGTATCCTTCGCTCTGACTCAATAGCGCGGAAACTTTCTCGATGGAAACTTGCGCATCGCACACAAACACTCAGCACATGCACGCTCTCGCCTCAAAAAATCCAGGTCATACACGTTCTCTCGCTTTGCAAAAATCTAGATCTCTTCGTCACTTATTAATTAATAACTCGCTAATTATACGACATAATTCATCCAAAATCAATAGGCTTCTGGTCCGAGATATGAATGCACATGCAAAGTTTGGAGCAGATTCAACCTCGCTTTCGTGAGATATTGCGTGTATCTAACAGACAAACAAACAAACAGACGAATACCTATCAACATACATACCGATCAAGATCGATAAATAATAAAGTTAAAATTGTCAGTAACTAATAACTACACCGAACCAGCATATAATATTAGATATAAAACTAAAACATTTTGCAATACCAATCAAATAGAAATTATGTGTAAATATGATTAACAATTGTTGCAAATAATGTCATATACATTCCAACCTTCGCAATGGAGATAGTCTGCTGTTCCATGGCTTCGTGAATAGCAACACGATCATCCTCTCTCATTTTATCAAATTCATCAATACATACAACACCCCCATCTGCGAGAACCATTGCACCACCTTCCATCACAAAATTTCTCTGCAAAATAAAAACATTAAATAGTAGATTACTGAAAACATAACAGTAAATTCAACATAATCACATTCGGTCGGATTATTACCCGTCCAATGGCTTACATATATATATAATTACATCTGCAAAACAAAGATTTCAAATTAATCAACTCCACAAGTCAAATTGGCGATCAAATTTACCACACAAGATTGAAACTCAATATGTTTACCGAACCAGTAAAAAGTAACAGGGGTGTGATAGATTATGCAACTCACTGTGCTCGGGTCTTTTATTACAGAAGCGGTTAATCCTGCAGCACTGCTTCCCTTTCCAGACGTGTAGACCTGGAATTAAGAAATTTTAAAAGGAGAGTAGGGTCGGCTTCAATGCAGATTTTTATTAATTCACTGTTTTAGTGCCGCTTTTTTAAGGGGTCGTCATATATGCTAGGATATTCGTATTTATATCTCCCTCTCCCTTTAATCCTCATTAGTATGTTGGAATAAACCACCTAGCCACACTCAACAAATTATGGCAATTTCATCAAAACAGATGAGCATACAAGTTACAACAAAAATACTGATATCACAATGATTATAACTTACTGCAATAGGTGATACTTGTTCCACAAATTTCAGAAGCTGAGATTTAGCTGTTCCAGGATCTCCTAACATCAATAAGTTTATATCTCCTCTTCTCGTCAATCCATCAGGAAGTCGTTTACGAGATCCACCAAACAGAAGACAAGCTATGGCTTTCTTCATATCTATGATGAAAAAAATGATGGTTAGAATTTACAACTAGATGGGCCTATTCAGTTTTGGTTCGTTGTAACTAATTTTATAGTGCTTAGAAAACTTAACAAGATTGGTAGTACGATAAAGGATTCAGTATTAAAAACTCAGCGCTCCCGTAGTATATGCACCAAGATGGCGGACACCAGAACTAAATTAAGAAAAATTGGAATAAAATTATGGTATAACCCTAACCTGGTACACATACTATGTTCAGGTGTCCGCCATCTTGGTTTACATACTACGGCATTGTCGACTAGAACCCAAATTCAGTACAGGTCAGCAAAATACTTGAGGCCTAATAATGAAAATACTCCAAACACACTCCAAAAAATAATTTAGTACTGGATGTACAAAGCTGACTAAGCTTCCTATTCCTGATACATTTAAAAGTTTTTGCATCACAGGAGCTAATAACATTCCTTCTTGTTCTTATTACAAGTGCAAACTTACCATCACTTCCGAAGATTGATGGAGCGATCGACCGACTGATAACATCGTATATGTTGGGATTTTGTGTCAATCGTCTGATATTTTCTTCTTCCTCAGCAGTAAGTGAAGTCCCCATTTTGTGTCCAGTTGCTCCAGCAGTAGCCTCAACACCCAACACTCGAAGATATGGTGTCCTGATACCGACACCAACACCTCTCGCTTTCATGTTTTTCTATGAGTGTGAAGAGGTATAAATGGTTGAAAATAAGAGCAGTGAACAAAACAGATTTAGGCTTTTATTGAAAACACTAAAATATATCCTTATTTACCGGTAAGTACATTATTCCAGCTTAAACTGGTCAGATCCGGTTTAATAAGACAATAAGAAACGAATTAATTTATACAATCTTCAGCGCTCCAGATGTGTGTGTACCAATATGGAGGTAACTAACTTTGTTTGCCTACTTTACATCAAGTTATGTGAAGGGACTGAAGCGGATGGGCAGGGGGGATATTCACTTTGCTAACACAGACAGTCCCCGAACTCGTAATGGAACTTAAATTAGGAAAATTGGAATAAAATTATTGCCTAACCCTAACCTGGTGGCTGGTAGACACACTACTGGAGTACCCAATCTTTATTAATGACATTGCCAACCATGCAGTACTAATGATCTTATTATAAACTTAGTTATTACCAAACCGGGAAGTTATTGGTATTTCTGGGGAATTTGTTACATTGATAGTTGAAAAAAAACACTACCCTTTTTGAATAAATTTTATTTAGACACAAACTTACTGATTTTGATGATACACTTGTAGATGATCCTCGTATGGCATATATTCCAATCACAGTCACTTTATTTCCTGGCACAACTTTGTCACAGAGGTAGCGGTCAATATACAGTTGCAGGTGTCTTGGCATTTCACCCTGTAAAAATATGTTTTACAAAAAATTGCATTCTAATTCAACCGGATGCCTAAATTATTGCCTATTTCACAATTACCTAGTTTTTTAGGGTTGTGAAAAAAAAGAGTCGGGACACACTAGCTGTTAATAATTTAATATCATGTTCATTTAACCCAGTCCTGTGAGTCGGATTAATTCGAAAATAACGAAGTGGTTTTAGAAATTACTTTGCACTCTCGATTGCATGTCCATGAGTAACTCAAAATTATGATACTGAGATGTTGAGTGGAGCAACTGTATGTACTGCATATATATAATAAAAATTTTATCCCATAAAATTTCAGAAATTGGATATAAATCAACAGATAAATCTGATTAAAGAATCAAAATTTGATTAACTTCCTACGAAATGATTGATTATAACTGTAATCAAATACTTGTGGTTCGCCGGAATAGCCTTAATAGGTGAACATATAATCAGGCCTACTGTGGTCTTTAGTTTGACCTGTTACAGGCAATGAAAAAACACTATTCTTGGCAGACTGCTGTTGAAGAAATAGGTGTTGATGGTGGAACAAATAAATGCGTAGAAAAAAAAATATAATAATCAAATATGTATCTTGTAGACTATCTGCTATAGCTTATTCACCTGTGGTACGGCATCTGGTGCTTCTTGAAGCTTCAAGGTTTGAAAATCAACACATTCACATTTCTCAGGAACAATAAAAAATGGATCGAGTGGACACGGTTCTCTTCCTTGTGCCTCGCTAATGTAAAAAAAATTGGAAGTGAGTTACTAATTTACTATCTACTGAAATTTAATGAATCAAGTATGAACTAGTTCTAAGTTAATTTTCTTTCAATTCGTTCAGACTTTGAGATATGAGAACTTAGACTCCCAACTTTGGAAAGTGTAGAATAGGATGCCATCCCAGTCCAATGTTAGAAGAATGATGAGAAATCAAACATTGACGCCAAAGCATAGCTTTTGTATCACAGAGTAATACCGAATGGCATATATATAGCATCAAAAAGAAAAATGCAATAACTAAAATATTCACTGACGTTACGCATTTTCTTGGTAAACTATATCCTTCAAAACCAGGTTTCACTATAACATCATTTATTGTGGCACGACATGATCGACATTGGAGGCCAAGTTTAATTGCTTTTGCTCGAATAGCTGTCGCTGAAACAATGATTCCTGGGACTTTGACAAGCTTTGACATCTGGTCAGCCTGCAAAGATATGACAAAGTGTTGTCAAAATACAGCTAATATTATATACAGTTTCAATCGATTGAAAACATGATAGACAGAGCAAATATTGTCATACTTTTCAAGTAGTGGAAAACATACTGAGAAGAACAATAAGTGAATAATGACATTTAATGAAGATGATTAAATAAATCTATTGAATTTAAAATTTATTAAGAGTCTAGTTTGAACCCATAGTTTTGTTCATATCTTTGACATAACTCTTAAAAAAGTTTTATAAATATTCAAAAAGGCTGTTGATATGAGTTCATGCTAAGTAAACCTCAATATTTCAATACCTTCAAGCTTCGAACAGAAGTTGGAATTGCAGTTGATTGTAGAAGTACTTGTACCGCATGAACAACTTCTTCCCCCTCTGGTCGTGGTCGAGTGACTTCATCAGCAATTTCCTTTGCAGCTTGTTCAAACTAAATAAGGTGAACACACACACAGTGATATATATGAGAAAAAATATAGTATTCTAAATTTGATATCACCTATAATTGACAGAATAAAAATAATAAGCAAAATTGCTGCATTAAACTTAAGTCTCATATTCTTGTTATCTCCAGCCATTCAAGAGAAAGACAAAGTTTAAATATTCTCAGCTTTATTAAAGATGTCCAAAGTTTAAAGAAACCTATAATGATGCTTTTTCACTTTAGCTAGTATGATAATGTGAATATTTGAAAAAATTGGAAATACTAATAATTGAGTCAAGATTGAAATCAAAATTCGATTCTCAATGAACGCAGGATTAATGTAGGCTATATTATATATAAACGCCTCATCTCAGTCATGTGTCTTTAAAAATTTACTACTGCTTGACAATGAGCAGTGATAAACAATTAAGTGTTTTCATATGTTTTTGGGCCACCGTTATTTAAAAAGGTACTTTTCTGGAAGGACGAAACTTTTCCCAGTTTGGCATCGCATGCTGAATTTATTACACCAGGTGAGATGATAGCCATCAGTTTCATATTTTTTTATATCTTTAATTTGCCAAATTGAAATAGTTAAGTAAATCTTTTATACCAAAGGATGATATTCGACGGGTTGTTTCATCAAACAATCTGCTAAGTCATCATCATAAGACGCCAGGTGACCAAGATCAACTTCGACCCAATATTCTCCAAGATTGTAATTTCTTTTTAGTTGATCTCTGAAACAAATAAAGATTTGAATCCGACTGTGGCAGAAATTAGGACATACAACCGTATTAATCACAAATTGACATGATAAATGACTGGGAATTTGTTATTTCAGAATAACTTGATTGATTTTTTTCATTTGATCAAATCTGCAAATGTAAAATAGATCCATGCCTATATCCAAATAGCTATTTTCATTTATCATTCAGTCATTACTGCATTAGGATAAGATTTAGTTAGAGGATGGGACATACATTTATTCTGGCTGTTATAAATACCCAATTCACCCATCTACTCATACCTGCATACAGCTACGAGTCTTAATTACATTTCTGCATTTGGATAGGATTTACATATTTATCATAACTTATGTCTGTATGAAATACTGTACTAAACAGAATAACATATTCAGATATTCTAGTAACGCCATCAAAAAGGTAAATGTTCATCATAATACCTGTAAGCATAGGTGACTCCGCCTTCAATTGTAACATGAAATTCTCTCAAGAAATCCCTCAATTTCTTTTTTATCAGCGTTCTCTGAACATGTCTGTTATCAGTTTGATCCTCAGATTGACCTCCAAAATTATCGCTGAAGAAAACTCCAGGATCATCGAAACCAGTCATAGAAGCCATAACCAAGACGATAATATAATGCTCTATAAGTATACCAAATGAAAAACAAAATACAAACGCCCTACGAAACAACACAACAAACAATCAATCCTCTGGCTGTCTTGGCTCTGAACAACTGAGGCCTTGATTTTTCGCGGGGTTGATGTCACGTGTTTAGCGTACCGCGAGAGCTACATGCGTGAAGACAGAGCCGTCGCCATTTAATTTCACTTCGCCATATAATATTTCTGCACCTTTTATAAAATGGTAAAAGTAGATTGCCAGTTAATTTTTGTTCTGTTAATTCATTGGACCATTCCTTCTTGTGGTTATATTATAATTAACTGTTAAAAAAGACACATATTTTCAAATGAGTCGTGATTGTAGTGAAAAAAGCAAATATGACGTGAGTTTCAAAGTTTAGTAACATCTGTGGTAAGGAACGATCGACGATATACCCTCTCGTAAAAGCTCATGAAAGCACCTATAGGTCATGAAACGTGAAATTTTCTGCAGCTCCCCTTCTCAGTATTTTTCATCATTAGATACATAACGTATTTTTTCCTGTTTCATTAATTTTTAAGTTAAAATTCATGATGATATTGTATATTATTGCACCGTATTGTTGGTGATAGCAACACAGCAATGTCATCTCTGATGCAACTCACGATCGTAGCTAGCGTTTACCACATATCGTTATATTTCGAAAAGCTCGTTCAAAATAGCAAAGTTAGCTGTGAGTGAAAATTTAACTTGGCCAGCGAATTTCAGATAGGTAACGGCCAACGCGGAAAATTGGTACCCACGAATCACGATTCAATGTTGCTTTTCGTTCCTTACATCACATATTGATTTTATACGATTTCTTTTTTTGTCGAACGAAATCATTTCAACTTTTTCTTATACGTTATACATTGTCTCTTTATGCTTCTTGTTTATAAAAACAATCTGTCTCGTCTGAGCATGGATTCATATACCGTTAGCTAACATTTCAGTTTATGTTATAGGTTCAGTGGGTTACGTGTTTAGGGGCCACGAACCGTTTCTGTGAAGATTTAAAAAAACTAACTGAATGAATCATGCTTTAGATAGCTTTCGTTATTAAATACTTTCATTAACAGAATAAAATTGGGGCTTTAATTTCTTAAAAAGAATATAACAATGTACATATTGAACGAGTGCAAATGACACCCCTTTTAGACAGTAAGTGGACTGTTATGACAACGAGTTTATCATTATTATTATTTCATGGAGTAACACCCAACCGCGATTAGATTATTTAACGGTCAAGTTCCATTCATTTGATATGACAACATACTCTATTGAGTGCACATGAATAAGCATATCAGCATTGAGGATTATTGTTACGCCCCCATGTAACGGTGCGCTAAACTTCTATGTATAACACTCATCCTCTCACGCTATCTAGGCCTCATTAAAGGGAATCTTAAGCCACTTCATTTTTTGTCGTTGTTCTGAAGAGTGTGCTATATTATTTGTCCATCGACGAAATATTTTTTGTGATTGTGATTTAGGAAGAAAATAAAGTTGCCATAATTTGGCTATAAATAAAAAAATCATGTCTGGATTTGCGAAGCTGCTTGCAGTGATTCTGATGTGCGGTACATTCATATCAGGTATATATAGCTCTAATTACTTTTTTACTTCAAATCCTTCTTGTTCTCTCATGCTCCTTCTCCCCTCCCCGCCCTTACCCTGCTGTTTTATTGTTTACTGTTACAATGTATATTTTATACCTCACCCGGGTTTTATTTTTTAACAGCAAATGACATTGATCCAATGTTGATCGAACCTCCTAAAGTATCATACGAAGGTAGGCAGAATAAAAATAATAAATTTGAATAAACTAATAGTTTAATGTGATATCATGTAATTATTATCTTTATTAACTAGTATCATTTGAAAATTTCTCAACTACATAATGAATACAATGGACACAATTTCCAATCAGTATACATCACCTTTCCCGAACATTTCGATATGTATCTGCATATATATAACCGCAATGACCAAGTAGTACCTAAGTAGGCCTATGTGTAATAATATCTCACAATCACAAATTAACAATTTCTGTTCTGAGCCATGATCAGTATCTTGTTTAAACTTTTTACGAGACTTAGGAGACTTACGAACATAGTGCGAAAACCTAGGTTTCGGTCAGTGATGGGAATTCGAAATTTTTAGAACAGTTTCTTTTTTGTATCGAGCTCACTGTAAACAGGTAATTTCAGAAAATCATTCCGAACCTACGGTTCTAATAACAAATCTAGTTCGCTGATAATCACGACATTCTAAGAATTAATATTTTAGTTGTACCAAACTTCAGAACCTATAAAAAAAATTAGTAGCCATAAATTGCAAAAGTATGCTATATTTATTTGCTATGTATTATTTTCACTGTTTACTTTTGCGTAACTAATTAACATTGATTATTGTTTCATATTTACTCGGATATTTAGATATGTTAGAAGCAGCAGCCAAGTTCAATTCCTTTGAGTTTGACGAAGGTGTGGAAACTCTTGGCTACCCATCAGAGAACATCAACATTGGTGGGTTTTACGGAACATCTCAATACAACGTTGCGATGTTTCGTGGAATTAAATACGCTACCGCAGAAAGATTTGAGAAACCAACTATGCTGGAAAAAATAGATGGATTAGATGTGACGGCCTATGCAACTGGTCCTTCATGTCCTCAACCATCTGCAGGTTAGATTTTTCTCATTTAAAACAAGTTCAACAATGAACAATCATTCACATTGTTCAAAATAAAACTTTGAATATCCAATTGATATTGTTTTGTGCGCCTTCTTCGCACTCATTAATATATATATATATACCGATATATATATATTATATATTCTCAAGGAGTTTATGAAGAGTTTCATAAAGCTTCATAGCATTCAAGAAGCCGCATTAAACGCCAGATTCTTGCACGATAGAAATGAAATATCTGAATTTAAATCACATATAATTATATCTTCCAAGCTTTGACACCCATATTGAATTTTCAGGGTGTCCGACCCACTTATATCACATGTAAATGTAGCCTACTCATTCTGTAAACTCCAATGTACAGAATAGTAGCTTATTTATCGTTGATTCAATTCATCAAAAAAAAAATAATAATTTGCGTTACCTCGCATAAATTTGATATCTTTTATAGATTTCGACTCCAGCATGGCCACAATAGGTCAATAATTGCATCGTGTAAAGTCAATTGCAGAATTCATAGCAATATGAGCCAATTTTAATTTCGAATGTTTCATGACAAACAAGGGATTCCGCGCATTTGCAGTACTTATCTCAAGAGGCATCGTCGCCTTCGGATAATGTCTCACTTCAATGACAATGAGTACAAATCAGCCGGATGGGCAAGATTTACTAATTCGGCACACCCTAATCTTAATATGTTGGAAAAATAACTTCAAAATCGTCTGTTATGGATCTCTGAATTTCAATGAATTACTTTTAAGTTCAAATAAAAATGAAATCTGTTCTTCTCGAGTTACGACTGGCGGTTACAAATTACGGACCTCCTGAAGTATGCGCAACAAGATGGCGCACAACCTGAACTCAGGTTGTGTACCAAGTTGGGGTTCAGGTTATGCGACATCTTGGTGCGCATATTTCAGGAGCACCCAAATTACCAGAATATATGGACATATAGTACCGAAGAGTCCGAATCATACATATATAATGGTTATAAATATGTTGGTAAAATTGTTCGAGCTTCATATTTATTGAAATAGCGTATTTATAGCAAAATATAATGTACGAAAACAAGCGCCATCTGTGTATAAGTATTGAATAAGAATTTAGAAAAGTAAAGTACCGGAGTCCTTGTACATCCATATTGAAAATATAAAATCTGCACGAACCTTATATTTGTTTGAAATACGTATTTATAACAATTTGTAAGAAATGGCGTAAATGTATCGTGAGTCGTTCTTTGAAAATTACCGTTCATGTACTGTATCCCTAAAACGTTAGTTGGGAGTTCTTGCATTATAGTCTTATTTGCAAAGCTTGAGGCCGCTTCTCTCCAAATTCAATGCAAAACTAGGCCCACTCCAAAAAGCAAGTAAGCCAGTGTGATTTTTTTGACTATTGTTTAGATTAGACGACGCCTATAGGAAGTACAATTGTATTACTCAAGTTTAAAAAAGTTAAAAATGGATGAAATGTCGGTTTCCGTCGAATTAAACCTGAGAAAAAATGAACGCAATGACGCGGAAAACAATTTTCCTAACAACTACGATAACAACATCCTTAAGCAACAGTAACAAACAACAGTATTGTAAAACGATGTTTTTTTCGTGTCTAAGAATTTTTTTCTATATTCAGATTATTATGAAAATGGCCATAAATACAGTGAAGACTGCTTGTATCTTGATGTTTACGTTCCGCTCCGACGAACCGTCTTTGTGACGTCACAGCAAACTCCTATCGAGTCTTACCGCAAAAAGCGCGACGTAGAATGGGAAAGTGGTTCTGGATCTGGGGAGCATATGGAATACGATGAATATGTTGCTTCTGGGGAAGAGGTGCATCATAGCGAAGTACCACCACCGGAGGAAAGAGTAGCATCTACTACGAGCGCTGAGACCACAACAACATGGGCAGCTAAAGACGAACTCCTGTTCCACACAGATCTCCCCGTCATCATTGCTTTTCAGGGAGAGGAATTCACTTATGCAGCAAGTAATCTAAAAAAAAAAATTATAACTTCAATATCTGACAGATAGATTCAGTCCAATAAAGTTCTTTGCCTGATAGGATATTTCCCGGGCCTGGCGATTGATGGTGCCATATTTGGAGTTTGCATAATTTGAATGAAATATTTCTCTTCGTCTTACTTGCTAGGGATGGTGTATATACTTTTTGGAACGAAACGAACGAAAAATCATTTTTACACACATACAACATAATTTTTTCACACTGCGGGCTATATTTGTAATGTTATAAAAAAAAATGCGTATATAAATTAAACGGAAAAAGTTTGGATTTGGTCACAATTACAACAAACAGATTATACCATCACAAAATGAATTAATGGAATTATTTTCATATACATAAAAACGGAGCAATCGGAGGTTGTCAAATATTATCGACACGTAACGGTTGAAAATTTGTATTTTTTCAGGCCGAGGTATTGATGGGCGCGTTCTTGCTAGATATGGATCTGCTATTGTCATCGTTGTTAATTATCGTACTGGCGTTCTTGGTTTTCTAAGTTCTGGGGACGAACGTATCAAAGGTAAGATTCGTTTTTCAACATAGTTGTATTGAAAACTTAAATGATTAATTTTGATTCGTTTGACTTCCGCATTAACTTTGAATGTTCAATCCAATTCCCCTGTCCGTGACGGGAATGAGTAAATCATCTAGCCCAGACATGGGCAAAAGATGGCCCGCGGGCCAAATCCAGATTGGGTGATTCAATCTGGCCCGCCTGATGACGCCACATCCAAACGTAAACCAAATTTTGATGTTTTAGATAAAAATAGCTCAAGGAATTTGTTGATTGCGGTTAAATTAAAATCTTGGCCCCTGGTCCAAAAATCATGTCCACCCCGGAACTACCCTATCAACTACCAAATCATAAACTCTGTTCCACAGTTATAGGCTTTGCTCTCTTCAATTAGATACACATATTTGGCATGGTGAGCAAGTGAAAACTGCGGAGTTTACTTTATTCCAGGAAATTTCGGCTTGTATGACCAAAAGGTTGCGATTCAATGGGTGAAAAAATATGTGGAGCAATTCGGTGGCGATCCTAGACAAATCACACTACTAGGATTTTCATCTGGAGCTGAGAGTGTCTCTGCGCAGGTAAGGGTACATTTTAAGCCGCTGCTGTTGATTCTTGAGTTGAGCGTATAAACAAGTTACGGTATCTGTAACGTAGCGAGGGTTAAAGGCAACGGCGATCGACAGTGTAGAAAAAGACCGTCTTCCTCGCTAACGACTATCGAACTGTCTTTGGAATACAGGCGAAATACTCGGCTATTCTGTTGTCCCAATATACACATAAATCAGTCAGAAATATCAACACCGCTACAACGGTGCACTAGTGTATTACAAGTGTTCGGATACAAGTAAACTCAGATGTACTCAGATACATGTGCAGTGCAAGTGAAGCAATATATACGGAATGAATATAATGAATAAAGTAACAAAATGAGAATACGAGACGATAATGTACAAACGCACAACGTGAGAGCGTCATACGACAGAACGAGAGAACTAACGTATACGCATTAGTAACCAACGCAAGACATACGTATTACGTTACATATCGAATACAAATAACAAAAAATATCTCTCATGTCTTTTTATCTTATCTAGATGCTCAATCCTACAAACAAGGATCTCTTTCAAAAAGTCGTTTTACAAAGTGGTGTGGCAAAACAAGGAACAATGTTTTACAATGACGAGGCAGCAGAAATTGCAGTACAGGGAGATATTTTGCAAAAGTTAATAGGTGGGTTCCGTTATATTTGCGCCCTTAGTTAAACTCGGTAAAGTTTTTGTTAACTATTTGTAAAGTACATATATGTATAAAGCTATTATATAGATGGGGGTATTAATTAATGCATGGTGTCGGCGCGGGTAAGAAAATTTGAGGAAACATATACCTACAATTATCAAGCTGGGATGGAGGCGCAAGATTTTTTATTTCGTGTTAATTCTCCATACATCCTTGTGCGTTGACTCTTGTTATCAAACCCATACTTGTTAACGTAGTTCATTCCCAAACATCCGTCTTTATTATACAGGAATGTAAAATACAGTATTATATTTTCGCCTATTGAACGTTCGTTTATACGAAGGTAAAATATTGAACACTTAAACTCTATTTAAAAAAACTAACAAACACACTCAATAAAAATTTATTTAAATAGATCGTTCTGGATGCGAAGACGATTCTGTGAACTGTTTAATAGACTTGGATACAGTGAAACTGATTACAAAAGCTGGTGAACTCGCGTTTGAAAGGAAAGACAATAGGACTTTCGGGCCAATACGAGATAACCATTATTTTTCTGCCAATGATTCAGAAGGACTTTTATCACGGTACGATTTACGAATTTGCTATATATTTGGAGATTTGTTGTATACCGTTGGGGTAATGCATACTTCGACGAAAAGTAGGTTAAGCACGCCGAAAATATAGGTGATATACAAACATTACTCATTGAGATACGCTAATGTGCCTATTCTTTTTTCACAATACGTTACATTGTAAATGATGTTACGTTTCTGTTCAATTTATTGGAGTTTTGATGGTATTGTGATCTTTTTCCCGCACGTTAGGACTAATGTTATACTCGTTTCGAACCATTTGTGGATAATGGATTTATAAGAAGATCTGCTAGGAACCGTCACATCCCAACAATGATTTGGTTTCCCTTTCACCCCCTGTGCAATACTTGTAAGGCTGTAAGAAGAACTGTATAAACTATAAATATATATATATATATATAAAAGCAAACTACTTGATATTTTTTAATTCTTATCTAAGGTACGATATCATGATTGGTGTGGTTGAAAACGAAGCTGGAAAATGGGTGAACGGACTGGACGACAACATAACACTCTATGATATAATCAGACATGAATTCTCCAGCAACAGCTATTTTCACTGTGCTCCCGAGACCTTGGTTAATTTTCTAAGTTTTGAGTACAGGTGAGTTGTTTTTATTATTGTAACAAATTAACATAATTCGTCAACGATTAGTAGTTAACAATTATTATCCGTATAGATCGACAATTAGCAAAACAGAAAATCCTAATCAAATTTGTGGTGATAGATTAAAGAAATAAAGCCAATCAAAAATTTTGGAAATATCAGAGTGGGCGAATATTTAATATATACATATATGTTCGTTGAAAACAAGGTTCCGAACCCTCATCTAAAAGTAGAACGATTGGTAATAACATAGTCCGCTATCAGCTGTGTAAGTATATACTCACGACAAAGATCTCAGTATATAGCGGTTGCAACCTGATTTGTAACTATTCAATCAATACTTCTATGTAAACGATTCGACGGAAAGAAAACCTACAGAGCAGAAATTTGTAGGAGAAACATTTAACTTAACAAATGGTTATTTTATCAGAGCCTCTTCGGAGACCGACGAATTGAATGCACTGCAGAAAGGATACCTGAATCTTGTAAATGACTACAGTTACATTGGACCTGCCGTCGCTTTTGCGAATAGAGCAACTACGGAAGGTGCCAAAACGTAAGAATAGAAACTTACTTTATATTGTTCTTTTACGATATAGATATATGTTTTCCCGCCTTCACCCTGTTCAAAGCTTTAGCCAATTTCAGTTAGAATGCATTTTTTATGCCATTAAACCTGCATGTGCTATTTCAAACAACCGGAGTTAGGTGGTGGGCACTGGAGCTGGGATCGTTTGTCCGCAATGTTAAGCTACCGTTGTCCATCCCATCAGCCACAAGACCACCTCGCACACAACTGGTTTGAAATATAAATTTTAACCACGATGCCTTTGTACTTCACAGTTATTTCTACAAATTCCAAGCTCATGTATCTACTATGGCACCTGGAAGACCGTCAATTTTAGAAGGAATGCCAATTCATGGCGACGATCAAGGTTATTTGCTTGGGATGCCTCTCATTTTGACAGAACTATACACGAGCTCGACTAGGAATATTTCAGCCAATTATCTGAGAATGGTTTCAAATTTTGCACATTCTGGGTTAGTATAATTCTTTTCTGTATTGGCGTTATATTCAATTTGAAATTCTTGTTCAGTTCTATATCTCTGTGGTCCTATTTAGCCATCGCATAATTCTCAAGCCATGGCAATCTTCTAAAATTGGTTGCAAATCAATAGCTAAATACTTGATTATATCAACTAAATCATAAACGTTGATTTGGACTGGTAGTGGTCAGACAATTTAAAACCAATTTTAAATATATATGCCTTTATCATTCTCCTATAGCGGGCTTCAAAAAAACAAGTAGTGAAGAAAAAATGCAAAATTGCTTGAAATAGGAATTCGAAAATCAATGCCATAGTCGAGGCATTACAGTTTAAGTATTTGTCTTTACCAAGTGCTATACCAAGGGCGGTTCACTAGACAGTGTTAAACAGTTGCTTGTTCCACAATTGATTTTCAGTGTATTATGTACAAATAAACATGAATTTAGAAATCCTGATGATGGTCCTACACCCAAACCGTCCTCCGTGGACTCCTGGACACCCTTTACTTTGGAGAACATGGAAACATTTGTTATTTCTGAGAAGATGGAAGTGAAACCCAAACTTTTTTCGAGAAGTATGGATATCTGGTCTGAAGCAGTGACATACCTGATGTCGGACGATATATGCCCGAAGGTAAATGCGTGCAATAAATGCGTTATGAATGGTTATAATCACTATTACTTACTATTTTTACGTTGGTGTCGCGGGTTGGCAGGTTGAAGATTTGCGATATATATATAAGCTTATCGAAAGTAGCTTAGTTGTCGCTCTAAGTACTGGCGTCCAAGTGCCTGGAAGCACCTATGATGATAATCACAAGTATAATCATAAGTATCACAATATTTACTCGAGTGAAATGAAAAATTTAACCAAAATTTACACTCATAAAAATGAATTACTGTTTCTGATTGAAATAATTGATGCGCAAAAATGATCACTGAGTTTTATACTTCTCAAGTCAAAATTCTAAATATGGAAAAAGCGAGTAAATGCCCTCGTTAGTCCATAAAACTTTCTTTATAGGTTGAGGTTAAAAAAGCGTCGTGTTCGGTAAAGTCTTGCAAATATATCAAAGACTGGGAGAAAAATTACATCAAGTGGAGAGACGTAGACGTTCCAAAATGGAGGCAAGCTGCGGAAAAGTAAGTTGAATTCACATTCAACAAATATTATGAAATCGGACTATTTTTCATATCTAAAAATTCAAGCCCATATCAAATTCTGCTCTTGGTAGATTACAAATATTGTAATAAACATAGAAAAACAGTATAAATACACATAGAAGAAGGTAGTATCAACTAATTGCATGTATTATGCTGTTGGGTCACAATGAAGCAATAAATACTTTGAACTTTCAGGTACGGTGAATTTGACAACGACGACGAGGGAGAAAGCTGCGACAAGTCCTAAATTTTGTCTCAATCGAATTATTCTGCTTACAACAACAACTACAGTTACTTTGTCACTTTTCTGAAGTGCAACGTCACGCCATATTAGATTCACACCTTAATTAAATTTGAACTCTGCTTTTATTATTTTCTTGTTCATTCTCGCGTGAATTAAACTCATTTATGTTCATGTTTACACATTTAATGTAATTAGGATACTGTAAATGTATACTTGTAGCGCCGAATACACAGTCCTATTATAGTCCATGTTATGTATGTTTTGTGATCTATTACTCCATTCAGAATCATACCTTGTATTCTACAACCTTAGGAGAATGATACTATAAATGAATTAAATGTTTAAAATAAAGGTACTCTCAAAGTATGTCAACCAAGATGGCGGACACCGGAACGTAGTATGTGTACCAGGTTAGGGTTAGGCCATAATTTCAGGTAAAAATACTACGGGAGTCACTTGGCTAATCCCCGAACTCATAATAGAACTAAAATAAGAAATATTGGAATAAAATTATGGCCTAACCATAACCTGGTCCACATACTACGTTCCGGTGTCCGCCATCTTGGTTCACATCCTTCGTGAGTAACATTTGTGAATATTTCGAGATCACAGAAGAAATAAATGTTCCTAGTTTGAAATAGAATGACATGAGAACATGTTTATGAAATATAAAACCTTGATCATACGATGTTCCGGAAATGTTGTGTTCTGTTCGCAGATGATTTTCTTTATTCAAGACGCTTGTTAGTGGGGTAATATTGTGGTTTTATATCAACGGCTCGTTAAGATAAGAAGATAAGACCTAATCGTATTCTGGTAGAATTCTGCAGGATTGCACAGTGAATACATTCCAGCACTATAACGAAGGTAAGATTTTTGCATATTTTTAAAAGTCATTTTTTTATTGTTTTATCCGTCGTTTTGGATAGCTCATATGTCTTCCTGAACTGCCGACTCGCAAATGTAAGCTAACAAAAGTCCTGGTGCATTTTAAATGTTTTAAAAAAATGCAGAAACAACCCCATACAACTAAATGTTATTTATAATTGATACGAAGCGGCGAATGCTAGTTCGCATAGAATCACATACACTATAACACTACGATTTATAAACTTGTTCGACTATGTATTTGAAATGCAGCAACAATAGCATGCTCATTTCTTTGTCCGACTCAGAGGGGGCTTGTCCCAATCCTATTTATTTAAAGTTCTAAAATAGAAATAAAGGTAGACATAAATAAAAAGTGATATAGTCTCTGCAGGACATAGGTTCTTGTTATTCGTTAAAAGCACGCAACAAAAGGAAGACTTACGAATCACAATACGAGAGTTATTATGTTGTTAAACGATAAAACTTTGCTATTAAATTAAATTTTGTTTACGTATTTGATATCCACTACGAAGCTGGTACGAATGGTTGCGGAATATTGTAGCCAGCTATGTACCTAATGTTGGTGATTCCACTTCCAATTCCATTTTCAATATCTCATCCAAGGACCAGGAAGGACCATGTTCATTCATGAAAATTATTTTTGATTGAGCCGAAATAGAAGTACAAATACTAGAAATCTATAGTGTCACCAAATGCATCATACTAGCATAGCACCAGGTTTTCCTGGTTCGTTACAAGGCGTTTAACATTCTATTAGCATTTAATGGTCAAAAGACATTATAATTCAGAGGAAATATAATCTGTCGAAACGCATTTTCAAGTATATATATATATATATATATATATAAAACTTATGTACAACATGCAAAATATTTGATAACGTCAATTCATTTTTTAACGGTTCTCGTTAGATTCGTTTTTGTAGATTTTGTTCCTAAATTGGGTAACCGAAAAAATAAAGAAACCGACAATCGTTGGTGTAGACGCACATATCTTAACTAGGGCTGGGCATTTTCGAATACCTGATGATTCCAGAATCGGATCGAAATTTTTTTTCGAATTGAATCTCGAATACTTGGTAGTCAATGGAAATTATGACTTTTTTCATTGCCATTGGTCCTGTCAACAAATGAATTATTAGAAACGTAGAATATATCACTTGGACAGATTACTGTGCGTGCACGCACAATGAAAAAATATTTGTTCTCCAATAATTCACTAAGGAAAATAGTCCTATGTAAAAACAGCATTAAAAAAATATGGCTTCAATAAAAAAAACTGGGAAATTCGCTTTGACCATTGGTGGGAAGAAAAAAACGAGATGGCGGCAATTCGAAATTTTGCTCTAAACCGAATTAAATCATTTACTATTCGAATCGATTTGAAGTGCCCAGTCCTAATCTTAACCCATCGTCATCTTTAAAGAAATAGGCTACCTTTGTTCCTCTTCTGTCACAAATTCCGCCGTATTCACCATAAGGCGCACTTCCAATTCATTTTTTTTTCTCAGAAATTGATCACTCACCATAATAGTGCGCCTAAGTCTTAACGCATGTTTAGGTAGTTCTTCATTTTCTGCACTCAGATGAGTACCGATATGGCTTTAAAGCCCGTCGAGTCTTATAGCCGGATGCGCCTTGTATGTATGAATTAAAACTATTGATACTGTAATTCATGACGCGGTGTTGTTAGTCTACCACATTATAGCGTAAATATCTTTCGCAGGCTACTATAGACCTACAGTCCTTTTTTGGTTTAGTGGCGACTGACATTCCCCAGACTCAGAGCATATTATAACAACATTTATTTATACTTCTCACCGAAGACGCCAAACATATATGTGATTATTGTATAATGCAAGTGCCCATTCGCTTTATGAAGTTAGCTTGGAAGTATAAACAACGCTGTAAAGGACGTGCACATCACCATTGTATGGTTCTGTAGCCGTTACCGTTTTTGGATTTGGGAATTCAATATATTGTCGAAAAAAAATGTGGGCGTGTTATGGTTCGGAACTAGAATCCACGCCAATACTGCATGATCGATTGGACTTTGTCGGTGGTGGAAGACTTCAGTTCCATCCTCAGTTCCTAATTCCTATCTAGCGCATTAATCTAGTGAAATCTATTCTCGAACAATTAGCAGTAACTGGCCGATTAACGGGAAAAATATATATATATACAGATATATCCGATATGCAAATAATAATTATAGTTATCCGACTAACCGTGTGCACAACCACCGCTGGGTTTCATACGCAGCCCCACAGATGATCTGTAGCCGGAAGGCACCGGAGCGCCGTTGCTGTTGTTAAATATTTTGCATTCGCGACCTTTGGACTCAGGAAACTTCTCCCCATACCTTACAAATATAACATTTCTCATGCTTATTACTTATCGATTTTAATCGGTAAGTATGTTGATAGGTATTTGTCTGTCTGGCTGTTAGATGCACGCGATATCTCACGAAAGCGAGATTGAATCTGCTCCAGAATTTGCATGTGCATTCATCATATGTCGTACCAGAAGCCTATTGATTTTGAATGAATTATGTCGTATAATTAGCGAGTTATTAATTAATTAGTGATGGGACCCAAGGTGTCACTATGGAGTAAGAGCGTTGTTTTGGGGATCCCCTAACTTTCGATCGATAAGTTTTCGGTCTCTGACCGATATTCTCGTTGTGAATATTATTAAGAACACTGCAAGGTATTTTTGATTAAGATTTGTATTGAATTGCTAAAAATATACAGTATATAGTTGTCATTTTACACAGACATATTTTAGGTCTTCGACTTTATCTTAGGCCAGACGAAAATGGCTGTAAGCTTCCGCAGACGATTTTTTTTAGCTCATCACTGGTTGTCCTTCACAGAATTCAAACCTGCAAACCCGCCCCCAGATAATTGAATGGAGGATAACACACTCATAATGTCACAGTTAGGTTGTTTTACTGTTCAGTTTATGTCAAGTTGATGTATATATCTGTTTTTCCTGTTAAGTCTGAGCTTAGTTTCAATAGTTTCGGTTTTTAAAATGCCGAACATCTTGAAAACGGCTAGCGTGTTTCGGCCTTCGCATGTCTTGTCGAAGATGCTAATTCGTATAATGTTTAAACTGCCGCCGGTTATTGCCCGCAATAATTAACCAGTGACGTTTTCTGTTTCTTGTCAGTACATATCTCCACTTCTTATGACCGAATAAGTAAGCCTCGCTTTTTATTCAATCCTGGGTTCGTGGAGTGTGGTAAACTATTTTCCAGTAGCTTAGTAAACTTATTTTCTGCCAATCAGTGGATTCCGAATTATTGTATTCATTTGTCCGTTGCTGTAGCTTTCGTCGTCACATTCGCAGGTGTTCAATAGGTGTTGCCAGTGACTGCCTATTTGGATTGCGTGAGGGTCCGAACAAGACAAGACTGATCCCTTGGGTGAGGCCGTTGTTTAGTATTGCTCAGTTCCACGTAAAGTGGGCACAGGTGTTCAAAATAGCTTTAGTCGGGCTTTTACTCCTATGAACATCGGTGGCCTGACAAGTAGCAAATTTCCAAGCTAACAAGTATGGTGATTGATTACCATTTGGGATTGCAGCAATGCAGCTTGCATTTAAATGACCTGGCAAATGATGTAAATAAGAAGATTTCAAACATTTTTGTCAACATTTACACTTACTGAAGCTATACGTTTGTTTTATATTCAAATATACCTAGAATAATATATCGCGAATGCGTCATTATAAAAGGCTTGTTTCGTCGACGTACGCTTCGATCATCTCATTGGCATACTTGAGCCGTATAAAATCTGAGAGTTTGCATAATCGCAAGCGAACAAGGTTGGGTGTGACAATCGGAGCGTGGGGAAGCACCGTGTTTTAGTTACAGGGCAGTGTAGAGCGGTGGGTCGAAGATAGGTAGTTTGAGATAGTAGATAGGTCGAGGGTAGAATAGTTGGGAAGTTAGAGCAGTGGGTCAAGGAGAGGGAGTTAGGTGGTGGGTCGGGTATAGGGAGTTCGAGAGATATAGGGCAGTGGCTCAAGAATAGCAAGTTAGGCGGTGGGACAGAGATAAGGCAGTGGGTCGAGAATAGAAAGGTTTGGGGGTGGTAGGGTAGTGGTTCGAGAGGGGGGACGTAGGTAGTGGGACGAGAATAGAAAGGTTGGGGGAGGTGGGACAGTGGTTAGGGAGATAAGGCAGCGGTTGGAGACTTGAAGGAGAGAGACAGTGGGTCGAGTAGAGGAAGGTAGGGTAGTGGCCCAAGGATTGGAAGGTTGAGAGTGATAAGG